GACCACTCCCATTTCTTGCATGAGGTCCCGTCCCCAAAGGTTAATAGGGAGGCCAGGCAAAACATATGGCTGGAAAAGCCCTGTGTGGCCCTCAGAGTCTTGCCACTTTAGGATTCTGAGGCTTTTTTGGGGTACAGCCTGTCCTATTCCCTGGAGGGTCACTGTCCCTTCCTCTTTCGGCCAGGCGGGGGCCAGAATTTATCTGAGAGGACAGAGAAATCTGCCCCAGAATCTAAGACGCCCCTAAAGGACTTGCCTTCTATCTTTAATGTAAGCTGGGGCGGTTCTCCATAGTGGCTACCCAAAATGCTGCCGGGCCGGTACTTCCAAAACCTTGGTTGCCCCTTTTCTCTTTAATTTTTCTAGCCTCACAAGGAGCTGTAGGGAGAAGGAGTAACTGAGCAATCCGTTCTCCTGAAGGGATGGCAACAACCCCATTGCCCACTGATGTCATTATTTTAATCTCCCCCTCACTATCCTGGTCTATAACACCGGGGTGTACCTGGATGCCTCGAAGAATAGTACTGGACCGTCCCAAAAGTAGTCCGACCGTGCCTGGGGGCAATGGCCCATGCACCCCAGTAGGGAGGGCCTGGATCCCCATTTCCGGTGTTAGGATTGCCCGGGCAGAGGGAGCGAGGTCCAATCCTGCACTCCCTGAGGTGGCTCTAAGGAGGTCTGAGATATGAAGGGGTTGCTCTGGGGGAGAAAATGAGTCCTGCCACTGCCCAGAGCAGGGGTCATTGCCCCGTACACATTGGTTTTGGGGCCCTGGGGCGGGGCCCTCCTCCCGTTTCCCTGATTATTATTAGCAGAAAGGAAATTTCCCTCCCTGTCAGTTTTAGAGTAGCAGTTATTGGCCCAATGATATCCCCTTCGACAACGGGGCATAAACCAGGTCTCTTGAGACCCGTAGTACTATTTTGAGGGCACTCTCTACGGAAGTGTCCCTCCCTACCGCAGCTAAAACATGTTTTTCTCCCTCCCAGAGTAGGTCTTTCTTTCCCCACTTGGGGCCGAATAGCAGCAGCTAACACTTGGCCCTGGATGAAGTTCCCATCAATGTCCCTACAGATCCGGATATAGTCATTTAGACTTTTATTGCGATAGGGACGAAGGGCTTCCTTACAATATTTATTTGCATTTTCAAATGCCATCTGCTTTATGACTGGCATCGCAGGCCCAATGCCCCCAAATATTCTTTCTGCTACCTGACTGAGACGGTCTCACGAAGTCTTGAAAAGGTTCGGAAGGTCCTTGAAGGACTTTGGACAGATGATCTCCTCCTTCCTTGGAAGGCAATGCTTTCCAAGCTCCTTGGGCCGCTGCTGCCACTTGGGCATAGACTGCGATGTCATATTGCATTTGCTGCTGAATGGTGGCGTATTGACCACTTCCGGTAAGCATCTCCACATTTCTCTGGGGCTGTCCGGCCTGTGCATTCCTTTGGGCTGTCTGGCTGCATCTTTCCTGAAACTCACCTCTCCAAATCAAATAATCTCCCCCCGACAGAGCTGCTCTGCAAAGCTGCTGCCAATCGCCAGGTGTCAAATTAAGAGACGCAAAAGATTCCATTAAGGAAAGTGTAAAGGGAGCCTGTGCTCCATAATTTAAAGTTGCCTCTTTCAGTTGTTTTATATCTTTGAAACTTAAAGGGTCATGGCGCCGAATGACCTGTCGAGAATTGTTCGGGTCTGGAACTTCCATTACCGGGGCCACCACCGGGCAGCATTGGACCCCTCCTCTGGGTCTTCCCTCCAGGTCCAAGAAGGACTGGGTTATCTCATAGGAGGAGTCCCTTTTTTCAGAGTATGGGGAAGGGTTTCTCTCCCTGTCCTGTCTTTCCTTAAGTAGAATCTTTTTTAGTTCTTTTTTAAGGGCCGCGATCTCAGCAAGTAACCGTTCCTTTTCAGACTGTGACGAGTCTGAGTCTGAGCTACTTCCATTTTCTAGGTCTGATAGAGAAGGATATAACCGATTCTGACCGGAGTCCTTCTTTTGGGTCGCGCCCGGAGATGTCTACCCGTTTTTTTGTTGTTACTAAGAGACTCCTCCTCATCCTCACTAACAATGGAGCCTCTAGTTTCAATCACGGTCTCTTCATCATCACTCTCTGCCCCTGAACTCAAGGAGGCTTGAGTCTCAGTCTCTTGTAACTCTAAAAAGCCTCTTTTGTGTCCTGAACTACCTGGCGGTGACGAACCTTATCTGTCAAAAGTGCTCCCCTCACTAATCTCCATAAGGAGAATGTCGTAGGGGGCAAGGACTCAGATCCCTCTTTTCGTAAAAGTCTATGAAGATCACGGCGAACCTCCTCCCAATCTGGAATGTTTAAGCTTCCCCAGTAATGAACCATGGACTGGCTCGTTCGATCGATTTTAGAAAGCCTTCTAGGGTTTTAGACTTGACTGCAGTCCCATGTTCTTTAAGTAACTTTTTTAGTTGATACTGTAATGATTCTAGCTTCCCGGAACTATTCCCCATAGTTTCTTAACCCCGTCCACTTACCTCGCTTTCACGATCTCAGTGGGACCTCCAATTGTCACGTCTGCTGCGCGGCCTGTGTCCGAGAACGTGCGGAGGGTGTCGGGTATTGATAACACAGAGACTCGTTCAATGATATAAAGAGAACTTTAAACAGGCTCCAAAAAGGTTCAAGAAAAACTTCCTAAGAAAGGCTCCCACCAGAGAAGCCTCTGCTCTCTCCTCTCCCCTGGCTGGTTCTGCTCTGACACCAGAGGTGGATGTGTGTGGGTTTCTGAAGGTGCGGTTAGTCTTTGGACAAGGTCGAGGTCAGGGCGGTTTCTGTGGGAAGGCCTTTCCCAGGAACTTATTGTATCATTTTTAGTAAACATGTTTTTACTAAACATTGTCTTACAGCTGCCTACTCCCAGGCAGAAGGGGAAGTGGCCAGGAACTTATTGTATCGTTTTTAGTAAACATGTTTTTACTAAACATTGTCTTACAGCTGCCTACTCCCAGGCAGAAGGGGAAGTGGGTCTCTGCTCAAGGTCTGGTGTTCCCACATCAATACACACACATACCTTTGCCTGTATCTCATTCAGAACACTGTCTTCAGGTTCCTATTGCTTCCACAAAACACCATGGCCAAAAAGCAAGTTGGGGAGGAAAGGGTTTATTTGGCTTACACTTCCACTTAGCTGTTCATCACCAAAAGAAGTCAGGACAGGAACTAAACAGGGCAGGATCCTGGAGGCAGGAATTGATACAGGAGTCACGGAGGGATGCTGCATTACGGGCTGGCTTCCCATGGCTTGCTCAACCCATCTTTTTGTTTTTGTTTTTCGAGACAGGGTTTCTCTGTGGCTTTGGAGGCTGTCTGGAACTAGCTCTGTAGACCAGGCTGGCCTGGAACTCACAGAGATCCGCCTGTCTCTGCCTCCCGAGTGCTGGGATTAAAGGCGTGCACCACCAACGCCTGGCTTTGAACCCATCTTCTTATAGAACACACAATGGGCTGTGCCCTCCCCCAATAATCACTAAATGAGAAAATGCCTTACACCTGGATCTCATCTAGGTATTTTCCTAAACAGAGGCTGCTTCCTCTGATGACTCTAGTTACGTCAAATTGACACACAAAACCAGCCAGTACAACTGTCTCTTGGTTAAGAAATTTGGTCTCCTATGGCACCATGATGTGTGCCTGGTACTAAAGCCTTTCATCCAGTCTGTTTGTCCTTCTGAGCCCCAAGTTTTAAAGCACCAGACCTACCGAGCCACAGCAGATGTTTTTTAGATTTTACAAAAATCCCCAAGATCTTACAAGAGGAAAAACAACAAATATTAAAAGATTATTTGTTAATATAAAATGTTTTTGTTTAAAAATACTAATTTTATTTATTTTGGTTTTTCAAGACAGGGTTTCTCTGTGTATCCCTGGCTGTTCTGGAACTCACAGAGACCGCCTGCCTCTGCTGGGATTAAAGGTCATTGTATAACTCTTAGATCACATTCTGTTAATGAAAGTCAGGGCAGGAGCTCAAAGCAGGAACAAGCAGAACCATGGTACCCTAAGCCTGCTTTTTTTTTTTTTTTTTTTTTTTTTTTTTTTGGTTTTTCGAGACAGGGTTTCTCTGTGGCTTTGGAGGCTGTCCTGGAACTAGCTTGGTAGTCCAGGCTGGTCTCGAACTCACAGAGATCCGCCTGCCTCTGCCTCCCAAGTGCTGGGATTAAAGGCATGTGCCACCAACGCCCGGCTCTAAACCTGCTTTTTTCACACAACTAAGAACTACCTCCCAGCCGGGCGTTGGTGGCGCACGCCTTTAATCCCAGCACTTGGGAGGCAGAGGCAGGCGGATCTCTGTGAGTTCGAGACCAGCCTGGACTACCAAGCAAGTTCCAGGACAGCCTCCAAAGCCACAGAGAAACCCTGTCTCGAAAAACCAAAACAAAAAAACAAAAAAACAAAAAAACAAAAAACAAAATAAGACCAAAAAAAAAAAGAACTACCTCCCAGGTGGTTCTGCCCACAGTGGGATGAGTCTTCCCACATCACACAGGAACCAAGGAACTATGCCCCTGGCTTGCCTACAGTCTAATGAGGCATTTTCTCCATTGACTTACTCTTCCCAGACGACTAGATTTTATCTAGGTGACAAAAACCTAACCAGCACACACGGGGTCTCGTGTGCCAAGCTGAGAAAGACTTTGAACTTTTGCCCCTACTTCCTGAATGCTGGTCCACCACCATGTGCAGCTCACTGTACCCGCTGAGCTACATGACCACTCCCTATCACTAAATACACCCTTGCGTTTTCGAACCAGGGGTAGGAGGGTACACACGTGACATGGTGTGCGCGCGGATTCAGGGAACCTCCTTCCACCCCGGTCACCAGGATGGGTGACAAGCGTCTGTGCTCACTGAGTCATTTGCCAGCTTTATTTTTGGATAGTCTCACTATGTAATGTGGCCAGCCTAGGACTCCGTAGACCAGGCTGGCCTCACTTTCCTCCGTCCCTCCTCCTGCCTCCTGTGTGCTAGCCTAGCCTTCAAGCAACCTGGCCGTTCTGCAGAGAGCACACAGGGACGAAGCCTGGGAACGTCCCTCCCAGATACACCCTACCACTTGATGGACCCTAACAGGTTGAGCAGACCCAGAGATGAGGTGGAAAGTGCGGTAAGAGGAGCACGTTTTCTCAAGTGACAAGCCAACGAGAGGTTGGAGTCTTCTGTTCCAAAGATCTTTGGGAATCAGTCCAGTCACTTTCTCCTTCTTTACTGCCACGGGAAAAAAATAAAAATCGTAAAAAGCTGCATGTCTCTCCTTCCTCTTGAGTGGGAAGGTTTGAGTAGCCCCGCGTGACGGGCTGAGGCAGGGTGATTGCTCCAGCCTGGACTACATAGCTAGGCAATGCAGTAGCAATGGCAGTGTAGAAAGGGAAGAAATAGTAGATTTGGGGGGAATGCTAGTTGGGTACGCATTAATGCCACAGGAGGGCATGGAGCGGAAGTGAGGCTGAACCAGGCTGCGCATCATTGTGACGGTAGCGGATGGACCCGGACCCAAGAGAAGACAGAAAGGACTCGGTTCAGTGACTGACAAGAAGCGAAGGGTGAACAGTCGAACCCTAACCTTCTACTTCATCAAGCAGAGGGAAAATCCCCATGCCACATAAGAAAGCTGCAGGTGGTCTAGCGCCATCAATGCTCGCTCCGCCAGGGCGCATGCGCTCGCACTGGTCTAGGCGGGCCTCCCGAGGAGTTCTACGCATGCGCGACTACGGGGCTCAGGGTAAGGGGATCCCCTGGCGCCTTCGACCTGGTGTGCGCTTGCGTGGAGACGAGAGGGGCGGGACTTGGCCGAAGCCCGCTCGTTTGCATTTCTGGCGGGATAGGCGCGCGTGAGCTCGTCTCCCGCGCCGCTCGCAACCGCCGTTGGTCGTCGGTGGCCCTCAGCCGAGGCCCGACTCCAGGTACGCCCTGCCCGTGGCGACTTTCCCCGCCGGAGCCACGTCAGAGTCACTCCCGAAACTATGGCAGGACTCCCCAGTGCCGTCAACCGCCGGCTCCTTTAGAAAACGCTCCTACTTCTGACCAAAGCCCCTCCGATGATTACTTTTGTTTTAGTTGTTTTTGTTTTCTCCCCGAGACAGGGTTTCTCTGCGTGGCCCTGGTAATCCCAGAACTCACTCTGTAGACCAGGCTGGCCTCGAACTCAGATACTTAGATATTTGCCGGCCTCTTCTCGACCCCAACCCCCCTCTGGGATTAAAGGTGTGCGCCACCACTGCCCGAATTGTTTTGTTTTGTTTTGTTTTTTGTTTTTGGAGACAGGGTCTGTCTCCCTTGAGCAGGCACTAAAGGCCACTCACCTGGCTGGCTTGTTCGAGACAGACTCCAGTGTTGCCCAGGCTGGTCACGAACTTGTTATCCTCTCCCAAACATGCCCAGGTACAATCTTCCAGAAAGTTTGAAATTTAGCAGTTAGTTATATTGCGGCTTGGTTTGGTTTGATTTTGGTTTTTTTCAAGACGGCTTCTCTGTAGCTTTGGAAGCTGTCCTGGAACTCGCTCTGTAGACCAGGGTGGCCTCGAACTCACAGAGATCCGCCTGCCTCTGCCTCCCGTGCACCACCACCGCCCGGCAGACAAGAGTGACCCTTATTTTGGCTGACCTGGCTGTAGCAGAGGCGGTGCAGAGGAGGCATGCTGAGTTTCTGTGGTCGTGGCGAGTAAAGGACTTGGAGGTCACTGATAGAGAGGAAAAATGGTTCAGTGGTTAAGAACAGTTGCTGGACGTCAGCTTGATGATTCATGCCTTTAATCCCAGCACTCGGAAACATGTGGCTCTCTGAGTTCAAACTTGGGCTAGTCTTCATGGCAAGTTCCAGGCCAGCGAGGGCTACAGAGGGGGACCTTGTTTTAAAGCACAAAACCTGAAACAGTACTCTTGCAAATCACCCTCCCAGCACCCATGTGGCAACCCACAACCATCGGTAACTCCAGTTGTTCCAGGAACTCTGATGCCCTCTGGCCTCCAAAGGCATCAGACACACGTGTGGTACATACAGATGAGGACAAAACACATATAAAATAAAATAAACCTAAAGGGAAGATAGGGAGGCTAGAAAGCAGTCCTGGTGAAGCACCTTCCTGTTGAGGCAGAGGTCGCAAATTCAAGGCCAACCTGGCCATCTTAGGGTGGTTTTGTCTCAAAGAAAAGGCTGGACTGGAGCCTAGTGAAGCGGCTGTCTAGAGTCGACTAGTGAGGGGCTGGTGTGGTCCAGCAGGAGAGCGCTTGCCTAGAACCCGCAGTAGAAGGCAGTGTGGCGGCGGGAGAGCGGGCTGAAAGTGTCTCAGGAGGCCAGCAGTCTCCAGGCGGTGTGGGGGCCAGCTGGTTCTCAGCCCCAGGCAGAGTGAAAGGTGTTTCCAGAAGACGCAAAGGCAAGGCAAGGCCCAGACAGAGACCACAGCAGGAGCAGGTTAGAGTTGCTACAGGGTACAGCATGATTTGGGGAGAGAAAGCAGCTGGCCCAGACCACACTGTGCCTCTGTTGCTAGACACAAGCGGGCTCTGCCCCAAGGTGATGGGAAGCCATGGCCGCACAGGTGAGCTCTGCAGCCTGTGGGAATGGAGGCTGGGACATGGGCCCAGGGAGAACAGGGACCTAAGGCAAGACTGAGGAGGCAAGAGGAGTCTCTAGGACAGGGACAGGTGACTCCACCCTCTTGTCTCCCCATCCCACACCTCAAATCCATAAAACACGCTGGAGTTGGGATGGGGATGGCAAACAGGTTCTGAGAGCCCTGGGGCAGAGAGGGAGCAGTTTAGAGGCAGATAGTCTGAGGAAGCCATCATTTTTCTTGTCCTTCTAGAAGCTATCTGGGCAGGCTGTCCCTTTCCCAGCCCTCCTCTCAGTGGGGGGAAGGTGAGAGCTTCACCAGCTGCCGCAGAGACACAGGAGTGGTCCATGGACCTGTCATCGGACCCGGCTAGTGACTGCACTGCACAAAGTAGGTGTCTGCTTGGAAGAGGAGGAGGTGGGAGCCGTGGGTCAGCGTGGGAGCAGGAGAGGTGGCCAGGCAGGGTGGGCAGGCGCTAAGGATGGTGGGAGAAGTGTCAGTGTGCTTGCCACATGTCTGTCCCCATTTGCTCCTCTCTGGAGGGCTCCTGGGGACAGAAGGCTGCATTTGTGGTAATCCACACCACCCCACCTCTTCCCACAACTCCTCCTGTGTCCCGATGGTGGGCCAGTGAGATCTCGTACTTGGGGTAAAAGAGGTTCCCTGCCCCCTCTCTCCCTGCTGCACTTCTCTTCCTAACACCGGCATCTGTCAACCTGCTTAGTCTAAGACTCTCCTCTGGAGCATGGCTCCCCAGAACCTATTCCACTCTTGGTGATATTTCCCTCTGTGTGTGTGCGTGTGTGTGCGTGTGCATGTGTGTGTGTGTGTGTGTGTGTGTGTGTGTGTGTGTGTGTTCTTGCAGTGCAGGAGTTGAAATCCAGCGTTTTGTGTGTGCTAGGCAACCAATCACCACTGAGCTATGTTCAGCTGTGTTGAGCTCTGGGTTTCGTTTTTTGGGACAGAGTCTGGCTTTGAACTTTTCACTCCTTCTGCCTCTGTTTCTCAAGTGTTGAGATTACAGGCATGCTCCACTATGCTCAGCTCACATATGTAACTTAATTTTTTAAAAGAGAGAGGCTGCCAAGGGGCTCATACCTGTAGTCCTGGAACTGAGGATCTAAGGCAATAAGATAGAAACTTCAAGGCCAAATCAAGCAGGTGATGCAAATGGTATTAACTGATTTTATTTAGTTTTGTATGCATACAAACTGTTTTCTGCTTTAAGCAGCGTAAAAACATACTGAGTTACCCTGTTTTCAGACATCTTTGAGAACTGGTATGTGGTGTTTCGCACTAACAGAACACTGTTCCATCGTGGCCTGCTCAGGTGCAGGCAGCCTCAGCCCACTGGTGCTGCTAGCTAGAGCAATGCCTGCTTCACTGTGGAAGCTTGGTGCCTTGTGGGCAGATGCAGATACGTAGGTGTGGGAGCCAGCACACATCAGCTCAGGCAGGAAGGTGCTGGCTAACCGACTGTCTTCTGTGGGCCAGCCTCTGTCTCTGCCTCTCACTCCTGTTCTCTTTCCTGTCTATCTCTGTCTCTGCCCTGACTCAGAAACTCTGTTCCCCAAGAAGCTGTTTCCTTCCTCTGTTGTCCTAGTCTCTCCCCTCAACTCATCTCTGATTTCTGTCTCTCTCTCCACCCCCTGAGGATGAGCTAACAGGGAGAGCCAGTCTGATTAAGAAGCTCTCTCCTCTAGATAGTCAACTGGGGTCACTGCGGGAGTATCTTGTCTTCCAGACTCCTAGGTGTTCATAACCAGGCCTGCAGCTTTGCTCAAAGCTGAGATCTGCCCCTCAGCTTCAGGAGTAACCTCTGCAAATAGGAGGGATTTACAGGCAGACCAGCGTGCCAGGACTAGAGAGGGTTGAGGGCCATCTAAACCTCGCCTGCACCAGCAGAGGGCGTGTAGCCAAGTCGACTCCTGAGGCTGCCCTAGGAAAGGGAATAACACACCCACAGGAAAAGCAAGGGCTGAAAGACAGAGACGGCAAAGCAGAGAGGAGGCACTTGGAACAGAGTAACAAGATGGAGGACGGGAGAAAACAGGACCTAGGGACACAGGGCAGAGGCTAGACATGTGAGAGAGGTTGGGGAAGAAGGGGGAAGAAATATCCCAAAAGAAAAGTAGGGCTTGGGGCTGGAGAGATGGCTCAGAGGTTAAGAGCACTGACTGTTCTTCCAGAGGTCTTGAGTTCAATTCCCAGCAACCTCATGGTGGCTCACAACCATCTACAATTCAATCTGGTGTATATGTAATAAATAAATAAATCTTCAAAAAAGAAAAAAGAAAAGTAGAGCTTGGGACTGGAGAGATGGCTCTGTGGTTAAGAACACTAGCTGCTCTTCCAGCAGTCCTGAGTTCAATTCCCAGCAACCACATGATGGCTCACAACCATCTGTAATGAAATCTGGTGCCCTCTTCTTTTTTTTAAGATTTATTTATTATTATGTATGCAGTGTTCTACCTGCATGTCTGCCTGCAGGCCAGAAGAGGACACCAGATCTCATTACAGATGGTTCTGAGCCACCATGTGGTTGCTGGGAATAGAGCAGAGGCAGAGCTGTGAAGTGAAGGAGGAAGGGGGGCAGAAACAGTGTCTCTGAGGATGGTGTCTCTATGTACCATGTCCTTACTGGGCCACAGAGTCCTCCTTTGTAACGCTGGACGATGAGGAACAGTAGACCAGCTGAAGGCCACCTCCCTCACTAACCTGGGCTCCTAGTGCCCTCCCATGGGAGCCAGAAAGGGTCCAAATCAAACCGGTGCAGTGAGTCCTGAGCTGCAGGGTGAGAAGGGGATTCTTGTGCTAGAGGCAGCTGGGGCAGCTTCGGATGCTTCTGCCTCAGACTGTCTTTAGGAATAGCAGCTGCCGTGGTCTGATGCTCCATAGGTGCCTGTAGTTCTGTGCCAAGCAGAGACCCACCTCATTTTATCCCACTCTTTCTAGAGGACACCGCTGAGGCTCAGGTTGAGTCCTAAGCACCGTGGGGGGTGGGGCAGGCTGCTCACTTCATCCCCAGCTCACTCTAACCCTGCAGCCACGTACAGTGCATTGGTTTCAGCAAGCCAGGCCAATGAAAGCCACCTCCAGCATGGAGAAGCTTCCCGTGCGCAACAGTTACTGGGTGCCTTCACTTCATATTCATGCAGTGTGAATAGAGCTGTAGGTCAACAGATCTAAGAAGATAGACACATGGGCACACATACACAACGAGTCGATCTGAGCCAGTCAGAGCTGACCTACCACCACACACCACACATGTTCACATATACAGACACATACACAACGAGTCGATCTGAGCCAGTCAGAGCAGACCTACCACCACACACCACATATGTGCATACACATATGTTCACATATACAGACACACACATTGCACATACACACTGAACAACTGAACATATCACACATGCATGCACATACACACATCTTCACTATGGGGGTGGAGCAGCCTTCTCAGTTCTCTTGAGGAGGTATTTTACTTGTATGGAAACAGACCCCCAAAGAAAAAGAGTCTAGCAACAGATATGCTGTGTGTTGGTGTTGCTGACTCAGGGGAGTCTAGCAGGAGGCTCAGCTCCTATCCCTGCTACCCCTGTTTAGACAGCCCCAACCCTCTTCCTCCTGATGCTGGCCCTGAGCTCCTCCAGTGCTGACAACACCAGGCTGGGGATGAGAGATGAGCAATGGTCCCTGGGGCTGTAGCGGGCGGGCGGGCGGGCGGGGTCGATGAGGCTGCCCACGCCTTATTGGATTGTTCCTGGCTCCTGGGCCACCTTCATCCTGGCTCTTCCCAGAATCCTTTTCCTTGCTTTCCTCAAGCCTGGTCCCCTTTGCCCATTGCCTGAGAGGCTGGAGAAGGGAGGGGGTGAGGGTCATCTCAGAGCTCATTAATGGCTCCTGAGCCCATTGGAAACAAAACATTAGACAGATAGCAGGGGGCATTCCCTGACGTGAGAGATGAGGCCCACATGGGAGAAGTGACTCAAAAACCCTCATGTTGTCGCCTCACCGGAAGCCTCCTGCTGTCTTTCACCAGTCCCAACCACAGACAGCTCTGAATTAATAAATTAGCCCCAACTCAGCAGCCTGGGTATTGGGCAGGAAGATCTTGGGGTCCCCTCACACAGGACAGGCCCTCATTTCTCTACAGTGTGCCTCTGGGAACAGCCTGAGGAAGTGAATTCAGAACCACTGCTCAGCCTAGAGGAGCAAATCCTTAACTCCACATTTGAAGCCTGTGATCCTCATAAGACAGGTGGGGGCTGGGGAGCCACAGGGAGGAGGGCTCGGTCCTTCAGGAACGGGAAAATGACATGGGTAAGGGGTGGAGTAGGAAGAGCTTGAGCCCCTAGTAAGAAGTTAGCGTCTGGCCGGGTGCAGCAGTGGGCACTGCCCTGGCTCATCCTCTTTGGTCTGCTCTGAGATGGACAGGAAAACTTGACTCGGGAGGGACTTGTCCCAGGGTCCTCTGCATGCCATGGGGCAGGCCTGTCACCAGCCCACTGATGACAGTCACTGTCCACAAGCCATGACCTGCCCTACTGGCCATCGCCCAGTGCAGTCCTCCCCACCATGCTCTGTCCCAGGCACTGTGGCTGTAACACACCTCCTGGCCTACCTGGAGGCTGTGACAGGACAGGGCCCCCAGGATGTGCGCCTCCAAACACTGGCCCGAAGTTTGGACCCTTATGGGGAAGGTGCTGGAGCCACTGTGGAGTTGGACACCTTCCTGGTGGTGATGCGGGACTGGATTGCTGACTGCCAATTGCATGGGTGAGTCCGTACACCAACAGCCTCCCACTGAAGTCTTTCAGGGTTGCTCAGCAGCCAGGACCAGCTAGGCCCAGGGACCCATGCAGTTGGCTTGAGACGAAGGAAAGACATGGGAAGATGTGGAGGGCAAGGGGGGGCTGAGGACTAAATGCCCAAGAGGTGGAGCTGCAAGGGGCTGACAACAGGAAGGGCTGCCCGGCACAGCCCAGGCCCTGCCCTCTGGCTTTACCCTCCGCCCCCACAGAGCCACTCTCTGACTGCCTCCCTTCACCACCCGACCCTCCCTACAGGCACAGGTTGTGGCTGTGGTGGCCACAGGGGACCTGAGCCTCTTGCCTTTGATACAGGGGATTAGAGCGGGCAGAGGAGCCCGCCTTCGGGGGAGCCCTGGCTTCTCCACACCTGCCATCTGGTGAGACTATTTATAGAAGGAGACGGGTGGCAGGGGTCAGCAGGGTAGCAGGGGCCTCTCATCTGCTCGCTCCTCACAGCAAGGACTAAAGAGACAGCTGGGGCTTTTGCTCAGCCGGCAGCTCTGGTGGATTTCTGGGACAGTCCCCTCATCCTGGACTTTGGGGTCAGGGTTTCCATGCCCTCCTCCCAGCTCCAGCCCTAGTGTAGAGGCTGAGGAGATTGCAGTTTCCTTGTTCTCCCGCTGAGGGGCCCTAGGACGCCTACATTATTGAAATCTTTGCATGGCACAGGGCAGTCTTGGCCTGCTAGGCTCCTCCTCTTGGCTCTGCCCACCCTCACCCCCAAACACCTCTTACACCTGCTTGCCTTTCCTTGAGGACAGACATCTGTCCAGCTGTACCCAACCATATGCTAGGTGCTAGGTGCCAGGGCCTCACACCCAGAGGTGTGCACTAGAAAGTGCCTTACAGAACCCAGACTGCAGCCCTCTTGGCATTTTCTTTTTGTTTGTTTTAGTTTCAGTTTGGGTTTTTTTGACACAGGGTTTCTCTATGTAGCCCTGGATATCCTGGAACTGACTCTGTAGACGAGGCTGGTTTTGAACTCATAAAAATCACGCTGCCTCTGCTTCCTGGCTGCTGGGATTAAAGATGTATGCCACCATACCCAGCTCTTGGCATTCTCTTGAACCTTGAGGCTTCTTCCGTCTTGGGGGCCAGGGAGGAATGTGAGCAGCAGAGGGGCAAAGACGGAGAGAGAAAGGAGGCTTAGGTAGAGGCTGGGGAGTGCCCAGGGAGAAAGAGAATGGGTGTGGCTGGAAATGGAGTCAAACTGGCTGAACTCCAGCAACTGACAGATAACAAGGGCCCGACGAGCCTTAAGACTTGAGGGAAGCTGGAACCAGGAGAAGAGTGGGCTTGGGGAAGTGGAGGCACCCCTGTTTCTGAATACTGGCTGGGCCCAGGCAAGCATAAGCAAGCAGCCTATGCAGTAAGAGTAATTCAGCCCAGGGGACCCCAAAGTTACATATGGAAAAACTGGGATGCCAGAATCCTGGGACAAATCCTGGGTGCTTTGACACCCAAACTTTTAAAGTCACCAGAGAGTCCAACCTCCTTTTGTCTGTCTCTTTCCAGCATGCTCAGAAGCAGAGGAGCCAGCCAACTTGGAGAGCTTTGGAGGAGAAGACCCCAGGCCTGAGGGGTGCCTGTCCTCCCCACCCCATCCCACCCCATCTTCTCCAGCCTATCTGGGGCCCGGGGGGATTGATGTCTTTTGGCTCAGGAGAGCCTTGGAATTTGATTCTGATTGTCTCCAGAGAAACCCATGCCCTAGCTGCCAGCACCTGCCCCCCCCCCCCCAGGAGATTGGGGTTGTGAGGGCAGGAGCAAAGCTGGTGACCAGGCCCTTGCTGCCCTCAGGCCTGCCACAGCCGAGCTGCTGAGCAGCCTAGAGGACCTAGAGCTCAGCAACCGCCGCCTTGCTGGGGAGAACGCCAAGCTGCAGCACAGCGTGGAGACTGCAGAGGAGGGCTCAGCGCGTCTAGGGGAGGAGATCGCAGCCCTGCGCAAGCAGCTGCGAAGGTGAGTGTCTGTCCGAAGGTGAGTGTCTGTCCGCCTGGCTGCCTCAGGTCCAGGCAGCCCCTCCACTGCCCAGCCCCTTCTGTCTGGGAAGGGTTCAGTCTGACGTCACTCCCGCTTTTGTTCTCATCCCCTCTCCTCCACCGCTTTCTCTGTTTGCTGTGTGACCCCATGCTCTCTTCCTCAGGTGACACCCCACGCCGCATGCCCCCGTCCCTTTCCCTCTGTTCCTGCACCCTCGTTCTAGCTGTGCCTCCTCATAGTCTGGGATGTTTTACTCACTTCTCTGCCTGCCTCCTCAGCACCCAGCAGGCCCTGCAGGTGGCCAAGGCGTTGGATGAGGAGCTTGAGGACCTGAAGACTCTGGCCAAGAGCCTGGAAGAGCAGAACCGCAGCCTGATGGCCCAGGCCCGGCACACAGTGAGTGCTAGCGAGGTCCATTGCCTATGGCAGAGGGGCAGACGAGAAGGGCAACCTGCCATCCCTCATGACCCTCAGCCCAGCTCTTCAGTGAGAAAGGCCCTGACTGTACTCCTCAGTCAGGGAGACTGACAGGGCAGGAACTGGAACCGATTCTGTCCTCTCTGGGGTGGGCCAGGAGAAGGAGCAGCAGCACCTGGTGGCTGAGGTGGAGATACTACAGGAAGAGGTAAGCTGAGGCCCACCCACCCATCTTTAAGGGTTCCTGCCCCTGTCCTGCAGACCAAGGGGGTCCAGGATCCCACAGTCTGTGGTAATCCCTGGGCTCATGTTGAGGGCCTGGCCAGCTCTTCCCTTGTCTGCATTGGGGGACCCTCGACATCAGGGGAGCAAGCCAGTGGCTTCACAACACGGGGTAGTGTGAGGTTTCAACCAGAAGACCTAGAAAATTCCTAACTCCCGCAGGGCGGAGGTGGGCACGTCTTTAATCCCAGCATTCGGGAGGCAGAGGCAGGCGGATCTCTGAGTTTGAGGCCAGCCTGGTCTACCAAGCGAGTTCCAGGACAGGCTCCAAAGCAATACAAAGAAACCCTGTCTTGAAAAACCAAAAAAAAAAAAAAAGAAAGAAAGAAAATTCCTAACTCAAGGTAGAATATGTAGGATGTACGTAGTAAAATCCCATAAACTGTCATAGTGTTTCATACCTGTCATCCCAATATTCGGGAGTCTGAAGCAGGAGGATTTTGAGTTCAAGGCCAGCCTGGGCTATATAATAAGACTGAAAGAAAATGTCAGATATCATTATTTATATCAGTATGTTGGCTTGATTCCTGGCAGTGCAAATGAAACTGCAAAAACTCATAAAGCATTTTTTTTTTTTTTTGGTTTTTCGAGACAGGGTTTCTCTGTGGCTTTGGAGGCTGTCCTGGAACTCGCTTGGTAGTCCAGGCTGGTCTCGAACTCACAGAGATCCGCCTGCCTCTGCCTCCCGAGTGCTGGGATTAAAGGCGTGCGCCACCAACGCCCGGCTCATAAAGCATTTTTTAAGCAAAGGTTTTGAAGTCATCTGCAGAAGCATGGTGAACCACCTTCAGGCCTATGATTCTTCCCTTCCTTTTTTTTTTTTTTTTTTTTTTGGTTTTTTGAGACAGGGTTTCTCTGTAGCTTTGGAGGCTGTCCTGGAACTCTGTAGACCTGGCTAATCTTGAACTCAGAGATCCACCTGTCTCTGCCTCCCAAGTGCTGTGATTAAAGACATGCGCCACCACTGCCCGGCCTTCCCTTCCCTTCTAAGCTTTTGTTTTTCATTTTGGTTCTAAGCTTTTGTTTTTCATTTTGGTGGTGCTGGAGATGGAGCTCTGGGCCTTGGGCATGCTGGGCAAGCAGCCACCAGGCCTGGGTGTTCTCCAGAAGCCAGCAGGAACCTGGACAGCCGGGTTGCAGTAATGGTGAAGTGATGGTATTTACCTGAGGGCCAGCCCTACAGCCCAGACCTATTTAAGTCCCTTTACACTCTGAGCTCTTGTCTACATTGCAGTTCATCAAGGGTTAAATGCTATCGGTGCCATCCCTCCTCCCCCAAGGTGGCAGATGAGTTGCAGGTCCATGATGGGTTCACATCCCAGGCAGCACTGGTCCTCTCTTGACCCCATCCTCTACTTAGCCATCCATGGGGAGGCCAGAATTGCCTTCAAATCTGGGTTTAGCCCTTGCTCTCTACCTGCTGATGCCTGGATGCCTGTCTCCTCTCCTGGGCTGTGACTTTAGCTCAGCCTCCCAGGGTCACCTGGGGAATGTGGCTGCTTTCCTGTGAAAACACACAGCTGTACTGTGTGGTCTCCATCTGCTGCCCTGCAGCAGTTCTGGGTGAGTTGGAGTTGGAGGGATGCTCACTCAGAATCAGGTGTCCCCTGGTGCCCCGTCTCCCCCAACCCCTGTTGGCCAGAGCTTTTCAACCCCAGCTCCAAGTTGCACAGCTGCCTCATGGGCCCCAGCTCCTCTCCTGAGTCTCTGTCCTGTGTCTGCACTGGGCTTTTTACTGAAATCCTAAGTCTCTCTTCTTCACTGCTCAGTGGCTTCTCTGTGGACTGTTAACCCCCTCCCAAGGCAATGGGAGTCTCTGAGCAAGATGGCTGCTGCATTCAGTCGGGGTAAAATATCTTGTAGAACGTTTTTAGGAAGAATTTAATTTATGTCTTTGAGTGTTTTGCTTGAATGTATGTCTGTACACCATGTGAGTGCCTAGAGCCTATGGAGACCAGAAGAGGGTATGGGATACTCTGGAACTGGAGTTACAGATGATTGTGAGTGCTGGGGATTGAACCCGGGTCTTCTGGAAATACAGCCAGTACTCTTAGCCACCAAGCCATCTTTCCAGCCCCCAGAATTTTTTTTTTAAGAATGAAGAGATCTGGGGCTGGAGAGATGGCTCAGAGGTTAAGAGCACTGACTGTTCTTCCAGAGGTCCTGAGTTCAATTCCCGGCAACCATACGGTGACTCACAACCACCTTGAATGAGATCTGGTGCCCTCTGCTGGCATGCAGGCAGAAGACTGTATACACAACAAATAAATATATATATATATAAAAGAAGAATGGCCGGGCGTTGGTGGCGCACGCCTTTAATCCCAGCACTTGGGAGGCAGAGGCAGGCGGATCTCTGTGAGTTCGAGGCCAGCCTGGTCTACAAAGTGAGTTCCAGGACAGCCTCCAAAGCTACAGAGAAACCCTGTCTTGAAAAAACAAAAACAAAAAAAAAAAAAAAAAAGAAGAAGAAGAATGAAGAGATCTAATCCCAGCACTTGGGAGGCAAAGGCAGGCAGATTTCTGTGAGTTCAAGACTAGTCTGGTCTGAATAGTGAGTTCCAGGACAACCAGTGTTATGTAGAGATACCCTGTCACCAAATGGGGGGAAATGGAGACCTCTCCCTGCAGGGCCCTGTCCCAGCTCATAGACACCCAGCAGTGATGGCTTTCCTGTCCCCTGATGTCTGCAGCACCAGTGCAGACATCATGCTGCAGCATGCCAGCTCCAAGGGAACGAACGGGCCAGTTCTGCCCAAAGCAGTTTCTGGTCTCTGGGTTATCGGGTGGCTCAATGGCTTTTTAATATTATTATTTATGTGTGAGTGTTCTCCCTGCATGTCTGCCTGCAGGCCAGAAGAGGGCACCAGATCTCATTACAGATGGTTGTGAGCCACCATGTGGTTGCTAAGAATTAAACTCAGAACCTCTGGAACAGAAGTAAATGCACTTAATTGCTGAGCCACCTTTCTAGCTCTGTTGTGTGTGTGTGTGTGTGTGTGTGTGTGTGTGTGTGTGAGTGTGAGTGTGAGTGTGAGTGTGTGGGGGAGTGTGAATGTGTGTGGGAGTGTGTGTGAGTGTCAGTGTCTGTGAGTGTGTATGTGAGTGTGAGTGTGTGTCAGTGTCTGTGAGTGTTTGTGTCAGTGTCTGAGTGTGTGTGTCAGTGTCTGTGAGTGTTTGTGTCAGTGTCTGTGAGTGTATGTGTCAGTGTCTGTGAGTGTGAATGTGTGTGTGTGTGTGTGTGTGTGTATGAGTGTGTCTTTGTGACGGTGTGCTGAGAAGGGAACCCAGGTTCTGGCAGCAACACTGAACCATATCCCCAGACCTGGGTTTTTTGTAACAGGGTCTCACTGTGCAGTGTGGGCTGGATTTGAACTCCTAATCCTTCTGCCTTAGTCAAGTAAGATCTGGGACTTTAGGCAAGCTCCTGCATACCCAGTCTCTCACCAGTTTACCAGTTTTGTTTGTTTTGTTTTTTTGTTTTTTTTCCTGCTTGTGGTCTTATAGTCATAGATGGCTCAAGACAGACAGGGAGGCACCAGCCTCCCTCCCCCACCACACACACACACACACACACACACACACACACACACACTCCTGCCTCTCTCTGTGTCATTTCAACAACCATCTCATATCGTTGGCTGGGAGGATTCCTTAACCACTGCTGGAAGGAGCCTGTTAGGGTGTCTCACCTTCAGCCTGGAGCTAAGACAGCCAGCCCTGGGTTGGAGTAGCTGCTCCCTTAGCAGGCTGTTTTCCTTGTCACTGCCCCAGGGCATATAATGCTAGACAGCAAGAGTTAGCACCCCTGCCTCCTGCCCCAGAGGAACTTCCTAGGCATGCTAGCTCCATACCTTGAACTATTGTGAGCTCCTTGCTGGCCTGCTGCACTACCCACTGAAATCTAGACATTGAGATCTCAGGTTACAGCTGGACCTGGTAAAGTAATGAGACATGCTGCCTCCAAAGCTCTGGCTGCTGGCTGGATCCCAAAAACCTAGAGCCGCTACTTCTGCAGAAGGCTGCAGGGTGCTTTTGGGTCCCACCAGGTGGACAGGTGTTGACACAGCACTTCCAGCTGTCCTTCCTCTGCCCTTCACCCAGCAGCAGCCCAGGCCGCTGAGGTGAGTGAGAGGCACTGATGACCCAGAGCAGAAACAAGGCTGGAGGCCGGAAGAGGCAGCCTCTGTCTCCTGGGGCTCTGAAGAAAGATGAGATGTGCCAGACTCAGGTGTCCGGAAACTTGGACTTTAAATTGTCATATTCTAGTTTGTTTGTTTTTCGAAACAGGGTTTCTCTGTCACCACCCAGTTTGGGCCATTTTATTCTTAGGTCCCACTGATCAGCTGTTGTGGGTGACTTTTCCTGACCTCCTTTTCTCCACTTGGAAGACTCAGGCCAGGCACTACCTCCTCATTAAGCCTGTGACTGTGCCACCACCTAGCCTGGGCCTCTTCAGCGAGCCTTGGGCTAAGCATTCTCTGCTACTCCACTTCTGGCCCCTGCACACCTTGTGCCTTGAGTACCACCACTTTTCAAATGCCTTTTGTCACCCAGGGCTTCATCTGGCCCCCAGAAAAGGTTGAGTATTAGAAGTGGGACTGGGCTGGGCAGTGGTGGCGCACGCCTTTAATCCCAGCACTCGGGAGGCAGAGGCAGTCGGATCTCTGTGATTTCAAAGCCAGCCTGGTCTACAGAGCAAGTTCCAGGACAGCCTCCAAAGCTACACAGAGAAACCCTGTCTCGAAAAACCAAAAAATAAAATAAAAGAGGTGGCACTGGGCATCACACAGATGGTGGCCTTGCCCAGGGTTTTAGCACCTGTGCACTTTCCTCTGTAGAGCTGAGGGAAGGATGCTATTAATGGCTGTACAGCCATGACAGGGCTCTGTTACAGGGCCAATGTAATGTGGACATTGCAAGCCCTGGATCTCCTGCCTGCTTGCAGGAAGGGAAAAGGGCACATGTGGGGTGCATGTCAGGACAGGGGTCCACATCTGGAGGTGTGGTGTCCACCATGGACCTTGTGTAAAGTCCTCTGTGTGCCAACCATAGTCTTCATGCTCAGAGAAACAAGAAGACTGGTTGATTTTGTTGCTGATTTTTTTTTTTTGGTTTTACAAGACAGGGTTTCTCTATATTGTTTTGGAGGCTGTCGGTCCAGCCTGGCCTTGAACTCACAGAGATCCACCTGCCTCTGTCTTTTGTTGCTGATTTTAAGTTATGGTTTTGCTAAAGGAAATAAGTTGTCACAAGTAGGTAAACGCTGGGGTTGTTCCAGGGGAAATGGGAGATCTGATTTAAAATGACTGAATTAGACAGGAAAACAAAAGATATAGGGAAAAGAAGAAACCAAAATATAATTATTGCAGCTGGGCATGAGGATTAGGTGTAGTGACCACACCTGCTGAAGCAGGAGGATCACAGGCTCAAAGCCAGCCCAGGCTGTGTATTGAGTGTGTTCATTATACTTTCCTATAGTGTTGTATGTTAGGAAACATGAGTGCAAGCATCCATAAACATCCATCTCTAACATTTATATCTGGTACGTGCCAGGCACTGTTGACTCTGCTGTAAATACCTGTGGTCATTAGCATTCACTGGCCTATGTTAGAATAAGAGCTTTGTGGCCAGGCAGTGGTGGCGCACGCCTTTAATCCCAGCACTCGGGAGACAGAGGCAGGTGGATCTCTGTGAGTTCGAGGCCAGGCTGGACCGACAGCCTTCAAAACAATATAGAGAAACCCTGTTAAAAAAAAAAAAAGAGCTTTGTGATCCGGAACATATTACTCCATCCCTCTGTGCCTGAGTTGCCCTTATCTTTAAAAATGGGAAAAGAAATGGAATGTCACATGCAAAGTGCTTGGAAGTTACTGGCTCCTTTAACTCACAGGGACCCAGGGAATCAGTGGGGGAACCGCCTGTGGAGAAATTGCAGCTGAGGGCGCGGCGTGGTGGGGGGGGAATAAAGGACTAGCTGGGTGCACACGGGGCAGGGAATGTCAGCTGTGAGCATGAGCACTGCTGACTCACGGTGAGCAGGGCTGTTCCTCCCTCCAGAACGGGAAGCTGCTAGCAGAGCGAGACGGAGTGAAGAGGCGGAGTGTGGAGCTGGCCACAGAGAAGGATGCTCTGAAGGTGCAGATGTACCTAGGCCTGAGGACCATCACCTCCCGCACCCCAGTCAGCACGTCAGCTGCTGAGAACAGGGTCCTGCATCAGAGTCCTCCAGAGTGGCTGACACACCATGGGTGTCACTGAGGGGAGATGTGGGGGGCTGCTGGGAGGCTGGGTGAAGAGATAAATGGACTCTTTCCTTGGCAGCGGCAGCTCTGTGAGTGTGAACAACTCATTTGCCAGCGTGAAGCAGTCCTCTCAGAGGTGAGGAACAGGGAGGGGACAGACCTACCCTTAGCATACCTTCCTAGCCCCCACCTTGTGTGGCAGGAGCCCACCCAGCTCTGAACCCTGGGCAAACCCTGGAGACGGGCCTCCTCCGGTCAGTGCGGCCTGCAGGGTCTGGAAGCAGCTCTGCTCCAAGCTTTCCCAACTCAGCCAGCTCCCACTTCAGCAGCTTCATGTCTTAGGGGACTGAACCCTGGCTCTGTTCCCCAGCGTACCCGCCACGCAGAAAGTCTGGCCCAGACTCTGGAGGAGTACAGAACCACCACCCAGGTAATGAGTGCTCGTGGCACCTCTAACAACCATCTTTCTGGGGTCTCCCCAACAGTCCAGTGCTGCTCTGTCTTCACTCTCCACCCCTCCTACCGCATTCTGCCTCCCGCCCACTCACCTCCCCGGAGCTCCTCCCCTCCCTCAGCATCTGCCTGGGTGGCTCGGGCATGTTTTCTGTGAGTCTGCCTCCTTAGAAGAGTCTCCTGCCTTTGTCGTGTTGCTGGCTGTGCCTTACGCTCTGGGCCTCTGTGCTCTCGTCTTTATGAGTGTCTGCACTGCTTCTTCACCTGGTCCCTTAGCAGTTGGTGTCTGGGAAGAGGAGCCCGAAGTATGTGGGACTCCACCAGGGCCCACGCTCTGCCTTCCTTACAGGAACTAAGGCAAGAAATCTCGAACCTGGAGGAGCAGCTGAGTCTAAGCCAGGAGGGCCCAGAAGAGTGAGCGGATAGTCAGGAGGGGGGCAGGGATGAGTGGTGGGTCACGGGTGGGGAGGATCAAGCGGATGGTCAGGCAAGAAAGGGGCAGGAGGGGGCTGGGCCACAGGATGAAGGCTGCAGAATGTGGTCCAAAAGATAGGCCTCCCCCTGTGGCCAGGCTACTGGAAGGGGCTGAACCGGGAAGAGTAGGCTGGATCATGGCACTGCCCCCATCACTGGACTTGGAGATTCAGGCTATCCGACAGGTAGGCTCTGCTTCCATGGAATGTTCTGAAGGACACCAAGACAGAAACTCCATGTGTCCTTATGCAGACCCTCAGTCCCAGAGGTCTGGGCACTTGGTGATTCAGCTCTCACACTGCTGCCAGAGTTACCCGCCCTCTCCAGCATGCCTGCTCTGCCTCAAGCCCAGCCCTGAAAAGTCCCCTCACGTCTCCTACCAGTCTATGGTCCCTTCACCGGCATCCTCCTCCCTGTTTACCTTCCCATCATCAATTTTCCCCAACCCTTCTGCCTCTATCCTACCTGGGGCCCCACCTTGCCCTGGCCCTCCCAGGTTCAGACGCAGCCTCTGATTCCAGGAGAGGGACGCCGCAGGTGCTGGCCTCTCCAGTCCCCTGTGTGGAATGTGGCCCTGGGAGGAGGCCGCTAGGGAACAGGTGAGGAGAGGGGACTCTGAACCACAGAAGTCTGGAGGACCCCAGGATCCCACCGACCCTCTCAGCCCTCTGCTGTGTCGTCCACCCCTTGAGCTTACCAGATAGCCTGCTGCATGCCAAGGGTGTGGCCCCAGCCAACAGGACACACCCCTACCCTCAAGGGATGGGCAAACTCAAGTTGCCCTGGAGAAAGAAACCCTGTCACGGTTCCCTTATCTACAATTGTGCATATTGTGGAAGACATGAAATGTCTTTGAGAAAAGCTGCTGGGCAGTGGTGGCGCACGCCTTTAATCCCAGCACTCGGGAGGCAGAGGCAGGCGGATCTCTGTGAGTTCGAGACCAGCCTGGTCTACAGAGCGAGTTCCAAAACAATACAGGGAAACCCTGTCTCGAAAAACCAAAAAAAAAAAAAAAAAGACAAAACTTGGGAGGCGGACATCTTGGAGGACATGTAGGGGCTACAAGAGCAGCCAGGTGTGCAGGCCTGGAGGCCACCAATTACTAGAGAACTGTTGGGTGGATGTGACTCACACTGCAATTCTAGAACTGGGAAGGCTGAAGCAGGAGGCTTACCATGAATTTGAGGCCAACCTGAGCTACCGAGTTAGACCCTGTCTCAAAAAACAAACAAGGAAGGAAGGAAGGAAAGATAGATGCGGGGCAAGGAAGCCACACAGCTCTATCCCAGCTCCTAGGAATCAGAAGCAGGAGTTCAAGGCCATCCTCTGCTACTTAGTGACGCTCAAGCAACATGAGGCACTGAGCAAACAAAATAAGTGTCAGTTAGTGCAGTTAGTGGGGCCACAGGCACAAAGGAGGCTTCTCTGGCTCTGGGCCCTTTGGAGGAGCAGGAAACAGCCTGAGACCCCACCAGAGGGAAGGGGGGAGAAAGTATCGAGCCCTCTCCTGGCACAGGCACCCTGGAAATACTGATCTCTAGTCCTCAAAAGCAGCTAGGTAGAGTCACCAGCATCCACGGCATATGTGGCTTTTCCTGGGTGCTGAGGGAGTCCACAGAAAGCACAGAGACTTGTGTCCCTGTGCTGTCTACTTCAGTCTGGACCTCAGGTAGAAGGTGCTGGCTGGAGCTGGGTCAGAAGCTCAGAGAGAGAGAGAGGGTTCCTTGGTGCGAATAGTCAAGGAAACCAAACCTTAATGTTCTGCAGAGAGACTTCCAGGGAGAGCCAGTGTGTGCTCTAGGAGGGAGCAGAGCAGTGTCTTTAAGGTAAGGGGTAGGTGATGGAGCCCTCCCACCCTCAGCCACAAGGACTATAGCACCCTGCAAAAGTCGGCATGCCCCTCCTCCATTCCTCAATCCATGGCTGCCTCAGAGCTCTGGGCCTGGCCCTGCCCTCAGCACACCCTGACCCTGGCAACTCCAACAAGAGGTGGGCACCTGGACCCCAGGGAGACTTTCAGGAGCTGTGGGGAGCACTCCAAGGGCCAGGCTGGATGGTACAGGCTTGTAATTGTTCCCCTACAGGGAGCCAGAGATGCAGGAACCAGGCTGATGGGGCCTTGAGGGCTCCCAGCCATGGAAGACCCCGTCCTGGGCACCCATTCCTTGAGGGGCTGGTATGAGCCTGCTGGATCCCAGAGTCCAGCTCTGTGACTGACAGGGTTGTGTTTTGAGGCCTTACTCAGGCTTTGAGTAAGGATGGAAAGCGCTGGATGTCTGGTCACAGTGCCCTCCGCTTCCTGTGGTGCCCCCCTCCTCCAGACTCCTGCTGCCACAGCTAATGAGGCCCCTACACAACCTCTAATTGGACTTGCCTGGGCAGAGCTGAGATGGGACTGCCTGGGTGCTCTGAGCAGTGTGACCTCCTCCTACGTCAGCAGGATGGAGGGAGGAAGGGTGGAACACGCAGCTCACTTTACTCTGGGAAGCGGAGGACTTGGGGGTGACAAACCCTGGGGCCTGACCTCGGGATTGTAAGGGGATCACACAGCAGTGTGCACTGGACTGGACTGGGAGCAGCTACGTCTGGGGTTGGTGCTGGTCTGATGGCAGCTGCAGGGCTGAACCCTGATCCTCAGGCATAGGCTGGTGTCAGGGACACCTGGGTCCCTGTGGAGCCATCAGCCTTTGGAGCTTGATACCGGGGCCTCAAAACGGTCTCTGAAGCATAGACTTGGGGAAGCATGGCCGGCATACCTAGAGAAGTGATTTGGACATGGGAGAGTCCAAATAGTGAAGTCTCGGGGCTGAGAAGAGGGGAGGTGTATTCCCAGTCTCTAACAAAACCTGAATGACTAAGGCTAAGAAGTGACATGACACTCCCAACAGGGTGCCAGAGCTCACATACCCTGAGTCTGTGGTGGGGGTAACGTAGGAGCTGAGGTCAAGGGCTTCCGAGCCTAGTGGGGTCACAGGCTCCCAAGAGTTGGTTGTGTGGAGTCTGTGAGCATACAAGGAGCTGCCAGCAGACCCTGAGCGCCCCTGTATCTGCCGCTCAGTGGGAAAGTCAGTGATGGTGTTTGCTCTAGGTTGTCCAGGAGACAGGAAGAAGAAGAAGAAGAGGAGAGCTGGGTCCTGGTAGGCGATCCTTCCTATCCCAGCCCCTTCCCCCAGCTTGAACTCCTTGGAAACAGACAGAAAAATCATTTGATCAGGAGATAACAAGGCCCTCGGTGTAGCTAATGAGAAGCAGGGGTGGGAGAGGAGAGGGGGAAGGGAGGCTGGAGGCAGTCGGCAGCCAGGATGTTCCCCAGAGACCCCAGCCACATGAATACAAGCTGCAGTCCTCACACCCTGAGCCTGGAGCTTCAGACATGGCTGCTCACTAACCCACAGCCCACTCACCAAAGATCTGGTGGCCTCGGTGATCTGGCCCGAGCGCCTGACCCACCCTTCTCTGGTGGGACAAGGTGGAGGTCTCAAGAGAAGGTAAAGGAACTTGAGGGATGAGTCCAGAGTCCGCTAAGGAACGTAGGAGCCTGCCCTCCCCTGCCTTGTCACTTAGACCCCTTCAGTGAGGAAGTCCAGCTCGTTTTTTTCTGCTCTCAGTTCTGGGCCAGCAGTGTGGGGGCGGGACCCAGCCGTTGGGAGTGATGTGCTGGTTGTTTGTCAGCTTCATGGTCAGTGTATTTGGAGTGGATGTGGACATGAGAAACCCTGAGTGGCACAGAGGTTGGAGAGACAGGAGGAGTGGCAGCAGGCTGGCAGAGCCCTCAGGAACTGACTGGCACTGGGAGACAGCTCAGTCACAGCCTCTGTGCCCAGCATATGGACAGGCCCCTGTAAACCCTTGTCCCTGGAGCTAGAAACCTACAGAGTCCGTTGGGAGGGGGGAGAGCGGTGCTAAAAAGCTCCTGCCTTACTGGCTACCGTGTGGGCACTGTTGAAGCCCTGCCTTCTTTCCCCATTCAGTCAGCCCTGCCGTCATCCGATCAGGGACAGGTGGCCTCCTCTGTGTAGTCTGCACCCAGGGTACTGACCACAGACTCTGCAGATGGAGTAAATGGGTGTGTCGTGTCCTCTTTCCTCCCAGGTTGACCCCTCCAGCCCTCTGGGAACCGCTCACCGTGAGCTTGCCTCAGGAAGCTCTCCTGAGAGGTAAAGGGATGCATGGGAACTGGAAAGGGACTTAGGACAGACCAGGCCTAGCAATAATGCCCTTCCTTCTGCCTTCCAGTTGTCAAGATGTGCCCGAGGTGCGACACGCCCTCGTGCCTGTGGTGAGAGATGTGGTGCCAGTGGAGAGGCCCTGGGCCCAGCACTCCCCGGGGCTCAGGTGTGCCCTTCAGGTGTCTCCAGGAGCGGGCGGGTGCCACATGCTGGTGAGGCCAACCTCCCGGGCTACCTTGAGCCTCTCCTGCCTCCCCTGCAGAGTCAGCCGGCACCTGCTGGCTCCCACACCCATCCTGGGCCTGCTGCTGCTGCTGCTCTCCATCCTGCTGCTCAGCCAGTCCCCGACGCCCACTTGGCCACACCTGCAGCTCTGCTACCTTCAGCCCCCGCCAGTGTGAGGCACCGCACCCTGCCTCCTGCTTCACTGACTCAGTCAGGGCTCTGGGCCCGCACCCCTGCCTCGTTTCCGTGTAACCATGGCCCCTCCTGGGTCTCTCCTGTTTTCCTGACAATAGCAAATCATGCAGTAATGACTTCAGCGCGGGATGATTTCCTCATCAAACGAGTTGGAGGGAGGAGGGCAACTGGGCGTCAGCTGAATCACAGGTTCCCAGGCTTCCTCCATCCTTCTCTCCTGCTTCAGAGGCTGCTTCTGCAGCACCCCACTCATAGTGCAGGGCTGGTGAGAGCTTGCTGTCCCTGGTCAGTCAGGGTGTGTCAGCAGGAAAGCCAGAGGCTTCTCTGACAGCTCTTCACCGGCAGCTCCACAAAACGCGGGGCCACGCAAGACCGTTGGCTTGCCGGCCCCAGAGCCCTCCGCAGTTGGCACACTGCTGTGAAGGGCCCTCTGGACGCTGGCGGCACCCTCAGCTTCCCTCGCGTTTCCTTTGTCAACGCTGGCGCCGTGATTGGCAAACACCCTCCCCCACCCTGTGCGTCAGTTTTGAGTGCTGCCACAGGCGGGTACAGGTGTCATTCAGGAGAGGCAAACTGGCAGCCACGCAGGCTCTCCCGCCCAGACGCTTTTCCTAGTGCCCTTGAGAGGGTCGCGATGCGCAGTCTCAGCCTCTCTGAACAAGACTGGCCGCCTACGGAGCCAGGAGGTCTGAGCAGAGCTGCGGGCGGGGGAGGAGCTGGAGGAGGAGAACGGGGGGCTTGGAGAAATGCGAGCGCTTTTGACCGCACCCTGAGTCCCGAGCTGAAGCAGCCTGGTGTGGTCGGCTGGAGACAGCCGCCAAAACTCGGGTTTCGGGACGCGAGGTGTCGGCTCGCGGAAGCCTGGATTGCTGCTGCCCGCTAACGGTTTATGCACGGTAGCCCAGGCTTCAGAGCCGCAAGCAGCAGCTCCGCCCTCACAGCGTAAAGGCCAATGAGGGCTCGGTCCGCCTCCGGGAAATGCAAATTTAGGAGGGCGGCCTCTCCGACCTCTGTAGACCAATCAGGGCACGGTCCGCTAGTCCCGCGGGCTTGCAGACTCGACTGGTGTCGTGGGGGGGGGCCCTCCGGGAGACGCGGGCTCTGATTGGTTGCCTGCTCTGGCACTCAGGACCGCCCGAACTCCTGCGAACTCTGTAAGACCTCCAGGGACCGAGGAATGAGAAACCTGTGGAGGTTAAGGAACTCCCGCCCTAGCCTGGAGTGATAGCGCACACCTTGCAGAGGCAGACACATCCTTGTGAGTTCGAGGCTAGCCTCGTCTACAAAGTGAGTTTGTGGACAGTCAGAACTGTTATACAGAGAAACTGTCTAGAAAACCCCCGGGTGGGGGAGGGGGAACCTAACACAGACGCACGCCTTTAGTCCTGGCACTCAGGAGGCAGAGATCGATGGATCTCGGATTCCGAGGCCAGCCTGTCCTACAGAGCGAGTTCCAGGACAGCCAGGGCTACACAGAGAAGCCCTGTCTGCAGAAAAAATTAAAACAACCCATCACAGAGTTGGGTCAGGGCCCCCGAAACTGCGACCAAGGAGAGCGGGGTGGCGAGGGGATCCGGAGAGGACAGACTCGGGGAGGGGCCCGGAGGCTGCGGAGACGGGCGAGGCCACGGGCTGCAGTCAGGCGGCGCACCCCGCTGGGCCCCTCCCCACCCCCGCGCTGGGGCGGCTCAGCAAGAAGGCGCGGTCGCTGCGGGGCAGGCTCTTTATTGGGCTCAGGGCGCGTCCAGTAGCAACAGCTTCTGCATGTACGAGTCTAGCCAGCGGCGGCGCTCCAGGGCGGCCAGCAGGCGCGCGCGCTCCCGAAAGGCTGCGTCGTCCGCTAGCGCCAGGCTGCGTCGAGCCGGGGAAGCACCCAAGCCCGCCCAGGCCCGGCCGGGAGCGCGGAGGCTGCGGGAAGAGACATGCAGTGGGCTGAGCGCCAGGCCCCACCGGCCCCGGTCCCCACTGGGCTCTGACGTCAAGTCCTCCCCCACCCCCGCCGGCTACTTCGCCTTCCTCAGGGGGTCGCCTCCCTTTCCTGGGTGTCCGGGATCTCACACGTACCTGAACACACCAGCGAGGGGCAGGGCAACACCTGAGGCAGGGCCGGTGCCCCAGGGCACAAGCAGGAGCAGCAGCAAAAGCAGCAGCAGCCGCTCCCGGGGGCTCCTGGACACCTGGCAGGTCTCCATGACCTGTGGACACAGGAGACGGGATCCCGATGGTACCATCCCACCCGGAACCTGGAGCCCACCGTGAACCTCCCCGCCCGCCTCCCGCGAGGCCCCCTACCGTGCAGCGGGCTCGGGGAGCGGTGCTCACACCCCCCTTATATACCCGCACAACCCCCGCCTTGGCAGTGACGCAGGCCGGGCTGGGGGCGCGGGGTCACTCCACCCCACGCTCATTAGGAGCCGCCAGCGGTAATGAGAAGCATGGTGGGGCCTCTACTGCTGCGGCCGCCACCAACTAATTGGGACCCGGAGCTGGTGCCGAAGAAGAGGAGTGGGGAGGACAGCAGAGAGGTGGACACAGGGGTGTGTCAGAGGGATAAAAATAGAGACTGCACAGGGGGACCATCGGAACACAAGTCGGGGACACAGGCAGAAAGAGAGCGGAGGAACCCAAGAGGGGAGAGAGGGGGAGTAATAACGTCAAGACAGGGCAAGGCAGGGTGCCCTAGGGAGGCAATAACGGGAAGACAGGCAGGCCGAGGACTCTGCAGACGGAGAGGCCACCGAGAGGAGGGTGTGGGAAGGCCAGCAGAGACGGCCAGCAGGCGGGGAAGACGCAGCCGTGTGCACACAGGTGATGTCACTCAGGGCCTGGGCTTCCACGGGGAGGTGTCTCCACCCTTCTCCCAGGGGACACTGGGACGTGGTGAAGATAGGACCCAATCCGCCATGCCTGGCGTGTTTAAAGGGGGCTCCCCAGGCCACCCCACAGTGCAGCACACCTGTCGTACCCGCACTCAGCAGGCTGTGTATGCTGCGCAACAAGACCGTCTCACAGGGGGGTGGACGGACTCCTACCTCTGCAGAGAGCAGGGGTGCACGCTTGAAATCCCAAACCCGAACCTGGTCAAGACAGGCTTCTGGCAAGGGGACACCCGGAAGCCGGGGTCTTTAGTCTGGAGAGGACAGAGTGGCCTAGTAGGATTAAAGCGGAAAGGTACCAGGCACTTAGGTCCCTGGGTTTGGCTGGGGGAATGGGAGAGGGCCCAGGACTTTTTTGTTTTCGAGACAGGGTTTCTCTGCATGCAGCCCTGGCTGTCCTGGAACTCAGTCTGTAGGCCAGGCTGTCCTTGAACCCGCTCTCTAGACCAGGCTGAGATCCCTGCCTTTGCCTCCCAGCTGCTGGGATTAAAGGCGTTCACCACCACAGCACGGCTGATCCCAGGACGCATATTTGGGGAGTTTATTTTGTATCTATTGGGCTGGTAGTTTTGAGGGGGGAGCTTTTGTGTATGGTTGAATGGTTGGGTATTTTGGTTTTTGTTGTTTTGTTTTGTTTTTCAGTCAAGGCTGTAGCCCAGGCTGGCCTGGAACTGATTCTGTAATTTGTGGCAGTCTTCCTGCCTCAGCCTCCCAGATGCTGGGATCAAAAGCATGGCCCACCACTCGTGGCTGTGGTTTTGACGCACAGCCTTGCTAGGCAGGCCAGACTAGCCTGGATATCACTCTGTCGCCCAGACAGCTTCGAGTTCATAACCCTTCTGCCTCAGCCTTCCAAGGACAGGGGTCACGGGTCTGTACCGTCACACCCCGCCAGACTTTGGCTTCAAAGGGAAAACAGCGTGGTTAAACCCTTCCTCCTCTGCCCTAGTGATGAGGTCCTGTCTCTGCTTCTTTAAGAACCTCAGCTTGTTGCTAGGCTCCCAGGATTCCCCAGAGAGGGGTCAGGTGCTTCACCTGTGCGCCTGTGGACCCTAGCGCCTGCCCCTTCCAGCGCCATTCAGCCACGCTCCCGCCTGTGTCTTTGTCCAGCGCTGATCATCTGCGGTCTTGAACACCACTGAACAGGTAAGAGACCCCATGACCCGAAGTGTCCCACCCAAGACCACGCCCCCATCTCCAACCCACCGCAGAAGCCACTGAATCTCTACAAACGGGACAGAGCTTACTGTCCTGACTCCGTCCCCGGGCTGCACCTCACGTCCCTATTTCTCGAAGACTAGAACCCAGAGTCACCTCACCCGTGGTCCAAGGATCCCGTGTCCTCTCCCCACTTCCAGGTCCCAATATCCCAAACTTCTAAACGCCTGGTTTCTGGCAGGATCAAGTGACACAGACCCCCAGCCCTTCCCGGTGGGGACTCAGAACCCCCCAGCCCTTCTCAGGACCATGGAGTCTCCCTCCTCCCTGGCTCAGCTCTCCCCTCTTAACCTGTGGTGTCAAAACCTGTGCAGTCCTGGTGCCCCAAGAGCCCTGGGAGGAGAAGGTTGTCCTGTGTCCCTTAGCCATCTGAAGCCCTCTGGAGGTGGATCTAACATTTTGGGAGCTTGGAGAGGGCATCATGTCCCAGTTTTTCGGGTACCCACTGGGAACCCAGCACTGCCACTCCCAAGAATCCCTGAACTCCGTAACCTTGGTGACCACAGTTACCACCCCACAGCCACTAGGGACTTGCAGTTGGGTTTTGTCAGAGTCCCTGTGGGAGCCAGTGGGTGTGGCCGCTGGGAGAGGGTGTGGCTCCAGGATGCTCTGGCCTTAACCTTTTCCTGCCTACTCCTTCCCCAGCTCTAGGCCTCCCTGAGCCATGCAGCCCTTCAGCCCCATCTTCCTCCTCCTCCTCCTCCTCCTCCTGGATGGTCTGGGTTCCAAGGCAGCTCCCTCAGCCTCGCTGCCTGTGGGCTCCGATGCCCAGGGGATGCTCCCGCCCTCTAGGACACCCGTTGGTGCTCTAGAAAATTCTACTAGAGATGGACCTACGCCAGGATACCCTGCAACCGTTCCTCCTGAGCCCGCAAAGACACCGCCCTCAGCGCCCCATCGCATCTCCCTGGGAAACCCAAGTGAGACCCCCGGCCCCAGCCTCTCAGACGCTCCAGAGACCCCAGTGCCCGCCCAGCTTATGACCTCAGTCACAGAATCCCAGGAGGCTTCGCAGGCCAGCCCCTCCAAAGCCGCACTGCCAGAATCTCCTGAGACCCCCAACCCTGACCTGACTGCAGTTTCCCAGTCAGGAGCTCCCGACACCCAAAAACCGAATCCCTTCGAAGCTCCACTCCCAGAGTCTCCCGAAGCTAAACACGCTGACCCTGTGCCAACTGTACACCAAGACTCCCCTGGAGCCCCCAAAGGAGGTACTCCCCCACTCTCTCCAGGCGAAGGGCCTAAAGCGCCAAGTCCTGAGCCCACCCAGCTCCTCCACTTCAGATCCCTAGAGACCTATGGCCCTGGTACCTCCAGAACCCTAAATTCCGCCTTACCGCCAACCACCCATCCTGACGCCTCAGAAACACCTCAGCCGTCATTTCTCATCACCCACCATTCCAATCCCACTGCTGTCCCCCAAACACAGTCCCCCACCACCCCCAAACAAAGCGCAACAGAGGCGGCTGTGGCCTCTGACCTGGAAATCACCACTAGTCTTCCCACCCAACCAACAGCAGCCTCCAGAGAGGAAGCCACCATGCCCGGTGAGTCAGGCTTGAGTCCCAGCCCGGGAGCCCCTGCAGCCACCCGAGCTGACTTTCCTGGCCTGTCCACCTCAGATTCCCTAGGAACCAAAGAGCTCAATGCACCCCAGAACTCAGGCCCTAAAGGGCCAAACAACGTTCCTCCCGCTGCACGGATTGCAGGCCCCCCTGCTCCTCCACAACACCCCAGTCAGGGAGCCCCCAGGGAGCCTCAGGCCCCTCAGAGACACAGCCCAAGAGAGACTGTCAACACTATCATCGTGGTGGAACGAGTGAAGGAGACCGGTGAGGAGCCTGGCCGTGGATCTCAGAGCAGAGGGCTGGGCCTGGAGCCCTGGGTCTGAGGGAGGAGGCTTGGCCTGAGGGAGGAGGCTGGGCCTGGAGCCCTGGGTCTGAGGGAGGAGGCTGGGGTCAGGATTCCTGGGTCTAAGGCAGGAGGCTGGGGCTGGACCCTGGGTCTGAGGGAGGAGGCTGGGGTCTGAGGGAGGAGGCTGGGCCTGGAGCCCTGGGTCTGAGGGAGGAGGCTGGGCCTGGAGCCCTGGGTCTGAGGGAGGAGGCTGGGGTCAGGATTCCTGGGTCTAAGGCAGGAGGCTGGGGCTGGACCCTGGGTCTGAGGGAGGAGGCTGGGGTCTGAGGGAGGAGGCTGGGCCTGGAGCCCTGGGTCTGAGGGAGGAGGCTGGGCCTGGAGCCCTGGGTCTGAGGGAGGAGGCTGGGCCTGGAGCCCTGGGTCTGAGGGAGGAGGCTGGGGCTGGACCCTGGGTCTGAGGGAGGAGGCTGGGCCTGGAGCCCTGAGTCTGAGGGAGGAGGCTGGGGCTGGACCCTGGGTCTGAGGGAGGAGGCTGGGCCTGGAGCCCTGGGTCTAAGGGAGGAGGCTGGGGCTGGACCCTGGGTCTGAGGGAGGAGGCTGGGCCTGGAGCCCTGGGTCTGAGGGAGGAGGCTGGGGTCTGCACTCCTAGATCTGAGGGAGGAGGCTGGGGTCTGAGGGAGGAGGCTGGGGTCTGCACTCCTGGGTCTGAGGGAGGAGGCTGGGGTCTGAGGGAGGAGGCTGGGGTCTGCACTCCTGGGTCTGAGGGAGGAGGCTGGGCCTGGACCCTGGGTCTGAGGGAGGAGGCTGGGCCTGGAGCCCTGGGTCTGAGGGAGGAGGCTGGGCCTGGAGCCCTGGGTCTGAGGGAGGAGGCTGGGCCTGGAGCCCTGGGTCTGAGGGAGGAGGCTGGGGCTGGAGTCCTGGGTCTGAGGGAGGAGGCTGGGGTCTGCACTCCTGGGTCTGAGGGAGGAGGCTGGGGTCTGCACTCCTGGGTCTGAGGGAGGAGGCTGGGGTCTGCACTCCTGGGTCTGAGGGAGGAGGCTGGGGCTGGAGCCCTGGGTCTGAGGGAGGAGGCTGGGCCTGGAGCCCTGGGTCTGAGGGAGGAGGCCCTCAGTTTAAATGACTGTGTCATTTCTCAGGGGTGACTCTGGTCAGCCGCCCGCGAGGCTCCATCAGTGGGGCCCTGTGCCTGTTCCTGGCGGGGACAGGGATGCTGATTGGCGTCTTCCTGCTGCTGTGGTGTCTCTACCGCCGAGCCTCCAGACACAGGTCCTTTGCACACCACAGGCTCCAGGAGAGTGGAGACGAACCAGGTGAGTGCCCACAGGTCCTTGCCCAGGCCTTGCAGGGGACTTGGGATATTTGAAGGGCACGGGCCCAGCCCCTTGTCTGAAATTGCTGCTCTTCTGGAACCTCCCCCGCGCGTTCCCCTCTTCTGAGAGAGGGTCTCACCATGTAGCCAGACCCACACACACTCAGAGCCCCCAGGATATCCCCAGCTCCTCCGCACACCCTCGCCCACCCTTGCCCCTGCAGTGCTGCACCTGGAAACCCCGAAGGACCCCTTGGACCTGTACTTCTATGCCCCTGACGCGTGGGTGCCGTCACACATCGCCACGCGGCAGCCACCTGCCGCACCGCCCCTGCCGCCCAAGCTGCCCCCGCCACCCCGAGGGCCGCAGCGCCTGGAAGCCCTGTCGCCCTCCGCGCTGTCCCCCAACTTCGCCTGATGCCCGAAGAGCTGCAGACCTCACCCAGCTTCAGCGCCCAGAGGAACCCCAGAGCCAAGCAGAGCTCCCCAATAAACCGGCTCGCCCACCAGAGTTTGCGCCTGCGTGCTCGGCGGAGGTGGAGAAACCGAGTCTAGACTGGGGTCCAGCCTGGAGCAAGCAGGAAGCTGGGAGCTGCAGTGTAGACAGCAGGGAAAGACTGAGGAGGCTGGGGTCTGAGGGAGGAGGCTGGGGTCTGAGGGAGGAGGCTGGGTCTGAGGGAGGAGGCTGGGGTCTGAGGGAGGAGGCTGGGGTCTGAGGGAGGAGGCTGGGTCTGAGGGAGGAGGCTGGGGTCTGAGGGAGGAGGCTGGGGTCTGAGGGAGGAGGCTGGGGTCTGAGGGAGGAGGCTGGGTCTGAGGGAGGAGGCTGGGGTCTGAGGGAGGAGGCTGGGGTCTGAGGGAGGAGGCTGGGTCTGAGGGAGGAGGCTGGGGTCTGAGGGAGGAGGCTGGGGTCTGAGGGAGGAGGCTGGGGTCTGCACTCCTAGATCTGAGGGAGGAGGCTGGGCCTGGAGCCCTGGGTCTGAGGGAGGAGGCTGGGGTCTGAGGGAGGAGGCTGGGGTCTGACTCCTGGGTCTGAGGGAGGAGGCTGGGGTCTGCACTCCTGGGTCTGATGGAGGAGGCTGGGTCTGAGGGAGGAGGCTGGGTCTGAGGGAGGAGGCTGGGGTCTGAGGGAGGAGGCTGGGGTCTGAGGGAGGAGGCTGGGTCTGAGGGAGGAGGCTGGGTCTGAGGGAGGAGGCTGGGTCTGAGGGAGGAGGCTGGGGCCCGGGCCGCATCAGCTGACAACCTACCATGTACACCAGAGCGTTTATTGGGCGTGGGGTGGGCAGAGCGGGGTTCACTGTCACAGACAGACACAAAGACACGCCCCTGCCCCAGGGACAGCCCCTTCCTCCCGCCTGCTCCCTTCCTGGGCGTCCTCCTCCTCGCACACCTCCCCAGATCTCTACATTGAAAGAGGGGTGTCAGTGAGGGAAGCACCCCGCATTTGGGGTAATTTAGCCCCCGAGGGGACACACTGAGAAACTGGTGGCAGCCGGATCTACCCAGGAGAATAAAGCGCCAGGACGGGGCGGGAGGCCCTGAAACCACCGCGGGAAGCCAGAGCCAGTGGACCTGAGCAGCCGCTGCTCAGACCGAGTCAGAAAGAGCACGGGGCGAGCCGAGCCACTTGGGCCATTTCCCTGGGCACTGTGCTAAGCTAGGGGCAAGGACAGGCCCGGCGAGTGTGCCGGCGAGGACGGGAGGGACGTAAGCAGCGGGGACGCTTGAAACCGCCATTTCCCCTCAGAAACGCTGGTGAGAATCAGTCCCTGGAATGGCGGGGTTGGTGGTTGGCCGAACCAACTTGGGAACTGCAGAATGACCAGGGGAGCCTTGGAACTAACAGATGACAACCACGAGTTTCTCTGGGTCGGGGACCAGCTGAATAATCTTGGGGTGGCCTGAGAATCCCTGGGGTCCTACGGAGAGGGGTGGAACCTCAAAACCACGAGAGAGAAAGGGGTTGACCGTCCAAATAAAGCCCTGAAAGGAGAGACTGGAAACCACTCGGGGGGACAAGCGGAGAGGCCTTGAAACTGCCGGTGAGCAGGCTCGCCCCTGGGGAGGCAGATGAGGAGGGAGGTCGGCTGACAGCACGGGAACGGGGGAGACTCGCATCCTAGGCCCCGGGCAGGGCCCAGAGGAGGGGATCCCTCCCCGCCGCCGCTCGGCCGGCGGGTCCTGAGCGGAGGTCTGGAAACTGCCAATCCGCGGGAGGCACGTGGTCAGTAGCCCCGGGCCGGGGGCGGGGGCCTGGGGGGCTGCACTGTGCTGTGCGTGGCGCCGTAGGAGGGCGGGGGCGCGGGGGGCGCTCCCGGGGGCTCGGCCTCGTCCTCCGCCTCGCTTTCGTCGCTGCCGGCCAGCTGGTCGTGGCCCACGAAGCCACACTTCTCCTCGCTCAGCTCCTCCGGCTCCGCCCACGGCTGCTTCTCCCCCGAAGCGAAGACCCCGTAGAAGATGACGCCCCCATAGTGCACCAGGGAGGCGATGAGAAACACGTACTGCCACTCCTCCCGAGTCTGGGGGGCAGACAACGCGGCAGGGGTCACAGAGGGAGGGGCGCACACCTGCCATCTCAGGAACTCTGCAGCCCGACACAGGAGGATGGCCAGCGTGGGCTGAGGAGGCCCTGTCTTTAAAAATACGGATATCCGGCTGGGCCTGGGTGGCGCACGCCTTTAATCCCAGCACTCGGGAGGCAGGGGCAGGCGCATCTCTGTGAGTTCGAGGCCAGCCTGGTCTACAGAGCGAGTGCCAGGACAGCCTCCAAAACAATGCAGAGAAACCCCGTCTCAAAAAAACAAACAAAAACATATATCCACGGGCTGAAAAGATAGCTCAGAGGGTAAGAGGGCTTACTGCTTTTACAGAAGACCCAAGTTCAATTCCCAGTGCCCGCATTAGGCAGCTCGCAACGGCCTGTAATTCCACGGAGTCAGATGCCCTCTGTGGACACAGCAGTCACGCTCACCAACACACAATTAAAATAAAGGGAGGCCAGGCGTGGTGGCGCACGCCTTTCATCCCCACTCAAGAAGCAGAGGCAGGTGGGTCTCTATGAGCTCGAGGCCTGCATGGTCTACACAGAGTTCCAGACCAGCCAGGGCCACATAGTGAGACTCTGATCAAAATAAATAAATAAATAAAAAGAAACAATAGGGTTGGTGAGATGACTCAGCAGGAAGAGGTCTGCCAACCCTGATGACCTGAATTCCACCCGGGACCCATACGGTGGGAAGAGTTAACCAACATACATCCCAGAGCACAAAATAGCTCACGCACGCTTCGTTACCAGAAAAGCTAATAAAAATGGATATTTTAGAAATAAAAGAAAATCTCTGAGGTCAGCCTGGTCTACAGATTGAGTTCCAGAACAGCCGGAGCTACACAGAGAAACCCTCTCTTAAAAAAAGAAAGAAAGGCCGGGCGTTGGTGGTGCACGCCTTTAATCCCAGCACTCGGGAGGCAGAGGCAGGCAGATCTCTGTGAGTTCGAGGCCAGCCTGGTCTACAGAGAGAGTTCCAGGGCAGCCTCCAAAGCCACAGAGAAACCCTGTCTCGAAAAACCAAAAAAAAGAAAGAAAGAAAGAAAGAAAGAAGGTAAGAGAGACAGACAGACAGAGAAGAAAGGAAGGCAGGCAGGAAATAAATAAAAGAGGAGGAAGGCTGGGTACCAGAAGGTTCCGGGCATCAATGGGAGGGCTGTACCAACCTTGTGCTTGGTCATGGCACCCACGATGATGGGACACACCATCCCAGACAGCGTGCCCACGCCATTGGAGATGCCCATCAAGATGCTGGCGTATCGAGGGGCAATGTCCAAGTGGTTCACGTTAAACCCTGGTGGGGTTTCAAGTCAGCAGCTGTCACACCAAATCCTCACTGCAGTGTCACGCCCACCCATCCTGTGCTCTTCTGAGGCACTCATTTAAGACAATCTGTGAATGTGTGTGTCTGTGTGAGGGTACGGTGTGTGGGTGCGGGGGCCAGAGGGGTCCACTCCTGGCAGTTGGGCAGGCTGGGAACCAAATTCAGGGCCTCTGAAGGAGTGGCAGATCCTCACTGCCACGACGTCTCCCTGGCTCCTGAGACGCCCATTTCAGGGCCTCAGCTGACTCCAGTCCCCCCCAGCTACCCATCGGGGTTCTCACCAGAGATGGCAAAGCCGCTGAAGCCCACAGCCAGGACCAGGAAGGAGATGGCCACCCCTTTGGAGTGTGAGTATCCGACCACCAGCAACAGCGTGGCTTCCATCCCGAAGCCTGCAAAGGGCCGTGTCTCCCGAGTCCCTGTGACCCCACCCACCGGCCACCCTGCCGCATCCCGGCCCCCTCTGACCTGCAGAAGACCTGATTCCAGTCCCGCCAAACCAGAGCAGACCCCACCTCCAAGACCCAGCCCCATCTGTGTCCTTGGGCCACTCAGCCTTAAAAGGACCCACTGTGGTCCTGTCTTCTGACTGGGGCAGCTCTGCAAGACCCAACTCCCCGTCTCTGAACCTTCGAGCTCACTTCTATGTCCCTACCACATAAGCAAGCCTGGAACCCCAGTCACACCCCCACCCCACTCCCAACCACCAGCTAGGTCCCCTCTCGGTCTGGAGTCCCTAGTCCCCACCCACGCACGACCTGTCTCCCCAAAGCCCAGCAATGACCATCTGGGGTTTTAGGGTTATATAGGTCTCAGATGATCCCCGTCCATAGCTACCCCTGCTCCCCTCCACCCCAGCTCCCAGACTGGGCTTTTTGTTGTTGTTTGGGGTTTTTTGTTTTGTTTTTTGTTTTTTGAGACAGGGTTTCTCTGTGTAGCCCTGGCTGTCCTGAAACTCGCTCTGTAGACCAGGCTGGCCTCCAACTCAGAGATCCTCCTGCCTCCGCCTCCCGAGTGCTGGGATGCGTGCTCTACCACCTGGCAAGACTAGTTTAAGTCTGGTTCTACCCAGCCTCATGGAGGCCCCCTCCCAGTTTAGTGTCCTCTCTACCCCACCTGGGGCTGTACTCGTCCGTCTGCCTTTCCACATGGTGGTCTTCAAACCTAACTTCCTGAAAGTGTTGCACACTGCCCTTGCCCCCCCTGGTGGGGTCAGGTCAGGCACACCCTGTATCCCCACCTCCACCCTGCCCATCAGCCCCGCCCCTCCGCTCCACCTGGGCCTCCACCCTGCCCATCAGCCCCGCCCCTCCGCTCCGCCTCGGCCTCCACCCTGCTCATCAGCCCCGCCCCTCCGCTCCGCCTGGGCCTCCACATCAGCCCTGCCCCTCCGCTCCGCCTGAGCCTCCACCCTGCTCATCAGCCCCGCCCCTCCGCTCCGCCTCGGCCTCCACCCTGCTCATCAGCCCCGCCCCTCCGCTCCGCCTCGGCCTCCACCCTGCTCATCAGCCCCGCCCCTCTGCTCCGCCTGAGCCTCCACCCTGCCCATCAGCCCCGCCCCTCTGCTCCGCCTGAGCCTCCACCCTGCCCATCAGCCCCGCCCCTCCGCTCCGCCTGGGCCTCCACCCTGCCCATCAGCCCCGCCCCTTCGCTCCGCCTGGGCCTCCACCCTGCCCATCAGCCCCGCCCCTCTGCTCCGCCTGAGCCTCCACCCTGCCCATCAGCCCCGCCCCTCTGCTCCGCCTCGGCCTCCACCCTGCCCATCAGCCCCGCCCCTCTGCTCCGCCTCGGCCTCGCCCACTCACCGCCACAGTTCATCAGCTTTCGCACATTGGTGGTGGACATTATGCGTCGGCTGCGCAGGAAGTCGGCGATCTGGCCTCCGATGGGCACGATGATGGTCATGACGAGGTGAGGCAGCGCCGACACCAGGCCCACCTGTGAGGACAGGCCAACGGGCAGCCACTCCCTCTGGGCGACTACAGCCTCCTCCTCCAGCCCTGCCTAGGGACGCAGGTACCCTCTCCTCTCCCCCGAGTCCCCTCCTCCTGCATCCCAACCTTGCTGATCTCAAAGCCGAACACTTCTTCAAAGTAGGCGGGCTGGGAAATGAGGAGCAGGTAGAAGGTCCAGCTGCGGCAGAAGTTGGCCACGATGATGGCGTAGACTGGCATGGATGTGAAGAAGCGCCTCCAGGGCGTGTTAAACTTCTGTGGGGGAGGGGAGGGGAGGGGAGACCGTGCTAGGACAGGTAGCAGGGCTTGGAACTTCATGTCCCTCAGGGACCCCACCGTAGCTCACGAAGCCTCCAGCATGGACCACGTCTTTACTCCTGGGGACTTAGGAGTTCTAAAAACCCAGCTTTAAGGTTGCATTGCAAGGTTGCAGGATGTCCTGACTCCAGAGAGGTTCAGATGCTGCTGTCCATGATAACCCATAAAGGTGAGCCCCGTAAAATGTCTCTTCAATCACCCCCACAAAGTTTAGCCATACCCACAGCAATATCTAGCAAAATCTCAAATTGTAACCCCCTGCTGCTTTTAACCTCATCCCTGGCTCTAGCTCAGGGTTAGGGCCACCGTGTACCACTCTGTGTCCAGTACCTGTCATCCTGAGCTCCATCCAGCCTAATCGCAATCTAGCCCGGCCGTTTTCCTTTTCTTTTTCTCTTCCATTGTTTTCAGTAGTGGGAATAAGACCCACAACCTCATGCTAGGCAAGCACTCTATGGAATCACCCCAGCCCCTCACTGGGGATTCCAGGCCAATGACCTACCATTGAGCTATACCTCTAACCCACTTTTCACTTTTGAAACAAGCTTCACTATGTTTCCTAGCCTGGTCTTGAACTCGCTTTACTGCCTGACCTCCTTGCAATCCTCCTCCTGCCCCAGCGCCTCCAGTAGCTGGGACGGCAGGCCTGCATCACCACGCCCCGCTCAGCCCCAGCCTTGTGCTGGGCAGTCCTGTCTCCTCTCCACCCCACCCAGCCCCGGAGCACCGCGACCGACCAACCGTGAGAGGGTTCATGAGCTTGGCGCTCTCTCCAATGGCATCCTCGATGTATTTGCGCTCCTCTTCTGAGATGCTAGGGTGCAGTGCGGGGGACTCGTAGGAGACGAGCAACCAGAACAGGTACCAAAAGATCCCAAAGCTGCCTGGGGGGGGGAGGGGAGAAGGATGACATCGGCCTCACTCACCCCCAGTGCCACCCAGAACCACGCATTCAAGTCCCTCACCATAGACATAGAAGACAGAGCTCCATCCCGAATACTGCACCAGCACCCCAGCCAGGGGCATGGCAACCACTGCCCCAGCGTAGGAACCTGAGGAGACAAGGGGCAGAGAGCTGGCCTGTCTTCCCTAGGTCCAGGAGAGCAGCCCCTCAGCCCTGGGACGTGCCAGCCTCATCTGAGATCGCAGCTCAGCCACTCACACACACAGGGGCCAGCCCCTTCATCTCACCACAAAAGGCTGTCGTCGCCAGCCGACTCCGTTCTAAGGGAGGAGCCCATTTGCTCCAGATGCCGTGGCAGGCAGGGTACGTGACCCCCTAGGGAGGGAGCACCGAGGTCAAAGAGAAGAGGCCAGGTCAGAGAGGGGAACGGGGCTCATGGGGCAGGCTTTACCTCCACCAGTCCCTGCAGGATCCTCACGAAAATGACACAGCCATAGTGGACACGGGCTGCTGAGGGGATCAACATATTTAGGGTAGAGGTAGCCACGATGGCAAAGCCAAAGACCCTGTGGAGAAGGCAGGAAGAGAGCCCAGACAGGGCAGACGCAGTGAGCTAGTCTCGTGGTCCTAGCCACCCAGCCCTCCCGCCAGCCCTGGGATTGTGCCCTTCCTGCCCGCAACAGAACTCAAGGCCACCTTTAAGATATGCCCTCAAACAAGGACCCTCCCAATTTGCTGGAGCCAAACCCCGGGCTACACCCTCTAACCCCACGTGCATGGCTGAAGGTCTGCCGCCTGGACACTCCACACTGTACCTGTTGGCTGCGAATTTCTGGCAGATAAACCCTCCAGGAATCTGAGTGACAATGTAGCCCCAGAAAAAGGAGCCGTGTATGAGGCCGACAGTCTCTGGATCCCAGTTGAACTGGGCTTTCTGTGGGTCAAAATACACATCAAAGTAGCCGCCCTCCAGACTCGACCCTCCACCAATCGGCAGCCACAGACTTAGTCCTCAGACAGTCACCGACGAGATCCGCCCCAGCCCAAATCAGAGCTCACTGCAGCTCCGCCCTCTACGTTGCCTACCTCTTCAGCTATAAGCGCGGCTGCTAGAAGCCTAGTGTTTGCTTGCTCACCTCAGAATTCCCTCCCTGAACACCCCCAGGAGTGGGGACGACTGCCTCCTGTTTGGTGACAGACCTGTATGGGGTCTAGGCAGGGCCAAGAAGCAACTAATTAGGGGCATTCCTTATTACATGGGAGCAAAGGATGGGGCTTCAGGTAAACTACAGAGCAAACTAAGGTTTTTTTTTTTTTCTGTTCCCAATCATGAGCGTGACTTCTATAGTACCCAAGTTAAAACAGTGTAAATCTGAGTGTGGAGGAAGCTTTAGGTGTGGGTCAGAACTAATCAGGTGGACAAAGGCGGAGACAACTTTGGAAAGGAGCTTGAGATAGGAGTGAAATTGTTTAAATGTCACCCAGGAACATAAACAGGGGACACGGCTGGAGGAGAACTGGCCACAAGGTCCAAAATGGACTGAGGTAATGAGAATCAAACCTAATCCCGGTGTGACGTTTCCTAATCTGGGATGGAAAGGGGTGGAGCTTTCTATCCGGGCAGGATTTAGGAAGGCGGGGACAGGGAGTAAGGTCAGATCTGTAGGGGGGCCACAGGATTATAGCTGGGAAGGAGTGTGACCTGGCCACGAATGACGTCACGGGCCGTGAGCAGGGCTCGCTAGAGCAGCTACCTGCACCACCACGTGGCCCCCGCGGTGGGTCGTGCTGTTGTTGACCATGGACACGATGGCCACGCCCAGGTTGCAGCGGATGCCGAAACTGATGCAGAAACCCAGACCGCTCATGATGGCAATGATATAGCGGCGAGGGAGGCCGAAGCAGGTGCAGTCCACCACCGGCGGGTCCCGCGTGTGCGTGGTCACCGGGCGCCCATCGGCGCTCAGCTCCAGCGTCTCCGCGCCTTCCTGACGCTTCTCCAGGAACCTGCAGGGCGTCGGGAAGCAAAGACTCAGCAGTCCAGGCCCCTCCTCCCAGAGACGCAGGGGATCCCGGCTTAACCTTGCTCTGCTGCCCTCACTAGGATGCAGGCGTCTCTGGACCTGACTTTCCCTCCAGGAACTCAGGCTGTCTCCTCCCTGTGACACAGGAGTGCATGGCAAAAACCACATCTCTTGTCAGACCCAGAATCCTGAGTCGGAATTCCTTCGGGTCCCAAGAGTCTAGGTCACCACCAGCTGTCTCCTGCCTCGATTCGACTCTCGGGTCAAGATCTTCAGTCACCTCCCCAGCCCTGTCTCTCCGCCAAGGAGTTATAGACTCTACACTACCCTTTGGAATCAAAGCGCAGGTGCCCGCAAGCCCCCAACACGAGCTCCAAGTTGGTCCCCTGCCCCCTCCGCAGACGCAGATCCGAGTCTATTTGAGTCAGCAAAGGTACAAAGGAGAGGCCTGGGCAAAGGTGTCAACAGAGCAGATGCTTCCCAGCGCCGTGGATATATTTACAGCCCCTCCCCCTGCCCGGTGCTTGCCCGGCCCTGCTTCTAGGCCCCAGCTGTGGGGCTGCAGCCCATTCCCACACATGTGGGTTTGGGGAGTTCCTCAGGGGTGAAGTCCAGCAGTCCGGCTTGGGCCCCCTGGGGAATCTGGGGTTCAGACTGTCAGCCTGGGGAAGTGAGGACTGGTGTCCTGGCAAGGGACAGATGGCCCTGGTAGGGAGATTGGCGCATTCACTCCCCAGCGTGACTCTCGCCTCCGCCCGATCTGCATCCAGGATTGAGTCTGTGATGATGGATAGGGCTCATGGAGGGGCTGTCTCCCAGCCAGAGAGAGGCTGCTGGAGGCAGGGGGCCTGACCTGGAGACGGGGAGGAGAGACCAGAGAGGTGGGAGACGGCTGAGTGGACAGACAAAGAGCTACGGGACAGAAGCATGGGGGGGGGGGATAGAGGACCAGCCTGAGACTGGGGGAGGGGCTAGTGAAAGGCTGGAGACTGAGAGAGAGACAGACAGACAGACAGACAGAGACACACAGAGAGAGAGACAGTGACAGACAGAGAGAGACAGACAGAGAGAGACTGAGAGACAGTGACAGAGAGACAGACAGACAGAAACACAGAGAGAGAGACAGACAGAGACAGAGAGACAGAGACAGAGAGAGAGACAGAGACAGACAGAGAGGGACAGAGACAGAGAGAGAGACTGAGAGACAGACACAGAGAGAGAGACAGTGACAGAGAGACAGACAGAGAGAGAGACAGACAGAGAGAGAGAGAGACAGAGAGAGACAGAGACAGAGAGAGAGACAGTGACAGAGAGACAGACAGAGAGAGAGACAGACAGAGAGAGACAGAGACAGAGAGAGAGACAGACAGAGAGAGACAGAGACAGACAGAAAGACAGAGAGAGACACAGACAGAGAGAGAGACAAAGACAGAGAGACAGACAGAGAGAGAGACAGACAGAGACAGAGACAGAGAGAGAGACAGACAGAGAGAGAGACAGAGACAGACAGAAAGACAGAGAGAGAGAGAGACAGACAGAGAGACAGAGAGAGGAACCAAAGGATAGAGTGGTCCAGAGAGTAAGAAACTAGAGCGGGGAGATGACAGAGACCTAGAGACAAGGAGGAGAGAGGGTCAGAGAACTAGAGAAAGACAGACAGAGGCTCAGGGAGAGAATAGGGACTGACTGACATTCAAGTAAGAGACACAGAGGTGGGGTGAGGAGGTCAGAGCCTGATATTGAAATGGAGAGATGAGGAGACTTGGAGGACAAGCCATCTGAGGCGGGTGAGGCGCCTGAAGTGCGGGGATACTGAGTTCACCGTGGCCCTCTGAGGCGGGTAAGCAACCAGGGCATCAGGCCGGATCCCAGGAAGGGGTGAGAACAGATGGAGGCGAGGGAGACAGGGACGGGGGAGGAGAGAACAGCCAGACGGGCTGGGGGGAAGGGGGACCAAAGAACACGCCACAGCCCCATCCCGAGACTTGAGGAGGCGGGGGAGTGGGCAAGGGGTGGGGCGGAGACCAGCATGGCAGTTCACACCTGCAACCCCAGCACTCTTTAGGCTGAGGCAGGAGGACTGTCGTGAAGTGAAGACCAGCCTGGGCGACAGAGACAAGGAGAGCAGGACGCAGCCCCGTCTGCAGTGTTTGCCGCGCGTGTAGGAAGGTCTCTACCCTCAGCACTGCACACCAGGCATATCAGAACACATCTGTAACTGCAACACTTAGAGGCAGAAGCAGGGGGATCAGGAGCTCAGGGCCATCCTTGGCTACGTAGCTGAAGCCAGCCTGCTTTACCAGACTTTGTCTCAACAACTCAAGCCACATGGTGGCGCTCGCCTTTAGTCACAGAGCTCTGAGTTCCAGGCCAGCCTGGTCTACATAGACAGGGATGCATGAGAGCCTGCCCAAAAAAAATAAAAGAGGGGCTTGGGGACAGAAAGAGAGATGGCGCAGAGAGTGCCCACGGAAGGAAGAGAAAGAGGGAGTCCAAGACCTGGGAAGGAACGCTTCCAGAACGACCAAACCGGGCGTGCGCCCCTCCGTAGCACATTTCCTACCTGTGACACTGATTCCTGATACCTGACTGACTCTGAAACTGCAGGTGTGGGTCCAGCCCCAGACTTTTGATATTTGTTGTTTGTGTTGGATGGCAGACCTAAGACAAGCTGTTCAAGCAGGGATTCTGAGTATCAGACAAGAGCAGAATACAGCCATCACTGCGGGAGCAGGTGGGACCAGGCGGTGCGTGCTTGTAATCCCGGCACTGCGGAGATGGAGGCCAGGTGATCGGGAGCCCAAGGGTCAGCCTGGGCTACTGGACACCTTGTCTCAAAATAACAAGAGTCATAGAGAAGCCCCAACCAGGCCAAGGACTTGGTGAGGGAACGTGTCCCTTAGGGTGGAGTTTCCCCGATCTCAACTGCTCTCTCTAGATACCTGTCCACTCCCTCATCCTATGCCTCGGTAGCTGCCTGGTTTCTTCTTATTATAGAAGTAGGAAATTGAGACTCCAAAAACAGATGTCACAGGTCCAAGGTCACACCAAAGGAAAGCAACTCGGTGTGGTCCATTCCTGGCCCCCAGCATTGCCCTGCCCAGAACTTGGCTGAAAGAAACAAGACCCCTGTCTCCTGGCTCTTCTTCTCTGTCCAAGAGAAGCCCCCACCCCCAGCTAGTATCACTCATCTCCACCTTCAGGAGCATCTGTGGGCTCTTAGCTCTCGTCCCAGGCTTGGGAAGAATGACCTGCGTTCCAATGATGATGTTCCTCAGCCGTGGATGCCCCCACTGTCAAAGTGAATTCTGGATTTTTGTGAGCAAATAAAAGCTTGCCCCTCCCCAGTTTTCTGCTGCTTCTCCTGGGGTCTCTGAGTTTGGAGAGGGAAGGCAAGGCCCAGAAGGGGAATGGAGAGCCGGGGAGAGGCCGGAGGAACACCTCCCTCCTGCCATCACTCCCTCCAGCCCCCTCCACCGGCGTGTCTTTCTCCCGCTGCTCCCCTGACTTCACGCTGGTGTATTTTGAGAAACTCGTGAAAGGAGGCGAGAAAAAAGGGTGGGGAGGGGCTGGGAATTGGAAAATGGAGAGAGAGGTGAGGCTGTCTCGGCTGCCCTCCCCCCACGGCACCCTCCTGCCTCCCTCTGTCCACCTTATCCCTCCCGTGCTACCAGAGGGTGGGGTGGACTTTGGATGGAGGAGGCGAGCTGGACTACCAGGCTAACACTGGACGCAGGTGGCCCAGTGGCATGGACTGGGACCATGTATGGACCAGGGCACTGATGGAGGAAGCAGGGTCTAAGGGCACCATGCCCACGAGGCCATCTCCTCCCCGCACTGTGGACAGATATTTTTAGGCTTCTCAAGAGCTGAGTAATTTCTCTGACTTAGAGCCAGAGCTGGGGTTGGGGGTGAGAGGCTGGGAGGTGTCCAGGCTACCTCAGGGGACACTGGGGTCACTGGAATCACGGCTCTGGGTGGGAGCATATCTCACCCAGTTCCAGCCTGGATCCCGTGGGAAGTCCATATTACTCCCCAAGATTAATTTGGTTTTGTGGCCTGAAACTCCCTCACCGCCCTGGAACCTGGGATACCCCAGCTTTTTCCTCTCAGCTTAACCCCCCTCAAGGACAAGAACCAACAGCCCCAATCCGCTTTAGCTCCAGATTAAACGCCTCTAGGGACAGAACCTGAGAAGGAGGATAGATGGAGAGAGCCAGATTGGGAAAATAGCAGTGCCGGGGAACGGTGGGAGATTCCAGGAGAGGCAGAGATCAAAGTGGAGAGCAGAGGCCGGGAGAAGGGAGGGCTGGGGAGCGCAAGGGGCGCAGAGTCAGGACCGATGGGCATTAGTGAGGGGATTGAGACCCACAGATAGGGGGAGGAGGAACCCAGAGAGAGGAGACCTAAAGTCAAAAGACAGGGGAAAGGTGGAGAGTCAGAGAAGAGGGAGGATACTCGATCTCAAAGAAAGAGGCAAGCCCCGGTGAGATAGGTGCAGGGGCAAAGATGATGGACCAGGCTGGCTAGGAGAACAGCATCCACAGGACAGAATCCTGAACAGATGGGTGGGCCTTCCGCACCATGCCGGGATGTCATGTCTCTTCTCCCTCTGTCCGTCTGCTCCGGGTGCAGTGGGGGCGTCCTCACCCTTCCCCTCCCAGGAACCCCACCAGGCTCACCGGTGCAGCCTCCCCAGGGCGCGCCCCGCCAGCTTCCGAAACTCCTCCTGCCGGAACTCCATGGTGGCTGTGCCCACGCGGGTCCCCTACCGATCCCCCCGCCCGCGGGCCCGGGCGGCCGCGTCCGGGATCCCGGGGTCCGCCCCGGCCCGGCCCGGCCCCGCAGCTCCGCTCGGGGGGAACCAGGCTGAGAGTGCCAGCTGCCCGGGGCTGTAGCGGGACTCAACGTCGGGGGGCGGGGCGGGGCGGGGCATTCACGCCCACCCAACGAGGCCCCACCCCTTGCAGACAGGACCCGCCCTCTCCTTCCTCCTTCCACCCGCCTACCTGGGGGCTTTTAGGCCAGTCGGCTAGGCCCCAAGCCTTACAGGCTAGACCCTCCTCTCCTTCAGTTCTCCCGGCCTAGAGCCCCCAACCTGACCATCTCAAGGCCACGCCCCTGGGATTAAACTCTGAATTATCTCGTGCCTCGCTACAATCCAGTTCCCCAGTTACTCTGCCTGGTCCATGCTCTCTGGGTCCCTCCTTCCCAGAGCTCTGCACTCCTGAGCTCATTTCCCCATCCGATCTTTGGCTTTCTTATTTTCTTTACCTTGAAAAAACATTTTTTTTGAGCCGCGACTTGGGGAGGCAGAGACCCTGTCTCAAAAAAACAAAATAAGCAAACAAAAAACACGTGAGTGATGGTGGCGCACACCTTTAATCCCAGCACTCAGGAGATGGAGGCAGGCGGATCTCTGAGCACGAGGCCAGCCTGGTCTATAGAGCAAGTTCGAGGACAGCCAGGGCTACACAGAGAAACCAAAATAAAATAAGTTGGGTTTTTTGTTTTGTTTTGTTTTAAGACTGGGCGTGGTGGCACACGCTGTTCACTCAGCAATTGGTAGGTAGAGGCAGATGAATCTCTGAGTTCAAGACCAGCCTGGTCTACAGCGCAAGTTCCAGGACAGTCAGGGCTACACAGAGAAACCCTGTCTCGAAAAACAAACAAATGATGATGATGATGATGATTCTATATATGAGTGTTTTGTCAACATGTCTATCTGTGCACTACTTACATGCCTAGTGGTCGTGCACACCTAAAAATAGCATTTAATCCCCTGGAACTGGAGTTGTGAGCCGCCACGTGTGTGCTGGGAACAGAACCCAGGACCTCTGGAATTACCAAAGAGATATCTCTCCGGCCCCTTCTTTCCTGTGTGTGTGTGTGTTTGTTTTTTTGTGTTTTTTTGGTCATATTTGAAATTGGATCCAGATCCCCACACATTAGGCAAGCCTCCAGCCCTCACTCTGTAGCTCAGGCTGGCCTTGAACTTATGATCCTCCTGCTGCAGCTACACAGGTCCCTGGACTACACTGGCTTTCCCGTATGTTTCAGATCCCACTATTCCCCTTGAGTTCTGCTTTTCCTCGGGACTTATGGGCACGCACCCCATCCTTCTCTTCCCTCGCCTTGGAATTCTGCGCTACACCTAGGCCCACCACACTGCCCTTGGTGCCCGGTGGTTCCCTCCACACTACCCTAGGAGATCCCCAGGCTCTATGACACTCTTTTTTTTTTTTTTTTTTTTTTGGTTTTGGTTTTTTGGTTTTTTGAGACAGGGTTTGTCTGTGGCTTTGGAGGCTGTCCTGGAACTCGCTCTTGTAGACCAGGCTGGCCTCGAACTCACAGAGATCCACCTGCCTCTGCCTCCCAAGTGCTGGGATTAAAGGCGTGTGCCACCAACGCCCGGCTCTATGACACTCTTTTGAGTCTGCGCCCCATCAGCTGAGTCTGATCTCCTCTAAGTTCTACTCCCGCCCCCCAGATGTGTCCCTCTGCTCCTGTGGACATGCTAAATTCTGTCTCTGCCTTCTGGGGCCTGGCTCCTCCCCTTTAGTCCCTGCCATCTGGGGCCTGGCTCCTCCCCTTTAGTCCGTCTCCTCCCCCCAAGTCTATCCCAGTTGTGACTTCCACTCCAGCCCCAGGACCCGTCCCCGCCCGTTCCAGTCCCACACTATGTGGGGAACCCCAGCTCTCCGGTGGCTCTGAAACCCTGAAGCCCGCCAGGCCAACACTTTTCCCGGTCACCCCCAGCTCCAGGCCTCAGCAGGGAGCTGGTTTCCCCACCGCCTCTTGCCCCCGCGTGTCGGGCCACAAATGCATTTGGGATTAAATTTTCATGATGCGGCCCAGGAGGGGACGAGAGAAGCCGATCGAGCGGCAGGCGGGCGCGGAAGAGCTCAGTCGAGTCCCGGGGGAGGAGGGAGGCCGGCGAGCCGCGCACACGCGCCACCTGGTGGCTGTAGAGTCACCGACTGTGTGCGGAGGAGGCGTCCGCGGCTCCCGGCCAGGTGTGAGGGAGGAGCAGATGGTGAGGAGGAGGGTGTGGGAAGGGGGCCCCGCCGCTGCCAATTCTCCGGGCCGGCGCCCGCACCATCACCATGGCGACGGAGGAAGGAGGAACGCACCCAGCCTCAAGCTTTTTCAGGACCTGGCAACTAGTCCTCGGTTGCCCAGGGAGGACCTCAGTCTGGACTACACACCCCAGGGACCTTTGCACCCCACGTTTCTACTTGCCAACGGCTTCTAGTTATGGTTGTCCTTGCTATAAGAAGCCCTAAAGTCCAAGGCTTCCTTGCGCCCTCATGTGGGCAGGACTTTCCAGTTTGTTTGCCCGCATTCTAGGGCAGGACGGATCTCCTATTGCACAGACTAGCCTGGAATCTGTCATCCTCCTGCCTCACCCTCTCAGGAATGTTACTGCAGGCGTACCCACCAAGCTTGGCTACGTGCTAGACAGACTTCTGACTTTACCAACTTTTCTCAGAAGTTGTATATACTCCCCCCCCACCCCCCAGACAGAGTTTCTCTGTGTAACAGCTCTGGAACTGATTTCGTAGACCAGGCTGGCCTCGAACTCACAGAGATCCTCCTGCCTCTGCCTCCTGAGTGCTGAGATTAAAGGCGTGCGCCACCAATGGGCCGGCCGTTGTAATTTTTTGACACAGGATTTTTCTGTGTAGCTCTACCTCTCCTGGAACTCGATGTGTAGACCAAACTGGCTTTGAACTTAGAGATCCCACTGTTCTGCCTCCCAAGGAGGATTAAAGGCATGCACCACCAGACACCCTGTCTGGAAAAACAAAAAAAAAGAAAAAATCAAGTCAGGCAGTGGCGCATATATATGCCTGGAAATGGTGGCTTTTCATTCTAGTCCTCGGGAGGCAGAGGCAGAATTATATTATCTCTGTGTTCAAGGTCAGCCTGGTCTACAGTTCCAGGATAGGTAGAGCTACACAGAGAAATACTGCCTTGAAAAAACAAACAAAGGAAACCTAAAAACTACACACACACACACACACACACACACACACACATATATATTTGGGGGTGGAGAGATGTTTTAGTAGTTAAGAGCATTTGAAGAGGAGCCAGGTTCAGTTCCAATCACCCTTACAAAGGCTCATAAGAGGAGGATCTGGCTCCTTTTGAATTCAGCAGGTACCAGACAGCATACATACAGGTAAACCACTGACACATAGATAAATCAGGTGTGTGTGTGTGTGTGTGTGTGTGTGTGTGTGTGTGTGTGTTCGGGCAGGCATGCCACAGGGCACCTGTGGAAGTTGGAGGACAATTTTGGGGAGTCAGTTCTCTCGACCATGTGGTTCCTGGAATGGATCTCCAGTCATCAGGCTCGGAAGCAAGTGGCTTTACCCATCAGATCATCTGGACTGCCAGGAGTGATGTTTTAAATATCTTTAGCTGCATGTATTCTTCTTTCTCCCTTTGCAGGGCCAGCCTGCCCCAGGACAGGGAATCTCAGAGCACATTTGAAATAAATGTGTTTGGATCTGAGACAAGGTAATGGCCTGTCCTTTCTCAAGAGTCAGCTTTTGGCACTGGAGAGATGAGTCAGTGTTTAAGAACACTTGTGGCAGGGCCCTGGCGTTGGTGGTGCACTCCTTTAATCCCAGCACTCGGGAGGCAGAGGCAGGTGGATCTCTGTGAGTTCGAGACCAGCCTGGACTACCAAGCGAGTTCCAGGACAACCTCCAAAGCCACAGAGAAACCCTGTCTCGAAAAACCAAAAAAAAAAAAGAACACTTGTGGCTCTTGCAGAGGAACCAGGGTTCGGTTCCCAACACCCACATGGTGGTTCACAACCACCTGTAACTCCAGGTCCGGGGATGCAATCAATACCTTCTGACCTCCACAGGAGGTCACATACAATACATATAGACAAAACTGTCATAAATGTAAAAATAAATAAATCTCAAAAGAAAAGGTCAGGTTTCAACATCATAAAACAGCACGTAATAATTTACCAATATAACTGACATTACAGCATGGGTGTGGAGCTTGGAAAAGTACCTCAGTTGCAGGAGAGCTTGTCTAGCATGTGTGAAGTTCTGGGTTTGGTCCCCAGCTACATAAACCAATGTAGTGGTGCAAGCTAAAATCCCATCACTTTAGGGGAGGCAGGAGGATCGGTGTGTTCAAAGTCATCCTCAGCTTTGCTTCAAACCAGCCTGGGCTATATGAGGCTTTTTCTTTAATCAGAGAAAAAAAAGAGAAAAATAAAGAAAAATAAAGGGAGGGGCAGTTACCTGAAGTGTTACTCAATGGTACAACAAATGTATGCCAGACATTGTTTTTCCAGGGTTTCTCTGTAGCCCTGGCTGTTCTGGAACTGTGTACACCGGCTGACCTCAGATTCAGAGATCTGCCTGCCTCTGCCTCCCAAGTGCTGGGCCTGAAGGTGTGCACCGCCGCCCGTCCCGCATACGCTTGACATTAGAGGCCCTGGGCACCCTCAGCACTAAAGAAGTGAGGGGTGCTGGGAGTGTCCCACAAGAGGGGACAGCACGTGTGGAGTCAGGAGGAAGTGAAGCCGGGGGCTTGGGGACCTTGACTTGGGTGTGCCTGTGACAGGAAGCTGAACCCCAGGGTGGATACAGGTCATGGAGTACAGGCCAAAGACCCTAGAGACGCTGCTTGAGTGCGCTCCACGAGAGCACCCACGGTCCAGGGGCGGCTTGTTAGTGACCCCGAAGATGGGGGCACAGAGCAGGCAGCGGCGGCACGGCGGGACACATTCTGTGGGCCTGCCGGGCACCAGGGAGGGTGTCTGGATGTTCCGGGACAATGAGTACTGAAGGACAGAGAAAGCCAGGAAAGGCATGCAAGTTTCTAGGGGACACTGGGGTCAGAGCTGATAACCCTCTTAGCTTCCACCCACCATCTCTCAATTTGTGAAGCTGGAGAGAACTGGAAAAACTGTTTATTTCACATTTAGAGAAGACACCAACATCATCTCCACATCTGGAAATACAAGGGACTCTGGTCAAGACACTGACAGGAGGGGCATGGACACCATCAGTTGCTGAGAAAGGAAAGAGAAGAAGGATTCAAGACCCAGGCCTCCAGGCCCAGCCCCCTCCCTCAGACCCAGGCCTCCAGGCCCAGCCCCCTCTCTCAGATCCAGGACTCCAGGCCCAGCCTCCTCCCTCAGACCCAGGATCCAGGCCCAGCCCCCTCTCTCAGATCCAGGACTCCAGGCCCAGCCTCCTCCCTCAGACCCAGGATCCAGGCCCAGCCCCCTCTCTCAGATCCAGGACTCCAGGCCCAGCCTCCTCCCTCAGACCCAGGCCTCCAGGCCCAGCCTCCTCCCTCAGACCCAGGCCTCCAGGCCCAGCCCCCTCCCTCAGACCCAGGACTCCAGGCCCAGCCTCCTCCCTCAGATCCAGGACTCCAGGCCCAGCCTCCTCCCTCAGACCCAGGACTCCAGGCCCAGCCTCCTCCCTCAGATCCAGGACTCCAGGCCCCAGGCCCCCATATCCCAGCTTTCCCTGAAGCCTCCCCAGGCACCTTTCTCCTATGATGGAAGGCAGCCCTGCTGGCCTCAGGGTTGATCCGCAGGGGAATGGAGGCATTGAGGTGGTACAGTTGCTGAGGACCTCCCATCACCAGGCAACTCTCTCCTATCTCCAGTGTCAGCCCTTGAGGTCCATCCTGGTGATGAGGTAGAGTCAGGCCGCATGCCCTAGCTTTGGGAAGCGGTGCGCTCCACAAGGTCACAGCATGCGTGGCTGTGGCATCAGTCCTCAGCACCAACAATACAAACAAAGTCAAAGGGCAGTACTTATAAGTCTCAAGGAGCTCACACTCAGGATAGCAGTGGCTGTACCCGCTGGTTTTCTGGGCCAGCAGAAGCAACTTATGCAGGTCTGGGGACAGCCCACACCACTGCCTCTGGAGACATAGCCCAGTCCTAGGAGTCCAGGCCCCAGTCTCCGCCTCCAGACCTAGGAGTTTGGCTACTAGACCTCCTGCCTCAGGCCCAGTGTGCCCAGAGTCTACCTCTTTTCCCTGACTGAAGAACCCGCACTCACCAGCTTGGGGAGGTCGACTTCAGCCAAGAGGAGGTCAGGGGCTTCCAACCAAAGGTTCAGGTGAGGCCGTTCTGCACTGTATGGGAACAAGGGCAGACTGCGGGTGACCACCTGGTCTGACTTGACTTGCTGTCCCTTTCTCCTCCACCCAGCGCTGTGTTTCAACTCCATCTGCGTCCCTAGAGCCCCAGGGTAGCCACCAGCCCAGACAGGCAGAAGGCTCACCCCTGCAGGCTCCCCAGCTCCTGGATCCGAGGACGCTGCCGGGAACGGATGTTCTGCTGTGAGATGGAGCCCAGGAAAGGTCGGTTCTTCAACATGCGCCATTCTGGGGTTGCAGAGGGAGAGAGCGCGGAGGCAGGGTTCCCTCAGGGGGTGCTTCCCAGCGCAGAGGCGGGCATTCCCCTCTGACCGCTTCAACTTTGACTCTAGGAACCCCTGCCACCTTAGCCCCGCTCTTCCTGGGGAATCATCAAGACACTTCCACCGTGGCCACCACACCCCACACTGGACCCCCCAAAAACACCAGGCTCCTGGCCCCGCCCTTATCTGCTCCACCTTCACTCTGAGAAGCTCCACCCCTTCTGAAGGCTGGTCTAGGAAACCCCTGACACACAGGACTGACTTCTCCCAAGTGTGCCATTCTCCCGCTGCCCCTCACCTGGATTTAGCTGTAAACCATACTTGTCCTCAAGGCCCTCCCTGGCAATGGTGACCACTAGCTCTCGCAGGAAATCGCTGTTCTAAGGTGAGAGGAAGAAGAGGTGTGGTGGAGGGCGGGGCAGGAGGAAGCACCCTCCCCAGGCCGTGGCCATAGCACACACCCCACCTGCATCCTCAGGTAGAAGTTGCTATTGACGGCGACATCATAGGCTGTGCAGCCCTGGCCTTCTGTGGAAAGAGAGGGAATGAGGCTCTTGCAAGCCTCCATGTAGTGCACTTAAGGAAAACTTAGCTCAGGACCAGAGACCCAAGCCACAGGAAGTAAGAGGCAGCACACACTCTGCCTTCCAGCCAACTCAGACCACATCCTTCTTGGCTTCAAGGCTCAACTCCAGGTTGATGCCCACATCCCCAAGACAGACCCTGATCTTCCCCAGTGACCCCAAGAATCATCTTACTCTTTCCCACCCCTATCTAGAGAACACAGACTGTTCACACTGCCAGTGTCTCCTGAACGTTGGCCCATCCCCCAGACACAGGTCAGTTTTCTATGGAGCTTGGTCTGTGGTCTCCGGCCTTCACAATTCTCCTGCCTCAGCATCCTAGAAGCTAACATTCCGAGAGAGAGCCACCATTCCAAGCTCACTGTCACCTCTGCCTGAAACCCTCTTCTCTGACTTTGCCTGGCTACTCTTAAAATCTTTTTAGAGACAGGGAACTCCCATTGTAGACCAGGCTAGCCTTGAACTCAGAGATTCACTTGCCTCTGCTTCCAGAGTGCTGACCGCCTCCCGCCTGGCTAACTGCTCAAATCTCGTATCAGACCAGCACTAAGCAGGAGGAGCCCGGGCGTGTCCCCTCCATCCTGAATCGGTCCCCTCTGGCTCCCTGGGAGGCGCATGCTCCTGGGGGAGCAGACTTGGTGTCTGCCAAGGGCACTGACTTGCATCAAGCTCAGCGTGTGGCTCTCCCAGGCTCATGGGGATTCGGAAGCCGGCTTGGTCCTCCTCCAGCATCTGAAGCAGTTCCTCCTCGGTCACATCCACCGGGGGCGGGATGGAGGGGGAGTGGCAGATGTTGATGAAAACCTTTCCTTCCGCTGAGCTGGTCTTTACGCAGAAACCTGCACGGGAGGGCTTGTCTCGGCCATCTGTCCCTCAGCAGCCTCACTCTCACCCCCTCTCCCTGTTCTGAGACAAGGCCTCTCCCTCTGTGCCCAGGCTGGCCCCAGACGTGGGGTACTCCTGAGATTACAGGCATTCACCAGCACTCCCAGTCCCTTCCCCTCTTTTAATGCCTCTGCCTTCCCTCTGTCCCCTCTGCTTCCCGGCGTTTTCTTACTCTGAATCTCCACCCCACTCTGCTTTCTGTGGTGCACTATTTGTAGGTGGTCTTCCTGCCTGTCCCTCACATAACTACCTCTAGGCCTCTGTACCCAGTTGTGACCTCTCCCCTTCATTCTGTATCCCCTGCCCCTAGTTTCTACTGACCTCTCTCAGGGCCTCCCATCCTCTCTCCGGGATACTCTACATCTCTATATCTATATCTATATCATATATATATGTGTGTGTGTATACACACACATACATACATATATATATATATATATTCCTATATACCTAGAATATACCTAGATCTATGTACATTTCTCACCAGGCTGGGGCTGGATCTGTGTAGATTCTGGCCTGTGTGTCTGGGCTTGCTGGAGCTCTTTGGAGGCCTGTGGGAAAAAAGCCACCATCCATGATGATCCTGCCCTGTCACACCCAACCATCTGCCTCCCAAACATTTATGGGACAACTCACGTGACAGCTGAGGATCACGTCTTTTTTACTTATGTTATATTTTTGTTTGCTTTCTGTTTTTCGAAACAGGGTTTCTCTGTGTAGCCCTGGCTGTTCCGGAACTCACTCTGTAGTCCAGGCTGGCCTTGAACTCAGAGATCCACTTGCCTCTGCATCTCCAGTGCTGGCATTAAAGGCGTGCTCCGCCACCACCCGGCTCACTTGTTATATTATACAATCTAGCCCCCCCTTTTCTTTTCTGATGACCAAATTCACCCCAACTCCATTCCTATTAAAACCTAGTAAACTTTGAACCAAACAACTACAATTCCCATAGGCCTCCTTGCTGCCGCCGTCGGGCATTCTGGGAACTGAAGCAGCAGCATCTCTGAGCGCCAATATATAAATCTTTAAACACCCACGTTCCCATAAATCGTCGGCCCGCACCTGCAGTAGCAGCTCCTGAAACCGCACCGTCTCATCACCCATCGACTCTGCGTCGCTTAGCTCTGGTACCAGAAGCTTCGAGTCCGCCATGGCCCTGGGGAAAAAAATTCCTAAGCGTCCAAAACGTGGAGATACACTAAGCCAGCCTATCGCAGGGCCTCAGTCGATTCTTAACACACAGCTCTTTACCCAGAACCCTAAGATCTAGGCTGGGAATGGTCTACGGTTCCATTACGATGACGGCACCGTCCTCAAGTCACTTAGGTCTCTGTATCGGTCCTGTTTGGCAGATTCGTAAAAGAAAGTCACACTTCCGGTCCCTTTGTAACCAAGGAACTGAAGTAGGCACACTTCCGATCACCCGAACGCTCTACCATGCAAGCAGGCACCCACGCCGACCATTTGTATTAGAAAGCTGAAGTCACGCCCCCTAACCAACCAATCAAAAGTAAGGCCTGAGGAGGACCGTGAAATGATACACTTCCTGAATCCATAAAACCTGCATTTCCGCCCTTCCCCAACAACTGCAGTCGTTAGAGCGCAGAATGGTTTTTAGTATCTCTGTATGTAGCTCTTGTCTATCATGCATTAGGCTCAGCGTCCGATCCCACCCAACACACACACCCTTAATTTCAATGCTATTAACTGCCCTTTTTGAACAAAATCAAGTCTTTTGTTTATAAAGAAACAGTGTATGTTGGGGTGGGGGGCGCTAGAGAGATAGTTCATCATTTGAGTGCTGACTGGTCTTCCAGAAGACAAAAGTTTGATTCCCAACACCCACATAGCATCTCATAATCCCTTGTAACTCCAGTTCTACGGGATCCAACGCTCTCTTCTGGCTTACTGGGATACTGCATGTATGCAATGCACAAGACATGCAGGTAGGCAAAAATACCCATGCATGTAAAAAAAAAAAAATACCCATGCAGGTAAAACAAAGGCAAATCTTTGCTTGCTTTAAAGAAAAGAAGATATTAGCGGTGGAGAGATGGCCCAGCGGTTAAGCACACATGCAGCTTTTGGAAATACCGGGGCCCAGCTCCTACCACCCACACGGTGGCTCACCACTGCCTGTAACCCCAGGTACAGGCCCCCCCCCGTCTCTTCCGGCCTCCATCGGCCATCGGCACTGTGTGCACGTGCAGCGAAGACATGCATGCAGCCGGGAAAACGCCGGGACAAGTAAAACAAAGATTAAGTAACTTCAATCGGTGGCGGCCACGCCTTTAATCCCAGCGCTTGGGAAGCCGAAGGAGGTGAACTCTGAGTTCAAGGCCAGCTTGGTCTACAGAGAAAATTCTAGGACTGAATGGGCTCTACAGGCCAGAGCATGGCAGGCTTGTCCTTCCTTTCTCCTTTGCTAACTATCGCAGAGATTACACCCTAAAGCCGGCTACCAAGGTCTGGCCCCTTGTTTGGCCACTCCCTCCTCCTGAGGCTGACCTCCAAGGGCCAGCAGTCAAAGTACTGAAGTCTGGCAATCAGAAGACCCCTTTTTGGCTCACCTAATTAACATGGCCAGTCAAAACAAACCAACTCAGGCTAGAGAGATGACTCAGTGGTTAGGAGCACTGCCTGCTCTCTACCAGAGGATCTGGGTTCAATTCCCAGCACCCATATGGGAATCAGCAACTGTCTCTAACTCCAAGATCTGACACCCTCCCACAGGCATAACAACAATGCACAGAAAATAAAAATAAATAAACTATATATAAAGATATTTTTTAAAAAGACCCCAACTCTTCCTGACACGGAGTTTCCCCTTTTCCTTTTCTTTTCTTTTCTTTTTTTTTTTTTTATTTGGTTTTTCGAGACAGGGTTTCTCTGTGTTGTTTTGGAGCCTGTCCTGGAACTCACTCGGTAGACCAGGCTGGTCTCGAACTCACAGTGATCCGCCTGTCTCTGCCTCCCGAGTGCTGGGATTAAAGGCGTGCACCACCAACGCCCGGCTCCCCTTTTCCTTTTCTAACTGTCATTTGCCTACGGGCCATGCCTGCCTCCACTTTATCCAGAGGCAGACCTTTGTACCTTCAGGACAAACGTCCTTCCTCCCCTTGTCTTTGCCCCCCCCCACACACACACTTTGTTTTTTGAGACACGGTTTCTCTGCACATTTGGAGCCTGTCCTGGTGCTCTGCAGACCAGGTTGGCCTCTGCCTCCCGAGGGCTGTGATTAGAAATGTGCACTGCCACCACTACCCGGCTCCCTTACCCCCTCTCCCCTCTCCCTTGTCTCCTCTCCCCTGTCTTTGTCCCTCTGGGGCAAATAAATCTCCTTTATGCTGGAAGCTTGGTCTTGTGTTCCAGCCCTTTCTTGCTTTGTTTTTCTTTTTTGGTTTTTCGAGACAGGTTTTCTCTGTTATCTCTGGCTGTTCAGGAACTGCTCTGTAGAAGGGCTGGCCTCAAACTCAGGGATCTGCCAGCCTCTCTCTCCCAAGTGCTGGAATTAAAGGCATGCACAACCACCACGTTGTGACTCCCAGGGCTATGTTTCTAAAAAGAAAACAAACAAACAAAAAATTGTTTTTGAACTATCACTGAGACCCAGTGGTCGTTCCTGCTCCCTAATGGATTTTTGGACTAAAAGCCTACCTGCATCCAATTTTTTTTAAGGTAGGAAAACATCAAAATCACTTTTTTTCTGCCAGGTGTGGCCGTGCACTTCGGGGGCAGAGATAGACCGATCTTTTTAAATTTAAGCCGGACTGGTCTACAGCCAGAGCTACCCCGTCTCAACAAAACAAAGCTATTTTTTTCTAAAGAATCAAGATGACAATATGCTGTCCTTCCAAAGCTAGTGCGGAGACCCGCCCCCCAGGTCTGCTATCCAGGAAACTACATTTCCCAGCGTCCGCCCCTAGGAGGCCTGGCGCGGCTCTACGGTGGGCGGGACACGCCCTACAGCTCGCCGCCTCGCGGTTCTTGCTGGCCCCGCCCCTTCGGCTGGAGTGGGCGGGGCCGCCCTTCGGACCTCCAGGTTCCCCCAGGCGGAGCGTCCGGCAGCCCTTCGCGGAAGGCGTTCGGCGAGCGATGGCAGCAGCGCGTGGAGGACCCTGCGCCCGCGAGATTTTCACGACACTGGAGTACGGACCGGTGCCTGAGAGCCACGCATGCGCGCTGGTGAGAGCTTGCCTGGCGGCGGCGATCTATCCCCGTCCGCAGACCTGCCGGCCCCAAGTGGCGCGGGCTCCCGTCATCCACTGCGACACCCCCGGAAACCCCGCCCCCTGAGCTCGTGATTCTCGCCCCGGCTTAGGGACCCGGCCTAGAGTTCTTCCGGTGATGCTTATGCTCGTGGTTCTGGTCCACGATCGTGCTGTGCTGTTTCCTCAGAACCCTTCCGGGACCGGTGGTGCTCGCGAGGCCTCACACCTTGGTCGACCGTAGTTTCTTGGGGCCCCTGCCACTTTTGAGGCTCACGGGAACGCTCAGAACCTCAAGTTCACTAAGATCTTCCTGTGACTGCCTGCCCCGTCTGACTATCCTTGGGTTGCCCCTCAGGGTCCATTTAATCCCCCGCCTCATGGTTTTTTTTTTTCGGAGATTTTCATATTTCATAATTATTCCTTAAGAGCCTCTAAGACCCTGCGCTTCTTAGAGCTCTTGTAACCCCCCAGGGTCTTCCAGAATCCCCTTGGTGTCCTGATGGAATTTAGGAGGGTGCTTGGGGTCTTTTGCCCGTGGTCCCACAAATTATTCCAGCATCCAGGCAGGCATTGGGGGGTTGGAGAGGCGGTCCAGTGAAAGCTTTTAGACTTTGAGGGGAGGGCTCCAGCTTTGGAAGGACAGCATTATAACACTCAAGTTTAGAGTGTTAATCCCAAAGATTCGAGGAGAAAGACCACCGACCCAAATCATCAAGGCAAAATTAATTAAACTCCCCTAAGAGGTCAGCCTTGAATGAATGTGAGGAAGACAAGGCTTTTATAGCTCAGGGTTTCCAAATGGCGAATGTGGCAGGCAAAATAGTCTTTGGGGGTTACAAGAGCAGAACATAAGATAACAAGTTAGCCCTAAAGATCTTCCTGAAACAAAGACAGGATTGCAAAGTGGTTGTAGCAAGGTAGTCATAAACTTTTGAAACCACGTTGGCTGTAGTAATTTTTTGACGCAAGGACATGGTTGCCATTTCCTGGAACAGGCAGTACAGAACCATTTGTAGTTAAGGTTCCAGGTGGGGCATAGCCCAATCTTTGAGAAACATAGGTTTAGCATAAATAAGGATGAGCCTAGTTTGTCTTTAAGATGGCTTTCAAGCCTCTGGTTAAGAGGGCAGGATCCCAGCCCTGGTGGCTCTTAGGGCTGCTGAGCTGTTCCTGCATGGAGAGTCCAGGAAAGGATGGGCACTGAGCTCTGGTGGCATGGAGACTGAATCTGACATGAGGTGGGGTCTAGTGTTGCTTGTCTTTCTGCTTCTAGACAAACAGTTGCAGTGCAGACACCAACCAGAGAGATGCCATTGTAAAAAGATACTGCACTAGGATCACTAGAAGTACAGCTGCCGCTGAGAGGATTTGGGACAGCTGGGAATCCCCACAGATGGAGGCTTGTTAGAGTGGAATGCCCTGGAACAGCAGTAATAGCTTGAAGGCAGGGGTGCATGGGTGGATGGGTTGTGCCAGCCCCTGTGCTAAGCATGATTTCACTTAATCCCCCAAAGGCCCAAAGAACAGACAGGATTATTCTTGTTGTTTTAGTGACAGAACACAAGTTTGATGAGGTGAGTCATTTTGTCCATAATCCACACTGCTTAAAGGAGTTGGCTATGGGGACACATACCAGTAACCCCAGCATTTGGAAGGCCAAGGCAGGAACCCAATTATGAGTTCCAAAACAATCTCACAAAATGACAGAGCTGGGCCTGTCACCATGCCCTGGGTTCTGGACCCTCCAGTTGCCCCCATTACTCCAACAAAGGTCTTAAGTTTACAGTTGGGGCAACTCGATCAGAAAACATGTTTTCCTTGGCTTGAACTTTGTTTTTGGAAATGTCAATTATTGTACAATTAATTCCATCTAAACATCCTGGATTCTAATTTCTCTTGAAAATAAAATTCCACAGTTTGGCAACCTTTTGGCTGTAGCTCCCTGACAGAACTCATCTGGAACCGATTGTCTAGGCTACTTTGGAGACATTTTCAGCTCTCAGTGTCCAACAGGGCTCCTCGCCCACCCCCGTGGCCTGCCAGAACCTTGTGGACATTCTCCTGGGAGTTTGTTTTCCTTTTGAAGGGAAGTTTTCCATCTTTTACACAGCAGTTGCTATTAGGAACTCCCATGTACTCATCACTCAACTTCAACGGTTAGCGTTTAGTCCAGTGTTCCCTTGTGTTTTTTCTTTTCTCTCAAGAGTACTTTAAACAAATACCAGCTGTCATGCTTCTTTCCCATAAATATTTGAGTCTTTGTTTCTAAAAGATAAGAGTTTTGTTTCACAACCAGCACTCTGTTATTCGGTCTCCTTGCCTTAACTGACATTTATTAGTATTTAATGCCCAGCTCATGTTCCCATGGCCCCACTTCCAAAATGGCTCTGTCCCTGTGGATACTGTAATTTGGGACTTTTGGATGACAAATTTTTTCTTTTTTCTGAGACAGGGTTTCTCTGTATTGTTTTGGAGGTTGTCCTGGAACTCACTCTGTAGACCAGGCTGGCCTCGAACTCACAGAGATCCGCCTGCCTCTGCCTCCCGAGTGCTGTTAAAGGAGTGCGCCACCAACGCCCGGCTTCAAATTTTTCTTTTTAAAAGATTTTTGTCTGTTTGTTCTGGTTTTTTGTTCTTGTTTTTACTTTTTGGGACAGAGTTTCTCTATGTAGTCCTTCCTGGCTGTCCTAAAATTCACTCTGTGAACCAGACTGACCTTGACCTCACAAGCAGTCCACCTACCTCTGGCATCCCAAGTGCTGGGATTAAAGGTGTGCACCACCACATCTGGACAAGATTTACCTTTTGTTATTTCTGGCTGTGTGTGCATGTGCTTGTGTGATCACGGAAGCCAGAAGGGGGCTTTGGATTCGGAAGCTGGACTTGCAGGTGGCTGTGCTCTGCTGGTGTGGGTGCTGTCTCTGCAGGAGTGGGATGTGCTTTTCTCTCCAACCTTCCTTCTTTTGAATCAGCCTCTCACTGGTCTAGAATCCCCCATATATGCTAAGCTGGTTCTCCTTTGAGCTCCGAGGATTCTCTTCCTCCACTTTCCCAACACAGGGATTACAGATGTGTGAACCATGGTCTACTTTTTCCGCGTGGGTCCTGGGGATTGAACTCAGGTCTTCATAATTGTAAGACGAGCATTTTACTGGCAGAGATGTTTCCTCGCCTGCCACTTTTTTTCCCCCCATTTTTGAGACATGGCCTCCCTATGTAGCCTAAGTTGCCCTTTAAATCATGGTGATCCTCCTGCTTCATCATCCCAAGTGTTGGAATTATAGACCTATGCCACCATACCAAGACCATTTTTTTAATTTGTTTTTTATTTTATGGACATTGGTATTTTGCCTGCATGAATGTCATGAGCTGCCATGTGGTTGCTGGGAATTGAACCCCGGGTCCTCTGAAGAGCAGTCAGTGCTCTTAACCACTGAGCCATCTCTCCAGCCCATACCAAGCCCACTTTGCTTTAAAAAATAATAAATAAAAACGACAAGGCCAGTTGTCAAGTTGAGGGAAAAGAACAGAAAGTGGGAAGTGGATGTTGATTTAACAACCACAAAAATGTGAGCAGAAGAGAAGGCGGCATGGAGCGAGCATGGCGGGTAATAAAGGTCCCGGGAAGAAGTAGCGCGGCCGGGTGTTTGCGTGCTTCGAATCCTTCCTTTGTCTGCAGGCTTGGGGATGGCTAGCAGAGGCGTGAGATCCCTGGCTAAGCTGGGTGCGGGTGGCTGTCTACACAGCGAGTTTCAGGACAGTCAGGACTACACAGAGAAACCCTGTCTTGAAAAGTAATGGTTATTAATAAATAAATAAATAAATAAGCAAGCAAGTCCCGGTTAGTAAAGTGCTTGTTACACAAGAATGAGGACCTGAGTTCAGATTCCCTGCACTCAGTCAAAGCCCAGTGCAGCCGGGCGTGGTGTACGCAGTTTCAACTCCTGCATTTGGGAGGCAGAGGCAGATGGATTGCTTGTGAGGAGTTCCAGGCCAGCCAGCCAGAGCTACGTAGTGAAGCCGTGTCTCAAACAAAACTAAGCGGGTAAGTGAAGCGGTGCAGCAGCCTCCATGTAATCCTGTGTGAAGGAGACTAAGCTGGGAGAGCCTGGGCCTGCTGGCAGCCAGTCTAGCTGAAACTGCGAGCTTCGGCTTCGTGAGAACTCTCTGGCAAGAAGACGGGTGGACAAGCTCAGCCGTTAAGAGAGCTTGCTGCTCCTGTTGAGGACCCAGGCACGTGGCAAGTCACAGCCATCCGTAACTGCAGTCCACAGACACTGCCTCTGGCTTCTGTGGCACTTCATGTGTGTAATGCACTCGGGTGCATGCATGGAAACACTCATACATACAAGAATGAATCAACAGTGAGTCTTCTAGAAAATAAGATAAAGAGCAGCTGGGTCTTGGTGGAGCGCGACTTTAATCCCAGCACTCGGGAGGCAGAGGCAGGCGGATCTCTGTGAGTTCCAGACAAACCTGGTCTACAGAGTGAGTTCCAGGACAGCCTCCAAAGCCACAGAGAAACCCTGTCTCGAAAAACAAACAAAACCGGGCTAGAAGTATAATTTGATAGAAGTGTTGGGTCCTGAGCCCAATAACCAGCACAGAACAAAACAAACCCAGACACAGGAGGGAAAGAATCGGCCGGGGGCAAAGGAGTGCAGGCGTCTCTTCAGGGGCCTCTGGCTAAGGACTGAGCTGTCCCAGCTGCCACAGGCCCCTCTCCAAACTCTTTTCTTCCTCCAGGCCTGGCTGGATACCCACAACCGCCTCTTGGGCCACTATGTCAACGGGACGTGGCTGAAGCCAGAACACAGGAACCCAGTGCCTTGCCAGGATCCCATCACAGGTCTTTTGGGAGGGACAAAGACTTCTTGGGGTTGCAGCTGTGTCCGTAGCTGTGCTCAAGCTCCTGAGTGCAGGAGCCGTTGATGGTGGTCATGAGGATGAGGGGTCTCATTTCTCCTGATGGCGGTCTCACTAGTGCACCCCAAAAAAGGCTTTTTGAAGGCCCTCTCTACTAAGGGGCCTGCCCTCCCTCAAGCTGAGTGTGGTGGCTCATGTCTCTAATCCCAGCAACCCAGAGGCAGAAGCAGGAAGATCATGAAGCCAGCCTAAACTATAGAGTGAGTTCCAGGCTAGCCTTGACTTCATAGGGAGGCACTTAAAAAAGAGTAGGAGGGGAGGGCTGAAGAAGACAGCTCAGTGGTTAAACGTGTTTAGGACCTTTCCAAAGACCCAGGTTCGGTTCCCAGCACCCATGCTGGCAGCTCACAACCACTTGTAACTCCAGCTCCAGGGATCCTGTCCCCTCTTCTGGTCTCCAGGGGCACCCACACACAGACAGCCAGCAGAGGCAGGTGGATCTCTGAGTTCAAGGCCAGCCTGGTCTACAGAGTGAGTTCCAAGATAGCCAGTGCTACACAGAGAAACCCTGTCTCGAAAACCAAACCAAACAAATCCTGAATTGAAAAGACACAGTAAAAGAGGGACTAGAGAGATGGCTGTGGTTAAGATCTCTGGCTGCTGCTTTCAAAGGACCTGGGTTTAGGTCTCAGTGTTTTGTTTGGTGGCTCACAAGCATCTGTATTTTCCCGAGAGTCTGACTCCCAACCCCTGTCGGCACTGCATATATGTGATGTACAAGATCCTTGCAGGCAAAACACTCATGTACACAGCTAAATCCAAATAAATCAACGTTTAAGAAAGACAGCAAGCAAGGGAAGAAGAGGGAAGGGAAGGTCAGCTTTGGGACTTGATGAGAGCAGTGAGTGAGGAAAGAGGGGGCTGGGCAGTCTTTATTCCCTCGCTGGCCTCCTCCATCTTGCTCCCACCCGTGTCTGCAGGAGAAGAGTTGGCCAGCTGCCTGCAGGCACAGGCTGAGGATGTCACTGCGGCTGTGGAGGCGGCAAGGACGGCATTCAAGACCTGGAGCCAACTCCCCGGAGCTGCTCGAGCCCAACACCTAAGCCGGTAAAGAAGCCCAGGCTAGACCTGCAGAGGAAGAACAGTCCTCATCCTCAGGGTTCACAGGAGGCTGTGGAAACAGATTCCATTTCCCAAGAGCCTTTCAATCATTGGCCGGTGTTTCCCACAGGCATGTGGGGCTTTAATGGCCAGGACAGCCATTGTTTCCCACAGTTCACAGTATCATAGTATCATGAGCGCTCCATTATTTCTCACAGTTCACAGTATCATAGTATCATGAGCGCTCCATTATTTCTCACAGTATCATAGTATCATGAGCGCTCCATTATTTCTCACAGTTCACAATATCATAGTATCATGAGCGCTCCATTATTTCTCACAGTTCACAGTATCATAGTATCATGAGCGCTCCATTATTTCTCACAGTTCACAGTATCATAGTATCATGAGCGCTCCATTAGAATCTGAGCTCCAGGGCTGGAGAGATGGCTCAGAGGTTAAGAGCATTGACTGCTCTTCCAGAAGACCTGAGTTCAATTCCCAGCAACCACATGGTGGCTCACAACCATCTGTAATGAGATCTGGTGCCCTCTGCTGATGTGTAGATGTACATGGAGGCAGGGTGTTGAATTCGTAATAAATAAATAAATCTTAAAAAAAAAAAAGATCGGGCGCACGCCTTTAATCCCAGCACTCGGGAGGCAGAGACAGGCGGATCTCTGTGAGTTCGAGACCAGCCTGGACTACCAAGCGAGTTCCAGGACAGCCTCCAAAGCCACAGAGAAACCCTGTCTCGAAAAACCAAAAAAAAAAAAAAAAAAAGATCCCATTTCCCATAATGTAATTGGATCAGAGGCTCAAATTCACGTTCCTGGTATCCTTGGGACTGGATGGTAATTGGTGACTAGGACCACTCTATAGTACTGCCAGAGTTCTGAGACTCCCTAGACTGCATTTCCTATACAGCTTCGGTGCTTGCTGTCCCTGATAAAGTATGACTCTGCTCCAAAGGCTTGTGGGGATTGTAGTCCAGGTTGCTCTGGGCAAGGACCAACCCCTTGTATTCTCCAAAGGTTGGCCAAGACTATCCAGAAGCATCAGCAACTGCTGTGGACCCTGGAGTCTCTGGTCACTGGGCGGGCTGTTCGAGAAGTTCGCGATGGAGATGTCCCACTGGCCCAGCAACTGCTTCAGTACCATGCAGTCCAGGCATATGCCCAGGAGAAGGCCCTGGCAGGCTGGGAGCCTATGGGTGAGAACCTGCAGCCCCCGGAGCCCTCCTGCCCCAGTCGACCAACCCGTCCGTCCCTCATTATGGATTTTTTTGCAGGAGTTATTGGCCTCATCCTGCCAACTTCTTTCTCTTTCCTGGACATGATGTGGAGGGTCTGCCCTGCCCTGGCTATGGGTAGGTGAGGGCGGTGTCCCCCACCCCCTCCCCTCAGAGAGGATGTTTGGGGTCCAAGGGAGGAGGCCTGACACCTGGGCCCCTGCCTGTGCAAGGGGGGAGGGGAGGGGTCTGGCCTTCAGGGTTCCTCGGTTGTTCCCTTTCCCAGGCTGCACTGTGGTGGTCCTTGTGCCCCCAGCCCTCCCAACGCCTCTCCTCCTCGCCCAGCTGGCAGGGGAGCTCGGCTCTTTCCCGGGGATCCTCAATGTGGTATGCGGCCCTGCCTCACTCGGGCCTGTCCTGGCCTCCCAACCTGGAGTCCAGAAGGTGGCCTTCTGCGGAGCTGTGGAGGTATCTTCAGGGCTGGGCCTGGGATGGACATGGCTAAGGGCCAAGAGGCTGCTGCCACAGCTGAAACCCATGGGGTTCCCACAGGAAGGACGTGCTCTGCGACGGACCTTAGCAGGCAAGGGGGCCAGGCTGGGCCTGGCCCTGGGCACAGAGTCACTGTTGCTGCTAATGGACTCAGCAGATGTAGACTCAGCTGTGGAGGGCGTTGTGGATGCCGTCTGGTCAGACCGCAGCCTGGTAAGACCCGTGTGCTCATGCCACCAAAGTCCAGGGCTCCACCATATCTCTCCTAATACTTGGGGTGTTCACTCCCAACTTGTTTTTACTTCCTGCTCTTTGGACCTTTGTAGCTCGTGCTGGTTTCCAACTCACTGTGTAGCCTAGGAAACTTGGGCAAGTCACCAGCTTCTGGCCTGCTGCCGCTCCCCCATCCCTGAGGCCCAGCCCTCTGTGGGAGCCTGTTCTCCCTACATTGCCCCTACTTTGCCTACTTTTGATGCCCTTTTTCCAACAGGGGGGACTTAGGCTCCTCATCCAGGAATCTGTATGGGATGAAGCTATGAAGCGACTCCAGGCTAGGATGGCAAAGCTACGGAGTGGACGAGGCCTGGATGGGGCTGTGGACATGGGGGCCCGAGGAGCTGCCGCCCGAGACCTAGCCCAGAGCTTTGTGGATGAGGCCCAAAGCCAGGGAGGACAGGTGAGCCCCAGCCACAAACTGGAGTCTTAGAACTTGGCTACCCAACGACTGTTTCAGAGTCAAGAGGGACAAGCCTGAGCCCCCTGGGTCTGAGAGAGGACCAAGGCCTAGAATCCTGAGTTTGAGAAAGGAAGCTGGGCCCTGGACTTCAGTGTCTGAGGGAGGAGGGCTAGGGTCTAGATGCCCAGGTTGAGGGAGGAGGCTGGGGCATGGACCCCTGGGTCTGAGGAAGGAGGCTGGGGCATGGACCCCTGGGTCTGAGGGAGGAGGCTGGGCCTAGATGCCTAAGTTTAGACAGGAGAGCTGAAGTCTGACGGGTTAAGAAGGAGGGCTGAGACACAGTCCCAGGTCTAGGATGGAGAGACATCTATGTTTTCTCCTCCTCCCAGGTATTCCAGGCTGGTGACGTGCCCTCCGACGGCCCATTCTTCTCTCCAGCCTTGGTTTCTGGCCTGCCTCCAGCTGCCCCCTGTGCCCAGGCCGAGGTGAGACCCCCCAGAGATTGTAGCTACCCTTCCCTGCCTTTCTGTCCTAAGTCACGCATGGGCAACAGCACTATCCTTAGGGTGATTCTGAGTGACCCTGTGGCCTGGGTCTGTGAACACCAGTGACTGCTCCCCAAATAGGTGCAGTATTGACAAGAGGAACTTGTTCTGCAGCTAAACTCCTGACACCACTCCTAGGTACCATGGCCTGTGGTTGTGGCTTCGCCTTTCCGAACAGCCAAGGAGGCGCTAGCCCTGGCCAATGGGACACCGCGGGGAGGCAGTGCCAGTGTGTGGAGTGAGAGGCTCGGGCAGGCCCTGGAGCTGGGCTTCGGGTGAGTTGGTGCTTGCTCCCCTGCCCTGCCGTATCTCCCCCTCAGGTGTCTCCCTCTCCTCTGACCCAGCTTCCTGGCCCCTCCCCCACCCCGGTGTCTTTACCTGCCTCACAGGCTCAAGATGGGCACCGTGTGGATCAATGCGCATGGCCTCCGAGACCCTGCGGTGCCCACGGGTGGCTGCAAGGAGAGTGGGTCTTCCTGGCACGGGGGCCTGGAGGTGAGTGCCCGTCTTACCCTGTGTGTCCTGACACCCAGCACCCTTGAGGCACTTTGAGTCCGTCTGGCCTCCTTGTGTCCATGCATCCCTCACAGGGTCTGTATGAATACCTGTGGCCCTCCGGCACGCCTTCCTGGGAGCCCTTCCTTTGTGAGAGTCTCAACTATGACACATTTGGCCTTGCCGTGCCCTCCAGCCTGCTGTCGGGGCCAGAAACGGGGCCCAGGTGAGCTGTTGCAGGCCTGGTAGTCTAAGGGTGAGGGTAAGGAGGTGGAGGGGCAGGCCAGTTCTGAGTGTAGCTTTCTGGGTCTTAGGGCCTCCACGCCCTAACCCTAGGCCTGGAGACCGTCAGCTCTACCTAACAGTTTGAGTTTTCCCAGAAGCAAGAATCCAGGGGGTATCAGATGCATGTGGGAACAAGAATTTGAGCATCCTGGAGGTTCATTACAATAAACATAAGCTCATGGGACAGGAATTCACAATCCGGTAGAGGCTCATGGGAGCAGGTGTTTAAATCCTTCAAGAAGCTCATGAGAGGGCTGGAGAGATGGCTCAGAGGTTAAGAGCACTGACTGCTTGCTCTTTCGAGAGGTCCTGAGTTCAATTCCCAGCAACCACATGGTGGCTCACAACCATCCGTAAAGATATCTGGTGCTCTCTTCTGATGTGCAAACATACATGGAGGCAGGATGTTGTATTCATAATAAATAAATAAAATCTTAAAAAAAAAAAGCTCATGAGAATAAAAATTTGAGTCCAAAAGGTTCATGGGAACTGAGATGGTCGCACTAATATAGTGGATCGTGGGGCCTAAGCGGGCCCAGCACCTCCTCACACCTCTCTCTGTGCAGCCCAGCACCCCCCTATGGGCTGTTCGTTGGGGGCCGTTTCCAGGCTCCTGGGGCCCGGAGCTCCAGGCCCATCCAGGATTCTTCAGGCAAACTCCACAGCTATGTGGCCGAGGGTGGAGCCAAGGATATCCAAGATGCCGTAGAGACTGCTCATCAGGCCGCCCCTGGGTAAGGGGGCCCAACGGAAGCCCAGATATCAGGGTGGCTGGGAGGGGAGTAAACTTGGGCCTGTAGCCCTAGGTTGGAGTTGTGGACAGAGGTGGCTATCTGGGACTAGCTAGGGCCCCGCTATACCTCTCCCTAACTTGCATTGTTTGCCCACAGCTGGGGGGCCCAGTCCCCAGGGGCCCGAGCACGCCTGCTGTGGGCCCTGGCAGCTGCACTGGAGCGGAGGAAGTCAGCCCTGGCCTCGCAACTAGAGAGCCACGGAGTAGCCCCTATGGTTGCCAAGACCGAAGTAGAGCTGTGTGTGAGGCGACTCCAGAATTGGGGCACCCGGGTTCAAGACCAAGGCCAGACACTACAGGTGAGACAGCTCTAAGCGGGTGGACAGGCTCGGCAGCCGGGCAAGAGTCAGAGCCCAGGCTCCAGTGAGCCAGGCATGTGTCTAGGCTCAGCCCTAGGAATTCTAGGCAGTACAGCTAACCCTGATGAGAACCCGGAGGACTCAGACCAGCGGAGGAGGGAAGGTGATGCTTGCAGGGAAGCAAGTGTTCATGCGCACATCAGAACCGCTCAGGTGGCCATTTAAAGTCTATGGTTTTTTGTTTCCTTTGGTCTTTTTAAGATTTACTTGTTTATTATGTATACAGTGTTCTCCCTGCATGTCTGCCTGCAGGCCACAAGAGGGCACCAGATCTCATTACAGATGGTTGTGAGCCACCATGTGGCTGCTGGGAATTGAACTCAGGCTCTCCGGAAGAGCAACCAGTGCTCTTAACCTCTGAGCCATCTCTCCAGCCCAGCTCATTTAAAGTCTTTGTAATGTAAGCTCAATTATATTCAAGCAGGCTTTTGTAAACACACATAGTAGTGCAGGCCTAAAATCTCAGCATGTAGAAATAGAGGCAGGAAGGAAGATCAAAGGTTCAAGCTCGCCGGGCGTTGGTGGCGCACGCCTTTAATCCCAGCACTTGGGAGGCAGAGGCAGGTGGATCTCTGTGAGTTCGAGGCCAGCCTGGTCTACAGAGCCGATTCCAGGACAGCCTCCAAAACAATACAGAGAAACCCTGTCTCGAAAAACCAAAAAAAAAAAAAAGGTTCAAGCTCAGTGTCAGCCTTGGCTACATAGTGAAACCCTTTGTCAGAGCAACAAAGAGGGCGTGGGGGGCACTTTCTGTTCGCTCAGAGGGTGGGATTGATTTCAGCACCCAAATCAGGGTGCTCAAAACTTCCTGTGACCCTGCCTAGCTCCAGGGTAATCTTGTGCCCCTTTTAGCACTCACAAGTGCACGTAGCTGCGCCCCAACACACACACCTACACACAATTAAATAAACCAAGCCAGGTGTGATGGCGCATTCATTCCTTAAGTCCCAGCACTTGGGAGGCAGAGGCAGATGGATCTCTGAGTTCAAGGTCAGCCTGGTCTACAAAGCAAGTTCCAGGACAGCCAGGGCTACTTAAGAGAAACCCTGTCTCGAAAAAAACCAAAAATAGTTAAATAAATATACAATATATAAGCCGGGCGTTGGTGGCGCACGCCTTTCATCCCAGCACTTGGGAGGCAGAGGCAGGCGGATCTCTGTGAGTTCCAGGACAGCCTCCAAAGCCACAGAGAAACCCTGTCTCGAAAAAACCAAAAAAAAAAAAATATATATATATATATATACACACACAATATATATAAATCAAGCTGGGTAGTGGTGGTATACAACTTTAATCCCAGCCTGAAGGACACAGAGGCAGGCGGATCTCTGAGTAGGCTAGCCTGATCTACGTAGGGAGACTGTCTCACAACAAAACAGAAAACAGCTGGGCAGTTATGGCGCATACCTTTAATCCCAGAACTTGGGAAGCAGAGGCAGGTGGAGTTTGAGGCCAACCTGGTCTACAGAGTGAGTTCTAGAACAGCCTCCAAAGCCACAGAGAAACCCTGCCTCGAAAAACGAGAGGAAAAGAAAAAAAACCAGAAGGCAAACAAGAGTTGGAATATGGTTCAGTGGTAGAGCACTTGCCTATCTGCATGCTTGGAGCCCTCTGCAGTACCACAAAACACAGTATTGGCACTGGGCCTAATCCCAGCTTCTCCGTAGGCTGTGCCGCGGGCAGGTTTAAGGCAGAGGTCTGACTCGTGCAGACCCACATAGCCAATGAGTGGCCCACTTTATTGGAGTTACTCTGGGGATGTGAACTTGTCAGATGTGGGGAAGATGGAACAGGCTCTGGGAACCTACCCTGGATGTGTCATCTGTCCATATAGGTGACAGGGTTGAGAGGCCCTGTGCTCCGGCTTCGAGAGCCACTTGGAGTGCTGGCCGTGGTGTGCCCAGATGAGTGGCCCCTGCTGGCCTTTGTGTCGCTGCTGGCCCCTGCCCTGGCCCATGGCAATGCTGTCGTCTTAGTACCTAGTGGGACCTATCCTCTGTCGGCCCTGGAGGTCTGTCAGGTAAAACCCCTTGCCTCCCCTCCTGCCTGCGACTGCTTCGAGTTCTTAAGGAAGCCAGCCGGCCTCTTCCTAGTGGCCATGGCAGCTTGAGTCCCAGCATCCCATCCAAGTCTGTCACCCAGGTCCTATTCCTTCTAGGAGCCCCTGCAGCCACTCCCAGATGCCCAGTCCTCACCCTGGCTGTCCTGCCCTCTCACATCCTAGGATATAGCCACCCTGTTCCCTGCTGGCCTGGTGAGTGTAGTGACGGGAGACCGGGACCACCTGACCCGCTGCCTGGCCTTACATCAGGACGTCCAGGCCCTGTGGTACTTCGGCCCTGCCCAGGTACTTCAGAGTCTTTTGACTTCATCCCCTGGGGACCCCTGTCGCTGAGAGGAAGAGACTCCTTGGCAGCACCTTCCGAGATCCTCTCCTGGTAAAAGTCCAGTCATCAGAGGGTCATTTTTTTTAATAGTTTCTCTGTGTAGCCCTGGCTGTCCTAGAATTCACTCTGTAGACCAGGCTGGCCTTAAGCTTGATCCGCCTGCCTCTGCCTCCCACGTGCTGGGATGAAAGGCGTGCGCCACCACTACCTAACGGAAGAGAGTCGTCTTCATAATAAGGGCCTAAATGCCTCCCCTGCCCAAAGACATCATCTTTTTGGAAGACCTGTTGCTAAGGGACTGAACCATAGCAACATTCCAAGCTCCAGGTCTACCCTCCTGAGTCACCTGTTGGCAAGATTCTGGGAAAGACAGGGATTCCCTAGGTCTACTCCCTCTGTGTCTGGAAAGAATGCTGGCCAGGATCCAAATACCCATCTCTATCAGGCCCTCAGGTCTCTCAAGGCCTCATTGCTAAGAAGCAGACGTTTAGCACCTAAACCACTGGCAGTACTAATCGCTTGTCTCCCGTCCCAGGGCTCCCAGTTTGTGGAATGGGCCTCTGCAGGAAACCTCAAGTCTGTGTGGGTAAACAGGGGCTTCCCGAGGGCCTGGGATGAGGAGGTCGAGGGGGCAGGACCAGAGCTGAGTCTGCATGCAGCACGAACCAAGGCCCTGTGGCTGCCAATGGGGGACTGATGCCCGAAGCTGTCCACTCCGTCTTGCGTGCCCAGAGATACCAGATGCTTGGAATTTTTCTCAGACTTCCCGTGGTTTCCAATAAACTGAGTGACTTTTACTGCTTTTGAGGATTTGGGAACAGACGCTTCTTCATGTGTGGCCCGGTAGGCAACTGTGCAACAACACTGTTTATCGGATGGATAAAGAGAACTCAGCCCCACCCAGTACTCTAGGGTGTGAGGAGTTAGAGGGAAGTCCCTGGAAGGCTCTGTCCCCTTCGTGCTTGATTCTAGAGTTGGGTTGGCTGCAGAGTCACCTCCTTCCCATAAGTCCTCTTTCTGAACTGGAAGGTCTGACCCCAGCACATCCCCAAGGGGCCACCAGGTACTGAGGGCATGCGGCCAGGCAAGAGCTGGCTTCCTAAGGAGCAGCTCAACGGACCAGGTGTGTGCTCCCACAGCAGATCCCTCTCAGCAGATTTAGCTTTAGTTTGGTTTTTAGGTTTGTGGGGGATTTTGTTTGTTTTTCCCACTGATGTTTTCAGCAAGGTCTCAAGGAGTAGCTCAGCTGATCTATACATCTGATCCCCACGCCTCAGCCTGAGGTTACCGACATGCGCCTGCAGGCCTGACCTGGAACTCTGTGTGTGTGTCTGTCTGTCTGTGTGTGTGTGTCTGTCTGTCTGTCTTTGTGTGTGTGTGTGTGTGTGTTGTGGGCATACACAAAAGTCAGCAAACAACTTATGGGAGTCCATTCGCACACACACACACATCCCAGAACTGCTTCTTATGGCACCAAAGATGACCTTGAGCTCCTGATCTTCTGCCAATGGGATGACAGGCGTGAGCCATTAGGCACAACTTTTTCTTAGTCCATTTTCTGTGGCTACAACTGATTATCATAGACTGTCACTTGCCAAGAATAAAACTTTCAGCACAGAGCTGTGGAAACTAGGTGGGCCCCATCTGGTTGGCATCTGCAAGGCCTTCCTGGTATGATGATGAGATGGAGGCTACCTTGTAGCATGACAGCTTTTTAGAATGCTCTTGACAATCCCAGCACTAGAGAGGTTTCTCTGTATTGTTTGAAGCCTGTCCTGGAACTCACTCTGAAGACCAGGCTGGCCTCGAACTCACAGAGATCCGCCTGCCTCTGCCTCCCGAGTGCTGGGATTAAAGGCGTGCGCCACCAACACTGGCCTCTCTGTGTCTTACTTAAGGTCACTGTTGCTGTGTTGTAGCACCATGCCCAAAAGCAACTTGGGGGGGGCGTTTATTTACTTTGCACATTCCAAATCACAATTCACTGAAGAAAACCAAGTCAGGAACTCAAACCTGGCAGGAACCTGGGAGCTGATGCAGGAGTGCTTAAAGCCTTGCTCAGCCTGCTTTCTTCCAGCATCCGTGACCACCAGGGGTGGCACTCTCTGGGCTGTGCTCTCCAGTGCCACTGATTAAGAAAATGCCCCACACACAGGCTTGCCTGAGCCACATCTTATGGAGGCAATTTGAGAATTGAGTCTCTCCCCTCAGATGACTGTAGCTTGTCAAGTTGTCATGAGAGTACCCAGCCCAAGCGCGGCAGTGGTGGCGCACGCCTTTAACCCCAGCAGGGGAGTCTGAGTTCCAGGCCAGCCTGGTCTACACAGTGACTTCCAGGACGGCGAGGGCTGCCAGAAACCCTGTCTTGAAACAAATAACAAAACAAGCCAGCACAGTATGTCCTTTGCTTTTACTATGTAAGTGGGTGTGGGCATGCGAGGCCAGAAGAGAGTAATTGGATACCATGGAGCTGGGACCTGAACTCAGGGCCTGGGTAGTAAGTGCTTTTAATCTCGAGTCCTCCTTCTAGTCCTTTAATTTCCAGAGGCAGGGCAGGAGGGTCTCCTTGAGTTTGAGGGCAGCCTTGTCTGTATCTTGTTCCAGGCCAGGGCTACAAGTATACTTAGTAAGACGAGAGAGAGAGAGAGAGAGAGAGAGAGAGAGAGAGAGAGAGAGAGAGAGAGAGAGAGAGAGAGAGAGAGAGAGAGAGAGAGAGAGAGAGAGAGAGAGGAGAGAGAGCTTCACCCAGGGGACCCTCAGTCCCTTCTCTCAAGTCATTGGCCAAAGCAAGACATACAAGCATGCCAGAGTTCCCGGCCGGGGTGGAGTTAGGATTCTACAGGAAAGGCTGTGGACAGGCTAGAGATTTGGAGCCATCTACCTCAGGTGGCCCAAGGAAGAGACGGAACTGCACAGGGTTGGAGGTGTGGCTCAGCAGTAGAGCTCCTGCATAGAAATCCCCAGGAAGAGGCTGGGACCTGGTTCAACAGTAGCATGCCTGCCTAGCATGGGGGAAGTCCTGGGTTCAATCCCTAGGACTACACAAAAAGAAGATCCCTTGAGCAGGGGGTGGTGGCACACGCCTTTAATCCCAGCAGAGGCAGAGGCAGGTGGATCTCTGTGAGTTCGAGACCAAGCCTGGTCTACAGAGCGAGTTCCAGGACAGCCTCCAAAACAATGCAGAGAAACCCTGTCTCGAAAAACCAAAAAAAGAAGATCCCAGTCTGGAGAGACAGTCCAGTGGTTAAGAGCCCTGACTGCTCTTCCAGAGGACCTGAGTTCAATTCCCAGCACCCACATGGTGGCTCACAACCCTCTTCTGGCATGCAGATATGAATGCAGGCAGAATACTGTATACATAATAAATCTTTTTTTAAAAGATTTATTTATTATGAATACAACAACATCTTGTCTCATGTATGTCTGCATACCAGAAGAGGGCACCAGATCTCACTACAGATGGTTGTGGGCCACCATGTGGTTGCTGGGAATTGAACTCAGGACCTCAGGAAGAACAGTCAGTGCCCTTAACCTCTGAGCCATCTCTCCAGCCCCAATAAATAAATCTTAAAAAAAAAAAGAAGATCCCTTGTGTTTTTGTCCAGTTTACTACCTCACCTCTCAGCACAGGGTAGAAAAACTTCAACTTAGAGAGGACTAGGGGCTAGCCAAGCTCACAGTGACAAAGCCAGCACTAGCCAGACATCTGTCAGACTGGTGACAAATTCCTTGAAGCTTTGGTGCTCTGAAGACAACACTGCTCAACAAGCTAACCATGGCCTGTGCACCCCACCATCTGCATCAGCAGCAGGATGCAGCACAGGGAGCACACATTGGCAGAGGACTTCAGTCTCAGTGGGTCTGCTGAAACTACAGGTGTGCACTGCGCAGCCCTGTTTCCGCCATGCCGGAGCTGGCATCCAGGGTTTCGGTGGATTCCAGCCAAGGACTGTGCTGTCTGCAGCCCCAGGATCTTGAGATGAGGTCGCCGTACATTACCTAAGTTGACCCTAAATCCAAGAAAAGACACAACAGAAGCGTGTGCAGAAGGGTGAGGGGAGGGGGGGAGGGGGGGAGAAGGAGAGAGGAAGGGAGGGGGGAGGGAGCTGCCACAAAACCAAGAATGTCAGGAGCTGTAGTAGCAAAGTTCTCCCCTGGGTCCTGCAGAGGGAGCCAGTTGGACTTTATGACCTTCGGATTTAATGGGCTTTTTTTTTTTCCTTTGAGACAGGGTTTCTCTGGGTAGCCCTAGCCGTCCTGGAACTCACTCTGTACACCAGACTGGCTTCAAACTCAGAGATCCACCTGCCTCTGCCTCTGCCTCTGCGGTTAAAGGCATGCGTCATCACTGCCTGGCTGGGGATAAGCTCTTGTTTCCAATCACTGAATTTGTAATCTCTTGTTGGATGAGCAGGAAGCTAACACAAGAGTTGTCCCAGATCACCGTGGTGGAACCAGCATTGTGGGAAAAGGACTGCAGAGGCTCCACATCATCTCTCGGACTGTGGTCCAGGCTGGGGGCTTTTGCTGGAAAGACTGGGGGTCCTGGAGGCTAAGACCAGAATCACCTTCAGCATCATCTGACTTTTTGAGACAGCGTCTCATGTAGCCCAAGCTAGGCTAAAACACAGGAGAGACTTTTTTAGTGTTCAGAATTCACACCGGGGTCCTGGCAGATAGGCAGACAGAGCCCTGAATCTTCCAATAGGTGGCTGAGTTGTACACAGACTGGCACTGAAACCAGCGCTGCCCTTAGCCTCTGTTTCCTTTTTGAATTTATTTATGTTGTGTGTGCGGGTGCCATGAGGATACATGAAGGCCATCGACCAGTTTGGAAATAGGCTCTCTCGTGGACCCCAGAGATTTGACTCTTGGATTATCTGGCTTCAAAGTGGGTGCCTTTACCCACTGAGCCATCTTGCCAGCCGGCCTTGGTTTTGTTTGTTTGGTTGTTTGGTTGATGTGTTTTCTTTTGTTTTATGTTCTTGAGACAGGGTCTCACCACGTAGTCCAGGCAAGTCTGGAGCTTGCTGTGTAGACCAGGCTGGCCTTGAACTCGCAGAGATCCACCTGCCTCTGCTCTCCTGGGTGCTGGGACTAAAGGTAGCATCACTCTGCCCTGCCTATTTGGAGACAGTGTCTTATGTAGGCCAGGCTGACCTTGAACTCCTGGTCCTCCTGCCTCCATATTCTCCATTCTTGGTCTTTGGGACACAACCTGCTTCTTTCTGAATCGCCTCAGCGGAAACTCGGGTGCAGTCCAGGTCCAGTCCTGGTGAACACACAACACTCCCCCTACTGGGAAAATCCCAGGAACCAAAACCAAAGCCAGACAGAGCCTGCCAGGCAGTCATCAGATACACATCCGTGTAGTTGATGCTGCAGCCAGGCAGGTGTAGTTGTCGGTGCGAGGGCTTTGCAGGGTGGAAACAGCCACTGCGGAAGCCAAGACAGTGGGGAAGATAAGTAAGCCACAGGGTGTGCTCAGTGCCGATAAGAACAAAGCAGGGTGAGTCCCTGCTGCAGGGGTGTGACTTGGAAGACGGTGTTTGTGAAGCCTCTGCCTTGTGCTAAGCAGAGACTTGGATGAGATGGGGGAGGACATAGGTATCTGGAAGGGAAGGGTATTCTCCAGTGAGGAAACAGCCCGTGCAAAGGCTGTGGAGTAAGAGTATACCCACCTCACACACACCAAGGCTGGCTAGTGTTGGAAAGGAACATAGCATGAGGTTAGCAGGGAGAGGTTAGGGTAGCACAGGGTCAAATACTGCAGATCTGGAGGCCTGAGGCAGGAAAGGGTTGAGTCAAGGGTCTGGACCATGCTAGACAAGCACTGTGCCACCGACTCACTGGTGGCTTCTAGGCAACTGCTCTCCAGCTGAGCTGTGCATCTGTCCTGCTTTAATTTTTGAGACAGGGTCTTAGTAAATTGCCCAGGCCAGCCTTGAACTCATCTAGCCCTCAATCTTCAGTCCTCCTGCCTCCAAGGCTTCTTGGTAGCTGGGGTGACCTGTCTGCACCATCACCACACACGCTGAAGCCAAGACCTTTTTTTGTTTTGTTTTGTTTCGAGACAGGGTTTCTCTGTATTGTTTTGGAGACTGTCCTGGAACTTGCTCTGTAGAGCAGGCTGGCCTCGAACTCACAGAGGTCCACCTGCTTCTGCCTCCTGAGTGCTGGGATTAAAGGCGTGCTCCACCAATTCCCAGCTTGAAGCCTAGACTTTTATCTCGAAAGATTCAGGAACCCAGAGACTGGAGGGACTGGATTGACAGGTTCACAAGGTCTGTGCTCCCGGGGCAGCAGGGAGCTAGGCAATAGGGACCTCAGGAGGCCACTATGCCATTCTTTGTGGGAGACGGTGGAGGCAAGGCTAGCATGGTGGCAGCTGATGTGATGGGCACTGGTCGGATTCTATATACACTTTGAAGCTGGAAGGCCTGGTTGCAACTAACTAGCTAAGGTGAACTACACCCTGTCGCTGTCCATAAGCTGTGCTGAGGCCTGTGAGCACGCCACTTGTTACCACTAGGTGGCGCGTCCTGCCCGGGCACGGACTCACCCCTTGCACTGTCTTACCCCAAAGCTTCGTTTCACTTTCGGTCTTTGGCTGTCACCCAGCTTGATCGTTCCACACCCAGCTGGGGCAAGCCTGGTGCGTGGGGTGAATGGCTTTCCAGGTCCCCGAGGGGCGGTTCCAGGGTCCCCACTCCCGGGCCGAGGGAGCAGGGTGCAAGGCCTCGGGAGGATTCTGGGGATGGGACCGTCTGTCGGAATTCTTAGAAGAGGAGATGACTTTTCACTGTAACTGGGGATCATGCAGGAAGCCTGAGGGAGCAGGAGGCGGAAACGCACCCACATCAAAGGCGACAGGGCGGAGCGGGGTACCGAGGCGAGCAGGGAAGGGGCTGCAGGGTGTGAGGCCTGTCCTTCTGTCCCTTCCAAGACCCTGCCACAGGCATGAGGGGTCCCCGGCCGAGATGACAGTGCTGGTGCCAGCCTGGAACCCAAATGTGCGTATACTGAGGGGTGATGGAGCAGGGCGGGGAAGGGAGATGGACGAGGGATGGAGGGACAGACCCGGGACAGGGTCGGAAGGATGAGATGGAGAAACATGGACACAGGTTTGTCACACCAGCCAAGTGCGGGACAGGCAGAGACAGGGGAGATAACACCCAGTTAAGGAAGGAAACAGGGTGCAGGGAGCCAGCCCCTGCATGGATGCCGCCTCTCTGTAGTCCTCCCTGCTGCTGCTGCTGCTGCTGAGTCCTTGCCTGCGGGGGACACCTGACTGTTTCTTCAGCCACAGCCCCATCTCCTCCAACTTCCACGTGAGGATCAGCGAGTTGGTGAGCCGGCTCCCACCCAGGCCAGGCCACCGTGCTGGGCCCCTGCCGCCCACCACTGCCCATCTCTCTCTGTGTCCGTTCCTCTCTGGGTTTCTGTCCGTGTCTCTGGATCTCTCTGCGTGGGTCTCTGTCGCTGTGTCTCTGGGTTTCTGTCTCTGGGTCTCTGTCGCTGTGTCTCTGGGTTTCTGTCTCTGGGTCTCTGTCGCTGTGTCTCTGGGTTTCTGTCTCTGGGTCTCTCTCTCACTGTCTCTAGGTCTCTCTCTGTTTCTGGGTCCATGCTCCGTCCGTTGTGTCCCTCTCTCTCTGGACACCTCTCTGTCTTCCTTTCTCTGTGTCCCCTTGTCTCAGGGTCTGTCTCCCCTGACTATAGCCTGTCTCCTGCTTCCAGTCAGATCTCAGCTTGTTTTCTCCCACAGACTGACTACCTGCTTAAAGATTACCCAGTCACTGTGGCCATCAATCTTCAGGACGTGAGTCACTGTCGGGAGGGCCCCGGGATGGAGGTGGGAACCAGACTCAAGATGCGCCGCCCTTTAAGGGACAAGGCTAGTGGGCCACCTCCTGCTCCCTCAGCCCTGGCGATCTAGACCCTCGGCCCGCCCCCACCCGACCCAGACGACCTGGCTCGATCTTCCACAAGTCTGGGCCGCCAGTCTCCCTCCATGAAGCTCTCAAGCCTACCCTCACTGTCCGTTTCTCCCTCTCGGGCCCCGCCCTTCCGCCAGGGGTCCTCAGACCTATAGTCCTGACACTTCTCCCCCTTGGTATCTGGCCAGGCCCCACCTCACACAAGTACCAGCCCACCGTTCTGAACCTTCGGGTCTCTAGCAAGCCCCGCCTCTTTCAGGACCCCGGCCCCGCCCAACCTACCTTAGGCATCTGGCCACGCCCATCCTCTTCTGACACCTAGCCCCGCCCTCATGTGGGCCCAGCCGTCTCTTTCGACCATCACCCTTGAGACTCGGGCCACCCCCTGCTAGTCCTCTGCTCCCGCCCCGCCTCCCTGAGACCTGGCCTCTCTCTCGATCTGCAGGAGAAACACTGCAAGGCCTTATGGAGCCTCTTCCTGGCCCAGCGCTGGATGGAGAGACTGAAGACCGTGGCAGGGTCTGAAATGCAAAAGCTCCTGGAGGTTGTCAACACGGAGATACATTTTGTCACCTCGTGTGCCTTCCGGGTTAGCACTGGAACTTGGTAACAAATGAAGGGAGCCAAGTCCCTCCCCAAGCCGTGAAGCACACACAGCTCCCCTAGGTCTTTTGCGGGGAGTCCCTTTGCCCACAGCATAGCACAGTGGTAGAGCTGGAACCTCCACGCCCTCAGGTCACCTGGGGATCAGTAGGTGAAGAAGGCCGTTACTAAGGGGTTCTCTTCCCTAACAGCTGGGCAACCCTGGAGTCTGAGACCTGGGCCCGCTGGCTCCGTGTCCTCTGCAGGTTTGGGGGATGGGTTGGTGGAGACACTGGTGTGACATGATAATGACCTATCCCTCCCTGCTCCCAGCCTCTCCCAGAATGCCTTCGCTTCGTCCAGACCAACATCTCCCACCTCCTGCAGGACACCTGCACGCAGCTGTTGGCCCTGAAGCCTTGTATGGGGAAGGCCTGCCAGAATTTCTCTCGGTGCCTGGAGGTGCAGTGCCAGCCCGGTAACAGCAGCGCCGGAGCCCAGCATCCCCCAGTGCCACCGGGCTCACAGCCCAAGCCCACAGTCTTGCCTGTTGCATGCCCTAGAGGCCTCTGCTTCCACTAGGCGTGATTTAGCCTTGAGACAACCTCTCTTTTTCTTATTTCTTCTTCTCCTTCTCCCTCTCCTTCCTCTTCTCCTTCTTTTTTGGTTTTTTGTTTTTGTTTTTTGGGACAGAATTACCCTGTGTAGCCCTCGCTGTCCTGGAACTCACTCTGTAGACCAGGCTGGCCTTGAACTCACTGAGATCTGGCTTCTGCCTCCCAAGTGCTGGGATTAAACGCGTGTGCCACCACCACCTGACTTTTTTTAATTAATGTTTTGTGTATAAGTGTTTTACACTGAATGTGTGTCTGGTGCTGTAAGAAGCCAGAAGAGGGCATCAGCTTCCCTGGAACTGGCATTACAGGTCGTTGTGAACATAGGTGCGGAGAAAGGAAACCAGGTCCAATGTAAGGGCAGTGAGTGAGCTCGACTGCTGATCGTCTCTCCAATCCTTTTCCTTTCTCTTCCTTCCTTTCTTTCTTTTTTCTTTTTCGAGGCAGGGAAGAAGGCTAGTCTGGCCTTGGACTCAAAGCAACCCTCCTGCCTGTCCTGAGTGCTGGGATTATAAGTGTGAAGCCACCATGTTTTTCTTTTTTCACATTAGTTATATATGATTGTAGCAGGCTTTGTCTTTGGGCTCTCAAATAAAGACATGGAAACTTGTCAGTCTTAGCTTAGCCTTGTTTCTAACTAGCTTTCTTTTTTAACTAAAGTAACCCATTTCTGTTCATCTGTATGCTTTTGTTTACCTCATCTGTGTGCCGTCCATCCTGCTGCCCTGCTTCCTCTGAGTCTGTCTGGCTGACTCCCCTTTTCCCTCTGCCTACCAGCCCCGCCTATCCCTCCTCCGCCTAGCTATTAGCCGGTCAGTTTTTTATTAGACCAATCAGGTGGCTTAGGCTCAGTGAAAGAGCAATACATCTTTACATAATTAAACAAATACAGCATAAACAAATATATTTTTACACTGTTAGCAAAGGCAGCATAAACAAATGTAACACACCTTAAATAAATGCAGAATCAACAAAAGTAACACATCTTTACATAGTTAAACAATTATTCTGCAACACAAATAAATGTAACACAATTAAACATCCTTTTTTTCTAAAAACAGGATTTCTTTGTATAGCTTTGGAGCCTGTCCTGGAACTCACTCTGTAGACCAGGCTGGCCTCAGACTCACAGAGATCCACCTGCCTCTGCCTCCTGAGTGCTGGGATTAAAGGCGTGTGCTGCCACTGCCTGACTCTAAACAAATATTCTATTTCACAACAAATAATATGTCTCAAGACATTTCCATACTACGTAGGCTAGTCTGGCCTTGAACTCAAAGAAACCCTCCTGGCTGCCTTGATTGCTGGGATTACAGGTGTGAAGCTGCCAAGTCTGGCTTTGTTGCCTTTCTTTTTTTCAAGTTTTTATCAATATATTTATATATAATAATGTGTCTCAGCCGGGCGTTGGTGGCGCACGCCTTTAATCCCAGCACTTGGGAGGCAGAGGCAGGTGGATCTTTGTGAGTTCGAGGCCATCCTGGTCTACAAAGTGAGTTCCAGGAGAGCCTCCAAAACAATACAGAGAAACCCTGTCTCGAAAAAAAAAAAATGTGTCTCATGAAACATGTACACATTTTTATTATATTCTTACTTCCTCTTGGCTCCCTTTATCACTGATCCTCTGTCCAACTAGTCTCTCTACTATTTTTCTTAAGCCAATGAGGTAGGTTGACTACAGGAACTCTGCTTGAGAAGTTATTTACAGGGCACCTTACCAATTGCTACACTACTAAAGAAAACGTCTATTTGCCTTTTTATGACCTCTGATTACCTGTTGTTGAGAAAACAGAACTTCAGTCTGTCTGTCTAGGGCAGGAAGGGAGACTGAGTGAGCCCTGGGTTTCTGGGTAACAGTTTTTTTTTCTTGTTTTTTCGTTTTCTTTTTTTCTATGTCTCTAGAATGCTGGATTAAAGGCATGTGCTGCCTGGCCTATTTTCCCCCCTCCCCTGCCCCAGATCTTGGTCGGTCGATTGCAAACCCTTCATGCACCATCACCCGTGGTGCTCCAGGACTTCCCAGCGCTCGCTCTGACGACCCCTCAGTTACCTGGTTCTGTTCTCTCCCCAGACTCCTCTACCCTGCTGCCCCCAAGGAGTCCTGTAGCCCTAGAAGTCACAGAAATTCCAGAGCCTCAGTCCAGCCAGCTGTTGCTCTGGCTGCTGCTGCCTCTCACGCTCGTGCTGCTGGCAGCTGCCTGGGGCCTTCGCTGGCAAAGGGCGAGAAGGAGGGCGGAGCTCCGACCTGGGGTGAGCGAGAGCCCAGGGCAGATGGATGGGGAGGGTGGCAAGGGGTGAGGGTGGCATGTGGCCTTGCAAGTGTACTGAGGCTGGCGCTGTGGGGGCCTCAGGTGCCCCTCACCTCCCGTCCCTAGGATCTGACACTTGGGCAGCGTTGACTCAGCCAGGGTCTTATCTCGGTGAGTCCTCCACTGATACTGGAACATGGGGTCAGGCTCAGGGACAGAGAGTCAGTCCAAGGTGAGGGCGGGTCTCCCTGTGTCTCTTAGGAGGGACAGCGGTTCAGGGAAGTGGGGTGTGTCGGGGAAGAGCAGCCTTCCATAGACTTCCAGTGTGACGAAGCTCAGGGGGGTTCTGAAGTGGCCACCACACGAGCAGCAGAGAGCCTCGGGAGGCTGAGAGGGAAGAGTGGCATGGGGAGAAAAAGCAGGAGGCAGGGAAGAAGGTGAGAAGGCCGGTCCCCCCAAAAGTACCCATACTTTAGAGTTGGCCGTGTGCTTTACACTCACAATACGCATAACGTGGAGGCTACACCTGTAATCCCAGAATTTGAGAGGCCAGAGCAGGATTGCTCAAAGGTCTGGCCAGCCTGGGCTACACAGTGAGTTCAAGGCCATTGTGAGATACACAGTGCACCCTTGTCTCCTGTCTCAAATAAACAAACAAAAACTCAGTCCAGTTACACTTATTTTTTTTGCAATGGCTCAGTATGTTCCCCAAACTGACTTTGAACACGTCGATGAATCTTTCTGTCTCAGCTTTCTGAATAGCTGGGCCTATAGGCATGTCATAGATGAGGCTTTCCTTTTTCTTTTTTCATTGTTTTCTGGGTGCTAGAGTTGGGAACCAAAACAAGGAGCAAGCTAGGCAAGCCCCAAGCGCTGACCACATCCCTGCCCAGAGGACTCGATGTCCGGGTCCGGCGACGAGCGCCTGTGGTCCAGCACCTCTGAACTGGATGCTGAAGCTGCGGACGCTGACTTGGAAAGAGGGAGGCAGAAGAACTTTGTAGCCTGTGTGGTTGCTCCTTAAAACAAAGCAACTGCTGGGATCTTAGGATGCGAAAGGCTGAGGCGGAGGAAATGAATGTCACAGCCGGCCTGGACCACTTACTGAGATCTTTCTCAATAAGTGTAAAATGGAGATGCTGAGGTGGAGCTGGAGCTGGAGGCAGGGCCACCACAGTCACTAGAGTCACCAGAGACCCTTCACCTACACTCACCATCTACACTGCCAAAACAGACCCCGTCGTCAGCTCGGTTAAAACGAGCTGGAACAGTTCCTAAATTCTGTGGTTTCCCATTTTCTGGGGATGTTTCTGAAATGCACACCATTTATCAGACATAGTGGTACATGTCCATAATCCCAATTATTTTTTTTGAAATGGTGTCTCTGTAGCTCAGATGGCCTGGAACTCCTAGGTAATCCGTTCTCTTGCCTCCACCTCTGGAGTGCTGGGATCACAGCTGTGTACTATCACTCCACACAGTAATTCTTCTTTTGAGAAAATTACACTCAACCCTCCCAAAACAAAAATGTTGCTTTTTTTGGGGGGGGGGTTCCGAGACCGTCCTGTTTTGGAGGCTGTCCTGGAACTAGCTCTTGTAGACCAGGCTGGCCTCGAACTCACAGAGATCCACCTGCCTCTGCCTCCCGAGTGCTGGGATTCCAGGCATGCGCCACCACCGCCTGGCAACAAATAAGAATTCCTGGGGGCTGCATAAGTGTATCGTGATGCCTGTGAGCAAGTCAGAGGTCAACTGGCAGGAGCTGGTTCTTCTCCCAGGTGGGCCCCAGGGATGGAACTCAGGTCTTCAGGCTTTGTGGCAGGTTGGTGGCAGAGACCTTTTATCCTTTAAGCCAGCTTGAGGGCCACGATTTGTTTTGTTTGTTTTGAGACAGGGTCTCTTGTAGTCTTATCTGATTTGGAACTGCTGTGTAGATCAGGCTAGTTTGCAACTCAGAGATCCACCTGCCTCTGCCTCCTCAGCAATAGGATTAAAGGTGTGTGTCACCACACCTGCCTGTAAGACTCCCTTTGGAAAAAAAACAAAACCAAAAAAACTTGGAGCAGATTTTGTGGTGCAAGTCCGTAGTTCCTACACCCTGGAGAGGAGTCAGAAGGGTCAGGATTCTGGGTTATCTACTAATACATAGAAATTCGAGGCTAACCTCAATGGGGGCGGGGCGGGGCGGGAGGGTGTAGCTCAGGGGCAGAGGGCTGGCCTGAAAGGTGCTGGGGGCGTGGCTCACAGGTAGGGGCAGACTGAGAACTCCAGGCCTCAGACAGACCATTGATGATCCAGTTTCACAGAGCATACTGAGGCCCAGCACGACTCACCTGACAGACGTTGGACACAGGGAAAGTTGGGTGGAGGCTGGCCCCCTCTTGGACCTCGCTGCCCCTCCAGCCCTCTCCCCTGGATGGAGTCAACATCAGAACCCAGCCCCACTCACCCCACTCTGTACAAAGACCTTGCTCCCATGAATTTGTATATAAATGGTTTTTTACCAGCTCTTCCGGACCTATCTGTGGATGGGACAGGGAATGGGTGGGCTGTTTTAGGCTTCAGGATCTTGGTTTTGCGGTGCTTTGTGATGTAATCCCAGCTCCCCAGAAGCTGAGGCAGGATCGAGTTTAAGGCGAGCCTGAGTTGCAGAAATCCTGTGTTAAAAGCCAAAACCACGACAACAGGTTCTGCTTGTTTTCTGAAGCCACCGATGGCCCAGGTCAGCGCTGGGTAATGCTCTAACAGAACTCTAAGAGGCAGAAGCAGCCCAATCGGAGATCATAGCCGAGTGGCAGGAGAACAAAGTGTTGGAGCCTCCAGGAGGAGTCGATTCAGGCTGGGATGTTTGGGGAGTTTCTCTAGAGAAACTGAGTCAACGAGACTGCCCAATCTACTGCTTTTTTTTCGCGGGGGGGCTATAGGTGCACATCGGGGAGGGCATCTCAGATAACGTGCTTAGCTGATACGAAGGCCCGTGGAAACACAAGCAGGTGTGCGCGGCTCAGGACCTGCAAGGCCTCCTTCCACCATCTCTTCATCTTGGATAGCTGCCTCTACCTGTGTAATATTCGGAAACTCCTAGACTCGCCCACCACGAGGCTGAAGTGAGGGGACGCACCCGCAAGACTTCCGACGCACACACTGCAGAGCCGGCCAGGGCTTACGCTCGCCCCCTTATGGTCACCACGTGCTCTGCGTCCGTGGTTACTAGAGGGGCGTCATGGCGCTCCCCAAGGCGGGCCCACGCACGGAGAGGAGCACGCCCTCCAAAATATGGCCGCCGCGGCGGGACGGCCTGGTGCCGCCGAAGCCGCCTCGGGACCCACGTGACCTCCCGCCCCGCACAGCCATGGCCGCCGAGGTCCAACCTTGATTGGACAAGGTAAAGACGGCCCACCTTCCAGCGTGCGCATGCACGGCGCTTCAGCCAATGAAAAGGCAGAAAGCCTTCCGTTCGGCCCTGGCTGCGTCACTTCCTCCGCCCCTGCAGCAAGGGATAAGAAACCCTGCGCCAAGACCTCCTCCTTTCCCAGGCGGCTGCCGAAGATGGCGGAGGGACAGGTTGGGCTCTGCGCGCGGCGGGCGGTGTGGGGTCGGGTGTGCTCCGGGCGGGAGCGGGCTGGGGGCCTCCGCTGCACTCCACGTGTGCGATGGAACGTGAGGACGGCAGCTAAGCAAAAGAGGAACGCTGGGACGCGAGGGGAGTGTGTAACGTGGGCATAGCGAGCCGCCGATGCCTTTCGGTACGGGGCGACGAGGACGCTACGCTTCTGGGAAGACGGGAGTGGGGCTTGGTTCCCAGCTCCGCTACCAACTTCCAGAGGCCTCGTCTCAGGCCGATGGGATGCGGGGAGCTTGGTCGCTCGTTGCTGGGGTTGTAGGTTTGTGCGGTCCGAGGGAGCGGGAGACTGCTGAGGTGGAGGCTGCCGTTTCCTGTAGCTTCTGGTGCGATAACATGCAGTCCTCTTGGGTGCTCGCAAAGTCCGTAGCTGATACGGAGTGAGCACGTGCAGACCAGACTTCGGCAGAAGCATCTGATTTTGAGGTTATTCAGGAATCGAATTTCACCTCTGTTTAAGATGTCTTAGACAAGTCTGTAGTGATGCTGCCTGTGGAAAAATTTTTTCTCCCTCGAAAATGCTTGGAGGATCTCTTGTGGTTTGGGCAGGGTTACAAGCACATGCCAGCCACCGTATGTGAGTTGAGTGTCCACTGGCTTTACAGAATTACGAACTAGTAGGTTTTGCTTTATGCGGTTTGTTTTTGGTTGTGAGCCTAGCCTTTAACGGCTGAGCCATCTCCAGCTCGCTTTATGCGGCTTGTAAGATGACTTCTGTTGCTTATGAGCGAGTTGAGACTGATGCAGAGCCGCTGTAGCCTAGACTTAGCATTGAATAGATGCCAGCTGTCTAGCTACTTGAGGCGTGGCGTGAAACGTGGTGAAGCTAAGGTTGCAGGCACTTGAGGTCTTGTCTATGCTGGGGCAGCCTTAGGCTTTTGGTTTATTGTACCCCTTTGGGACACTATCTGGTTGATAAGGCATGCTGTTGGTAACTTAACTAGGAGAACCTGCTTCCTAAACCTTTTGTCTCCCACAGGTTCTAGTGTTGGATGGCAGAGGCCATCTTCTGGGCCGCCTGGCGGCCATTGTGGCGAAGCAGGTGCTACTGGGTAAGTTTCATTAGGAACTTGTTTGCCTGCAAGTCAGTGATGAGCAACAATCACCATCTTTCGTTTGAGTCTCACGACTGTGAGATCAACCCATGCACCGCTCTGAGACTTGACAGCCCCTCTTTGTCCTGGTTTTGGAGCAGATTTGCATCCGGTCTGGGATGTGGTTTTGGTGGGTATTCAGTTGTGACATTTCTGACTCTTCTGTCTAGGCCGGAAGGTAGTTGTTGTTCGCTGTGAAGGCATCAACATTTCTGGAAATTTCTACAGAAACAAATGTGAGTGAGGGCCCGGGCATCGTCTCCAGGTGGGGTGTTGACTTGAGTCCTGGACAAACAGGTCTTTGGTATAAGGAACTGTTTCTGGGACTGAGGAGACCTCATCCACTTTCTTCTTGACAGTAAAGTACCTGGCTTTTCTCCGAAAGCGGATGAACACCAACCCCTCTCGAGGCCCCTACCACTTCCGAGCCCCGAGCCGCATTTTCTGGCGCACTGTGCGAGGTAAGCTGGGCCTGTGGGTACCATGGAGAATGGGGAATCTGCAGCCTGTGATGAGGATGTCTCCCACTCATGTTCGAGTTTCCCAACTATGAGACAACTCTACATGCACTACCATCTGAGGCTGACTCATCTCCCTGCTCTGGGCTACGAGGGCCTTTTCAGCCCCTCTGAAGGAGTCCTGTTCTCCCACAGGCATGCTGCCCCACAAGACTAAGCGAGGCCAGGCTGCCTTGGAACGCCTCAAGGTGTTGGATGGGATCCCTCCACCCTATGACAAGGTGAGCGGCGCAAGCCTAGCCTCCCACTGCCTGTGTCCAGCGTCTGTGATGTTCTGCTATTACCTACATTGTTTGAGCCTCATGAGAAACTCCATTGGCTGAGACGCATGCCCCACCAGCCTCCTTCCCAGGTGTTACTCACAAAAGGTCTCTGAGCCCTCTCCTTCTCTAACAGAAAAAGCGGATGGTGGTCCCTGCCGCCCTCAAGGTTCTGCGGCTGAAGCCTACCAGAAAGGTAAGCTCAAAGTTGCAGAGTGGTCTGTCTAGGCGTGGTTCTCAGGACTGGCAGATGATGGTTTTTTCTCACGATGGTCTGCGGAGGCCACTGACGGGCAGTGCCGAGAATGCCACAGGCTCAGCTGATGCCAGGAGGGGCTCCTGTACAGGGGTGTCCTTTGGTAGACTCTAGGGTCCTTAGCTCACCCTTGTGCTGGCGGGCACCTTCCCTGTCCTTACAGCCTTGTGCCCCTGCAGTTTGCCTACCTGGGGCGTCTGGCTCATGAGGTCGGGTGGAAATACCAGGCAGTAACGGCCACACTGGAAGAGAAGCGGAAGGAAAAGGCCAAGATCCACTACCGCAAGAAGAAGCAGCTGGTGGTAAGGACAGGCCCTGCGCCCTGGGGAGGGAGGGTTGTCCTGGGAGAGCAGCCACTCACCACTGTTACTTCACCCCACAGAGGCTACGGAAACAGGCAGAGAAGAACGTGGAGAAGAAAATAAGCAAGTTCACAGAGGTCCTCAAGACCAATGGACTCCTGGTGTGAGCCCAATAAAGACATTGTGCTAATGCCTGCCTGTGCTGCTCTTCCTCCATCGCCGACCAGGGGAGTGGGACAAAGGTGCTGTAGTCACTGCTCCTGTAGGAGGAGGGTGCTTAGGAAGCTGAAGTGATAACCATAGACTTTCTTGGCCTCCAGTGTTTGAGTCTGACCCACTGCCATATTCTGTAGCAATGAGAATGGGGGCCATACCTGGGCTGAGATTAAAAAGAGAAACGGGAAAGTGTTGGCTGGCTCCGTTGCAACACTTACCAGAAAGAAAGCAGCTATATTTTCTTGCTGCAGGGTTCTACTGTTAATAAATTATTTTTTGACGATTAAACTTGGTCTTTGCTGTGTGTGCTGTTTAGTCAGGGGGCAATAGGGCATGGGGGGGCCAGAAGCGGATCTTGAGTTCAAGGATAGCCTCCAAAGCCACAGAGAAAACCTGTCACAAGAAGCAAAAAGTATCAGATCACATAGCGCTGTGCTTCATTCATGGTCCCTGCCGGTTTTTTTTGTTTTTGAAGGCATGATTGATGTGTGCTGTGTTTCTCAAAGGGTGCAAATACAAATCTTAATGGATCCCTGTCTGAGATGGTTTTGCTAGCTTTAGGGATCTTGGAAAATGGGAAGGAGATCATGGCTAGTGTGTAAGCTCTATCTGAAATTGTAACTGTAAAAATCAGGGAGGGGTGAGAAATTATCAGTTTTCTTCCCAAGAGGGCTTTAATCTTGGTGGCTATAAGCATCCCAACTTAATAGCACTAGTGACCCTCACGGAAACCCTGTACATACTAGGCGTTTCCTGCCAACCTATACCAGGTATGAGTAGCATGGGCAGTGCAGGCAGCTGTAATAAAGAATCACATCCATCTCTGATCAGGACCCCCCCTCTATTTGCAGTACCCATGGCTGTGCGGTGCCCACTCTGTAGACCAGGCTGTCTCAAATCTAGGGATGGGTTTAGGGGTGTGCGCCACCACTTAACCACCTGTGAGGAGTTTAAATGTGGATTGTTGCCTTCTGATAGGATTGAAGACGTCGCTGCCCAGTTGTGAGGAGTTTAGATGTAGAATTGTGACAGTGGTCTACACATATGGATGGTTCCAAGTCACCTTCAACTATTTCTATTCCCTCTGAAAGGAAAGCCATGGGATGGGCAGTGTGGCACAAGCCTTTAACCTCAGTAGTTGGAAGGCAGGGACCCTAGGGCCTTGTGGGTTTCAGGTCAGTCTGGTTGGTCTACAGAGTGATCTAGACAGCCACAGCTACCCAGACCTGTCTTGAAAATAATCCCTTGACCCAGTCTGGTCCAGGAAGGGAGTTCCAAGAAGGCCAGATCTGTTTAACACAAAACCTTTCAGTCTGGAAAACCACGTCCTAATTGTATCCTTGTAATTTTAGGGTGGATGATGGTCAGCCTGGACTAGTTAAGCTGGCAGAATATAAGTCCACATGTCAGAAGGGTTTCAGTGGAGTTTCCTAGGGGTAGGGGCATATTACCATGAACGCACTTTTGGATAGAAATGGGTCTTGGTGATATATATATATATATCAAATCTTTCCCATGATAACCCTTTTTGTGAAATTGTAACAGGAAGTTTTTGCTACTCCTGATGGGGAGAGACAACTACAATGTATCATTCAGTCATGAGAACGTATGAAGTCGTTTGTTTCAGTCTAACTATGAGACAGTTTCACTGCGTGGCCCGGGGCCGGCCTGAGTGATGGGATTAAAGGTACCCAACACCATTCACGAAAGTCATTGTTTTGAAAATGACTGCCCTGCCCTGCATCTAGCATGAAACTCCATTTGTCACAAGCTCTGCCTCCTGAGCCCTGGCTTAATTTACTGCGCGGGCTCCCTCCGTTTCAGAGAGGAATGGCCGCCTCAGTAACCGGCACCTGAACCCAGGGGAGCGGATGAACTGGTTAATTCTAGCTCATTAAACGCCTGCAGCTCCGGCCGCCAGGCAGCCTGGGGCAGGGATATGGTGATGTAAAGAACTCTATCACAGAGACCGTGCCACGAAAGCACTCAACACCAGCCCCGTGTGCATGTGTGCTTAAGTTCTGTGACAGAATAAAGCCAACCACTTCAGTGACAACAGCCACATTTCACAACCCAGGGCACCCGTGAAACGGGTCCGCCGCCCGGGTGAGAGATGGCCGCCGCCGCGCCCGGCCCCGATCCCACGGGACTCAGCCCCACCCCCGACTCTCGCGATACCGCAGATGCAACGGCCGCTTGGGATCTCGCGAGATGATAGGCTCTGCTTCCGGTCCCCACCGTCATGGCGGCGTACGGACAGTCCCGAAATCGCGTGCTCCGTACCGGAAGTGCCTCCTGATCCGTAAAGGGCTGGCCCTTGCGTCACTTCCGCTCAGGCCTCGCGCTGTGGATAAGGGAAGCCGGGAGTCGCCCCGCGCTCTCTTTCGCAGGCTGCCGGGAAGATGGCGGACATTCAGGTTGGAGCTGCGGCCGGCGCCGAGCCTGCGGGCCCCGCGCGGCAGGGTGCGCCCTGGTCCTCGGCTTCTCGGTCGCTTCCGAGCTGGCTGAAGGGAGGGGCGTCCGCGGGAGGGGGGTCCCGAGTGCTCTGCGAGCGGGGGCTGCTGGGCCCCGGCGGAGGAGCCAAGACGGAGGCCGGCCGGACAGAGCCCTGCAGCGGGGCTGAGCCCGGGCCTCGTGCTCACCGGAAAGCCTCGCCGTAAATTTAAGTTTTGACTCAGGTTCTGGCCTTTAGATCCCTTAGTAGGTCAGACAGGACGAGCGCTTGTCATCCTCCTGCCTCAGCTTGGCGAATGGCTTGATGACGCGTCTGGCCCACCAGGCTCAGTTACTTATGTATGGTGTGAATCCTGGAGTGGCTGAACCTGTGTGTTTGGAAAGTCAGCATGCCCAAAGGCCATGATTCTGGCCTAAGACAAACTCTGGAGGCCGTGGAACGTGCTGGAACGTTAGTGTGTTTAAGTTTGGGGTGACTGTTTAGGTTCATTGTGGGACGCTGGAAGTTTACCTGTAATCTCACCAAATTTGTTGATTCCTACAGACCGAGCGTGCTTACCAGAAGCAGCCTACAATCTTTCAAAACAAGAAGCGTGTTCTGCTGGGGGAAACTGGCAAGGAGAAACTCCCTCGGTACTATAAAAACATCGGTCTAGGCTTCAAGACGCCCAAGGAGGTACAGGACACACTGCAGATGTGGGGGCATTGCCTCTGGGGCCCCTGAGGCTCATTCTTGGTTCAGTTTAGGAACCGGTAATCCAAACCGCGCCTTCTCATCCTTTCAGGCCATCGAGGGCACCTACATAGACAAGAAATGCCCCTTCACTGGTAACGTCTCCATCAGAGGGCGGATCCTGTCTGGTGAGTGAGAAGTTGAAAGTGGCTCTGGGTTCCCGAGTCTGGGACCGGCCGCTGGCAGATGATGTCCATTCTCACGATGGTCTTCAGACATTCCCACGGACACTGCTGAGAACAGCCAGTTGGCAAGGCTGATGCCAGAAATGGGGCTTCTGGGGGAGCCCCACTCAGCGGCTGGGTTACCCTTGGCCTGCTAACACCTCCCTTCCCCAGGTGTGGTGACCAAGATGAAGATGCAGAGGACCATCGTCATCCGCCGGGACTATCTCCATTACATCCGAAAGTACAATCGCTTTGAGAAGCGCCACAAGAACATGTCTGTGCACCTGTCCCCCTGCTTCAGGTGAACACCTGTCCGGAAGGGCTGCTGGTGGGGTGTGGGCAGAGCAGAGGCGTGAGTGCTGGCTCCGCTTGTGTGGACTGCTGGGGATGGGCGGGCAAGGGGAGACACTGCTAAACTTTTATCTGGGAGATAAAAGGGAGGGTTTGTTACTCTTACCACCTGAATGGCAAATGTGGGCGGAGCCAAGGCGGGACCCTCAGCCTGCCACTGGGGACAAGGGGGTTACTGAGGAGGCCCCTCTTAAAGACCCCCACTTGTCTAACTCCACAGGGATGTACAGATTGGCGACATTGTCACCGTGGGAGAGTGCAGGCCCCTGAGCAAGACTGTGCGCTTCAATGTACTCAAGGTCACTAAAGCTGCTGGCACCAAGAAGCAGTTTCAGAAGTTCTGAGGGGACTCTAGCCAACTCCCTGGGACGAATAAAAGTTATTTTCCACTGAAGAACTGGCTTGGAGTCTATGTCCTGATCCAGAGTGGGCATTGCCAGGGGCTTCTCATGAGGGAGGGCTTCTCTGAGCTTCGATAAACCCCGGCACCGGATGGACAGTTACCTGCTGCAGCAGCCCCTGGCCTCCCACCCCCCTCCCTTAGGAGGAAGTTAGGTGAGGCCTTAGAGTGCCCCAGGGAGCAGTCTGAGCTTTCCAACTGGGCTTCTGGCATCCCTGCAGCTAAAGAGAAAACAGGGTCCCACACTCACCTTGCAGGACTGACACCGGAGTACCTGCTTAAATGCCTACTTCCGGAGATCCTGTACACTCTTGAGAGGCCCTGTGTCCAGGACAGGGAGGACAGGATGGGGTTGAGAATTGGGGAAATGAGGTATGGATGTGGGGTTGGGGACACCCGCTCAGGAAAAGTACCTCCAGGGCATCCCGAGGTATGTGTGAAGGGGGCAAACCTGGATGGAGAAGCTGCCGCTGCCGGGGTCCCCAGGTCCCTGTCCCCCAGGCCTGTACCAGGGTCTGGAGCACAGCACTGGTACAAGGGTTGGGAGACAGGGCCTTGGGAAGAGTCCGCCGCCTGTGCCTGCAAGAGATGCCGCTCACTGCCTCTGGTGCCTTCTGCCTTCTAGTAGGCTGCTGAGGGCGGGGTTCCTGTCAAAGGAAGTGGGCCCACATCAAAGCGAGCAGGAAGGGGCAGGGACAGGTCAGGGGGCCACCGCCCAACCTGGGAGCCTGCCAGCTACCCAGGAGGGACTACAGGGGACAGGGACCCTGAGGAATCTGAGCCCAATTGTTGAGAGGTGTGGCCCCCCAACCACAGGTGTTTCCGTTCGGGTGGGGCCTGTGTTTACAACAGCCTAGCTCCCTCATTTCCTCCAGTGGTGGTTGGGGTGTCTCCTCAGTACCCTTCATGGGCCTTGAGGAAAGGAAACACTCCTGGTGCCCCTTAGACACTTCACCTGAAGAGTGGAGCTTGTGATTGGGCCCCTCCTTGAACAGCTCCCTGACTGACCGAGCCCGGCAGTTCCCCTCCTCCACACTGCACTATTGCTTGCTCCAATACCCTACCCAGCCAGACCTGGCACCTCCAGGTAGAAGTGTCCTCCCTGATTTTTTAAATTACTTTGACACTCTTGCTATGTGTCCTAGCTGGCCAGACGCTCTGTGTAGACCAGATTGACCTCAGTCTAGCAACTCTTCCCATCTCCTGTCTCCAGCCCCTTGTGATCTTTCTTTCGTTTCTCTTTTTTGTTTGTTGTTTGTTTGTTTTTGTTTTCAAGATGGTTTCTCTGTAGCCCTGGCTGTCCTGGAACTAGCTGTGTACCCAAGGCTGGCCTCAAACTCACAGACCCGCCTGCCTCTGCCTCCCAAGTGCTGGGATTAAAGGGAGCACCACCAACGCCCAGTCCGTTTTAGTCTTTAACCTTGGCACCTGTTTCCATCTGGCAAATGTCCAGCTCCAGTCATTTGAAGACATCAGTGGTGATCCAGATGCCTTGGAGGCTGAGTTGAGGCAGGAGGATTGCCAAGAGTCCGAGACCAGCCTGGGGATGTAGACCCTACCTCAGAATGGAAGGCTAGAGCTGGGGATGTGACTCAGAGCTCTAATGCCTGCCCAGAGTCCAGCAGCGGGGATGGGACCGGCTCCACGGCAGACTGCTTGTCTAGGAGCCCCACAGACCCACTGCAAGCACCTGGTATGTCAGCATTTGGGGAGGAGGAGACCGTCGGGAGGCAGAGGCAGGTGGAGCTACACAGCTACACAGAGAAACCCTGTCTGAAAAAAAAAAGCATGGTGGTGCACATCTTTAATCCCAGCACTCAACAGGCAGACAGGTCTGAGGCCAGCCTATCTACATAGTAAGAATCCTTTCCAAAAATGAAAATATGCATGTGAGAGTGTGCCTGCCACAGACTCCCACACGGAGGTCAAAGTAGTCCTCTTCATCATGTGGGTCCCACGAGTCAAACACAGGCCTTCACGCTTGGCAGCGAGTACCTCTACCCAACACCATCCCACTAGCCCACACTTCCTCCTTGATTCTCCTAATCAGCTTAACCTACTTCCTGCCTGTTTGTGGCAAACACTGAGACTATCTGCACCCCTCATCCCTGGAAGTGGAAACCAGCAGGTAACTCCCAGCTCGGGTGTCCTGAGGCTGAGCCCCAGCTCCCAGCAGCTCTGTGGCCTTGGATAATTGACTCAACCACAGACCCCGAGTCTCCTCGTCTGTGAAGGGTGGCCGTCAGCAGCCGTGCAGGTGCGACACTACAACAGTGACCTTTGGCAGGTCACTGCAGAGGTTTTCTATGGTGTAGAGCCTTAGGTCTTTAAGAGCAAGCTCTGCCGTCGTTTTAGTATGTTCCTGGAAGATTCTGTGGCATATCTGCTGGAGGAGACCATGGCAGGAAATTAGCTCCAGGTAAGACTCCTCAGCAGGGTGCTGGCCTTGGTTTTGTTTTTCGAGACAGAGTTTCTCTGTGTAGCCCTGGCTGTCCTGGAACTCACTATGTAGACCAGGCTGGACTACAATTTGAAGAGAGCCACCTGCTTCTGCCTCCTGAGTGCTGGGATTAAAGGCCTGTGCCACCATTGCCTGTCACAGGGTCCTGGTTGGTGATGGCAGGCTTCAGGCCCACCAAGCTGCAGACAGGGCAGGCCTGGCGTGGCTAGTACTTCCCTAGTAAGATCCCTGGATTGCTCTAAGGGAGGCAGAAGGGCCAGCAGGTGTTGCTGCTACTCCTTTTGGGTTTTTGTGTTACGTCTTGTTTTGTTTTGAGACAGTCTCACTCTGTAGCTCTCTGTCAGGGAAGTCACTGTTTAGCCCAACTAACCTGAGATTCAAAGCCACTCTCCCGCCACAGCCTCCAAAGTGCTGGGACCGCAGGTAGGTGTGATGCCTGGGCTCCCCGTGGGCTGGCATAACGGGAGCCTAAATACTAACACAGGTGCAGAGCCCGGGCTGTATACATACTGACTTTTGTTTGTTAGCTTTGAGACAGGGTCTCGACATAGTCCTGACTGACCTGGATCTCACTGCGTAGACCAGAATGGCCTTGAACTCACAGAGAGCTTCCTGCAGGGATTAAATGTCCTATGCCTGATGCCTGGCTCTGTTTTTGTTGGTTTGTTTGCTTTTTGTTTTTTAGGTTTTTTTTCTTTTCTTTTTCTTTCTTTAATTTATTTTTGAAGACAGGGTTTCTCTATGAGAGAATCATGATTGTCCTGGAACTCACTCTGTAGACTAGGCTGGCCTTGAACTCACAGAGATCCACCTGCTTCTGCCTCCTAAGTGCTGGGATTAAAGGTGTGTGCCACCACTGTCTGCCTCTGTTTTTGGTTTTTTATTGTGTTTTGTTTTTGTTTTGAGATTGGGCCATACTATGGACCTTAGGCTATCCTCAAACTTGTGGCAAATTCCTGCCTCCCCCCTCCCAGTGTCACTGAATCCCAGCTGGCCTTGCAGCCAGTAACTGAGGGTGGGTGACCTTGAACTTGTGATCCTGCTGCTTCTACCTCTTGTGTCTTGAGATGACAGGTGTTCTCCACCATGCCCCATTTATGTAGAGTTTGGGATCCAACTCAGGGTTGCACATTTGCTAGGCAAGAATTCTGCCAACTGAGCTACGTCTCCAAGCCCCAAACCAGAATGCTTTGCACTTTTTTTCTTGGACTGGAGAGATGGCTCAGAGGTTAAGAGTACTGACTGGCCGGGCGGTGGTGGCGCACGCCTTTAATCCCAGCACTCGGGAGGCAGAGGCAGGCGGATCTCTGTGAGTTCGAGGCCAGCCTGGTCTACAAGAGCTAGTTCCAGGACAGCCTCCAAAGCCACAGAGAAACCCTGTCTCGAAAAACCAAAAAAAAAAAAAAAAAACCAAAAAAAAAAAAGAGTACTGACTGTTCTTATAGAGGTCCTGAGTTCAATTCCTAACAACCACATGGTGGCGCACATCTGACATGGTCTGACATGCAGGCTTACATAATAAATAAATAATGATTTTTTTTCTTAACTTGGTAGTAGTGATGTACTCCTTTAATCCCAGCGCTCAGGAGGCAGAGGCAGGCAGATATCTGTAAATTTGAGGCTAACCTGGTCTACAGAGCAAATTGTAGGGCAGCCAGGGCTACACCAAAAGTAACTGTTTTGAAAAACGAACAAAAAAGACCTTTAAAAGCTGGGCAGTGGCTGGGTGTTGGTGGCACACGCCTTTAATCCCAGCACTTGGGAGGTAGAGGCAGGCGGATCTGAGTTCAAGACCAGACTGGTCTACAAGAGCTAGTAGCTCCAGGACAGTCTCCAAAGACAGAGAAACCCTGTCTCTCAAAAAAAAAAATCTAACATACCCTCACACAGGCAAAACACTGATGTGCATAAAATAATAAAAAAATAATTTTTTTTGGTTTTTTCGAGACAGGGTTTCTCTGTAGCTTTGGAGGCTGTCCTGGAACTCACTCTGCAGACCAGGCTGGCCTCGGCCTCACAGAGATCCACCTGCCTCTGCCTCCTTAGTGCTGGGCTTAAAGGCGTGTGCCACCAATGCCTGGCTATACATATTTATAATCTTTTAAAAATTTTTTTTTTCAGCCGGGTGTTGGTGGCGCACGCCTTTAATCCCAGCACTCGGGAGGCAGAGGCAGGCGGATCTCTGTGAATTCGAGGCCAGCCTGGACTACAGAGTGAGTACCTGGAGAGGCTCCAAAGCTACACAGAGAAACCCTGTCTAAAAAATAATAATAAAATAAATATATAATATATATGTGCCTGAGTATAAGCACATGCATCATGTGATCTATATATGAACATTAACAGAGAAAGAACAGTGCACATCCAAATGCAGCTCTGGGCTTCTCAAGAGACAGTCCTCTGGGGTCCTTTCTTGTTTGTTTGTTTGTTTGTTTGTTTTTGTTTTTTTGAGACAGGGTTTCTCCGCCACCACTGCCCAGCTTATGAGACAGTGCCCTGTGGGGTCCTAACAATAGCTATATAAGGGGCTGGAGAGATGGCTCAGTGGTTAAGAGCACTGTCTGCTCTTCCACAGGACCCAGGTTCAATTCCCAGCACCCACATGGCAGCTCACAACTGTCTGTAGCTCTAGTTCCAGGGGGATCTGAAATCTTCATGCCAGTGCACATAAAATAAATTTAAATAAATTACAAAAAATCAATAGCTTTATAAGTGATTTTGAAGGCTTCTGAAGTCACTGTGCAAACAACTCTTTAAACATCAGAGGACAACTTCCAGAGGTCAGTCCCTCCTGCCACATGGCCTTCAGGGATTGAACCCAGGTCCTGGGTTTGCACAGCCAGCACCTTTCTGTGATGAACTAAGTCTCCAGCCCTCTGCAAACACTTTCTTAGGGCTGGTTCCTCCACTTCCTTTGGTAAATGAACTCACAGGGTGTTTGCTGAGAGGCTCAGGGTAGGACCAGAGCTGATAAAGACACAGGTCGCAGGGCAACACAAGGGGCTTAAGATGTGTCTGTACTGACACA